CTTCATTATTGTGAGACACAGAGAGGTAGACAGACAGGTAGGCATCAACTCTGATATGCTTAATATTACGCATGGAAATGTGAGTTTGATATCTGATATCAGATATTTTTTTACTTAGCTTCTTTGACCATGTTAAACATGCTTTTAGTGAGCCTGAGCATGTGCGTGTGTGCATATGTATGTGTGTGACAGTGGCATATTATCCAATCGCTTGGCTTTGTTGACTCTATTCTACAGTGTCTTCAGAAAGTATTCACACCTTTACTTTTTCCACATTTTGTTGTGTTACAGCCTGAGTTTAAAATTGATTAAATTGAGATTTTGTGTCACTGGACTACACACAATACCCCATCATTTCAAAGTGGAATTATGTTTTGGGGGATTTCACCATGAGGCCAATGGTGACTTTAAAACAGTTACAGAGTTTAATGGCTGTGATAGGAGAAAACTGAGGATGGATCAACAACATAGTTACTCCACAATACTAACCTAAATGACAGAGTGAAAAGAGGGAAGACTGTACAGAATTAAACATATTCCAAAACATGCATCCTGTTTACAATAAGGCACTAAAGTAAAACTACAAAAACATTGGCATAGAAATTAACTTTATGTCCTGAATACAAGCGTTATGTTTGGGGCAAATCCAACACAACACATCACTGAGTACCACTCTTCATATTTTCAAGCATGGTGGTGGCTGCATCATGTTATGGGTATGCTTGTCATCGGCAAGGAAAAAATGTTGTTGGATAAAAATAAACAGAATAGAGCTAAGCTTTCCAACAGACACTGGGAGACAAATTCACCTTTCAGCAGGACAATAACCTAAAACACAAGGTGAAATACACTGAAGTTGCTTACCAAGACGACACTGAATGTTCCTGAGTGGCCTAGTTACAGACTTAAATCAGCTTGAAAATATATTGCAATACTTGAAAATGGATGTTTCGCAATGATCAACAACCAACTAATGTGCAAATATTATACAATCCAGGTGTGCAAAGCTCTTAGAGACTTACCCAGAAAGACTCACAGCTGTAATCGCTGCCAAAGGTGATTCGAACATGTATTGATTGACTCAGGGGTGTGAATACTTATGTAAATTAGATATTTCTTTAATTTATTTCAATAAATCTGCGAAAAATTCTACAAACATATTTTTACTTTGTCGTTATGTGGTATTGTGTGTAGGTGGGTGAGAAAAAACATATATTTAATTCATTTTGAATTCATGCTGTAACACAACAAAATGTGAAATAAGTCAAGGGGTGTGAATACTTTCTGAAGGCATTGTAAGTCCGATATGCTCATACTTCTGTATTTTGTAGTTATAGGGTAGTAGTAATAGATAGTACAATTGCACAACCTGAGGTGACCCAAGTGGCCAAAAACACAATGAGTGTCAAAAAAAGGAAAAGGTTAAGGTCAGGGTCTCCTCTCAATTAACTCACACAGAGATTTGTTGTGATCAACTAGCATTATTTTTCTTTCTTCTGAATAGCTTGCACATGTTTCATGGTTAAAACAGTCTGTCTGGTGATCAAAAGGCCTGTTGTTCTGTGGTGAGACCTGCCTGTCTGGGTCTGTTAGCTCACAGGGGCTTGTAATGAGAGGAGCGGTCAAGGACTGAACTCATGTAACACTGACCTCAGACGGAAAACACCATTGCAGGCATTCTCATTTTAGAATTATGATCAGCAACAGGGCAATTCCACAGTAACAGAGTGATGCTGAGATGAAGATTTTTCACATTAAAATATATACAAGCAAAAACCAATGATTGCGAAGTTAAACAAACCATAAGACTCTGTGCACAAGGACTACTTTTTAACAATTTCCAATGAACATTTGACAAAAACACATTTACTTAAAGAACAGTGCAGATGCAAAGTTTGGTAACAGAATGACGGTTTGTGCTGTTGGTGGCGTCATTCTGTTACAGTGGAATTGCCCAACAGCAATTTGATGAGCAGCAGCAGATTGCAGCAAAATCATTCACGTTTCCTTGTCAACAGATACCACCATGTAGATTTGCTGATGACAATGGATGCTTTTCAAGGTGGATTCATTTATGCTTGGTAATTCTTGTTGAATTGTGGATAATGGGAACCTTTTTGCCATGGCAACCTCAGGAATTGTGGTCACTGGTTTGAGTGTGTTGGTTGGCTGAAAATGTCAGAAAACTCAAATGATTGCAATTATGGTAGAGTGTGCTGCCTGTATTATGCAAAGTTTGTGTGTGTTTTGTGTGTGTGGATGAAGTCCCTCTCCTGAGAGAGTAGTAAATCATGTTGGGGTATTTGCCAGTGCCATAGTAGAACAACACTGCTATTTGTTGATTCCAGAAGGAATCCTGACAAATGGAAGAGGGTGGACTGTGGTTAAATCATCACAGGGCAAAAGGTAGCAGAGTAATTACATTGCATTGATTGCAACCAACTGCATGCACCTACAGGCTGACAACTTTCCATCTCCTTCTCCCGCTCTCTTTCTCTCTATCTCTATCTCTATCTCTATCTCTATCTCTATCTCTATCTCTATCTCTATCTCTATCTCTATCTCTATCTCTATCTCTATCTCTATCGCTCAGTCTGTCTGTATCTCCTCATCCCATACAGCTGTTCAGGGAGAGATTTGTGAATTTGAAGCGTAGCAGTACCGGTAATCTGTATTTTGTGCTGCTGAATGCTGGGAAAGGCGAGAAAATGTGGGCTCAGGAATGTATTGGGGAAAACTCCCCCTGTTGTTGAAGCAGATGCGAATGAACCAATTCACAGTCACACCTGTTTTTCTTTCTCATACTTAGAATAGTGTATGTTGTTGAATATTGTTTTTTGCAATGTCTTGTAGTAATGCTTGGTTCTCAAGAGGTTCCAAGTGTGTTCCAATTCTGACCAGTAGAGGGGAGTGTCACTCAAGGGAAATACCAGCAAAATGGTCTGTCCAGTCAATGTTGGAGATGACATGAGCACTCATCCACAGAATATAAGAGGCATAAATAACACCAATGATACCATTCCTTTGAACTGCAAACGTATCATCCTTGTGATATAAGCAGATGTTTTCAGTATTGAATGCTATAGTTGTTGCCTCACCTCCAGGTAATAGGATAAATCATAATTGAGCGGTAATAATACCCAGGAAATGCTCATCCTTTGTTCAGAAATGGCCTTTTTGCCTTTATACAGATTACAATTGATCATTTCCAACTAATTGAAAATAAAACTTTGTTTAAAGTATTGCCCTTTCTTAAACAAGCCATACAAAGCTGGTTACATTTTCAATTTTATCCTCCAGAAAAGATAGAACAAATATTAGAACAAATATTATGGTTAAACACCAATACACTGATTGAATAAAAAAAAACATTCTTTATGGAAAACAAATGGGATTATGTTTATTAAAGATATTATGAATAGAAATGGTGGAGTTATGTAACAGATACTGTATTTTTGTTCAGTGCATATGGGAATTCTAGGCAGAGTTGCAAAGAAAAAGCCATATCTCAGACTGCCCATCTTAATCTTTTCTTTTTATTGGCCAGTCTGAGATATGGCTTTTTCTTTGCAACTCTGCCTAGGTCATCATCCCGGAGTCGCCTCGTCACTGTTGACGTTGAGACTGGTGTTTTGCGGGTACTATTTAATGAAGCTGCCAGTTAAGGACCTTTGAGGCATCAGTTTATCAAACTAGACACTCTAATGTATTTGTCCTCTTGCTCAGTTGTGCACCGGGGCCTCCCACTCCTCTTTCTATTCTGGTTAGAGCCAGTTTGCGCTGTTCTGTGAAGGGAGTAGTACACAGCGTTGTACGAGATCTCCAGTTTCTTGGCAATTTCTCGCATGGAATAGCCTTCATTTCTCTGAACAAGAATAGACTGACAAGTTACAGAAGAAAGTTATTTGTTTCTGGCCATTTTGAGCCTGTAATCGAACCAACAATTGCTGATGCTCCAGATACTCAACTAGTCTCAAGAAGGCCAGTTTGATTGCTTCTTTAATCAGCACAACAGTTTTCAGCTGTGCTAACATAGTTGCAAAGGGGTTTTCTAATGATCAATTAGCCTTTTAAAATGATAAACTTGGATTAGCAAACACAATGTGCCATTGGAACACAGGACTGATGGTTGCTGATAATGGGCCTCTGTACGCCTATGTAGATATCCCATTAAAAATCAGCTGTTTCCAGCTACAATAGCCATTTACAACATTAACAATGTCTACACTGTATTTCTGATCAATTTGATGTTATTTTAATGGACAAAAAAATTGCTTTTCTTTCGAAAACAAGGAAATGTCTAAGTGACCCCAAACCTTTGAACGGTAGTGTATATTTGTGTGCTCGGAAGAGGGGTGGTGGTGGATGGGTTAATAATACAAAAATATATATATTATAATACCCCAGCACTAAGTGAAGTTGTGCTGTTCTCACTCATTCCCAGGGGGTCACATTACATCTAAAGGAATTGCCTTCACAATGGTTCTCTGACTATGGTCCATCCAATTGTAACACTGGATGTATTTTTTCATTCATTAGCTTTATTGTGGTCCTCTGTAGCTCAGCTGGTAGAGCACGGCGCTTGTAACCCCAAGGTAGTGGGTTCGATCTCCGGGACCACCCATACACAAAAATGTATACACGCATGACTGTAAGTCGCTTTGGATAAAAGCGTCTGCTAAATGGCATATTATTATTCTAAGGTTTTAGTGGACAATGAGCCTATGCTTTACTTTTTTTCTATCATTTTTATATTTCTACCGAGGTGAGGTCTAATACCTCTTGCCTGTATGGATATCTGCATTGGAAACATTTTAACAGGACCAATATTTCAGTCTTGAATATACCTTCTCTGGAAACGGTTTCCACAGCGACATAATAGTAACAACGATTCATGGAGGGACTGGTACCTTAAGAAAGGAGGAGGGGCTATGAGTAACTTTCCGTAATGAGTCATGAATTTCCAAGTACAGTAAATCGAGGCGCTCGCCTTTAGTAGCCTACAGTAGTCAACTCCATCTATGTACTACACTTTTTACTGTGTGGATACTCTGGTAAAATGAAATGTATTGTAGCCTATCATCAGAAGTAACTATGGATGTACGACAAAGATAGGTTGTCACAGCTATTGATTGCCATAATAGTATCCGTTACTAATGGTCAACTTTATGGGGATGTGCTCTGATGCGCAAAGCATCAAATCGGGATACCTCGATGAGATGTTTGATGCTGGAACATGGAAGGTGCGCAATATTTGGGATGGGGTAAAGCTGGAGGTTGGCGAGGACGAAAGCCCGGTGGTCCTTAACAGTTTTACACATTTGGACCCTGACCTACCACTATTTGAGGTAAGTTGGCGAACTGTTCGTAAATAATTATCCATCAATACTGAGCCAGTATTTTAGGCTTATGACCTATAGCTAGTGTGTCACTAAACTGAACATTTGGTGTGTGATAGTTGCCTAGTGATATGTGTCTTATTAAAATCTATAGAATTTAGGCCTACTGAAGTTCATAGTGATGTTTCAGAGTTTTTATATGGTGGTATCATGCTCTCCAGAAATGTGTCCAGAGTGTCCTGTAGCCTACTACCCATTGCATAAGGACACATTTCAGTTCTCTAGGAAGGTCCAAAAGAGTGGAATATGTTGGTTTTAACTTACTATCTGCTGATGCTCAGTATTGACCAAATAGGCATATGGGGAAAGTGTAAAGAAGCACATAATCTTCAGCACATATTATAAAGTGGGTCGGTTCCTTTAACAGTTGTTATTCACTGAGAAGTTGCAGCAAATAAATCAATGGGGATGACTAATCAAATTGGTTGGCCTTACATAATGCCTCCTTCAATCACAGGGAATCAGATGAGGGCAAGAGCGTAATTGATACAGTGACTTTGAATGTTAGAAAAGTAAATAAGTGAGTTGATGTTGGCTTGGCTATTGGGTTAGTTGTTACATCAGATCAAGAATTGACAGGCAAAACATTGGTAATTCTGGGAAAGTGCATTCTTATGCACACCCTGTGTGTGTATGTGTGTGTGTTTTCAGTAATACCACTGTCTGACATGTATATTTTAAATATGTTCAATAACCTTCTGAAGAATAAAAGCTGCTTTTATTTTCACCAAGCTTGTGAAACTAAAGGCTGGAACTCAGACGATATGTTATTATTAAAGACAGTATGCTTCCTTCATTTGTACATGTCACATGCTTAGAGAGGGCAATTCAGGCTCCACTACTACATCTCTCTCTCTCTCTCTCTCTCTCTCTCTCTCTTTCGCTCCTCTAATCTAATATAATCCTCTCCAGTAACACAATTACCTAATGATGCATAGTCATCTAGCCAATATACTGTAGTGATGATAAAGTACTGCACTCTATAGCTAATTGTTTATTTAGGGGTATGAGTTTATTAGGGCAATCCAAGAGATTCAACTGGTGATATTGGCACAGATTCTCATTGGTAAAATATGAAGGACCTGAAGCCTGTTCAGATCAAAAAGTCTTATTGTTAATCATGCAAAAATTAAAATATTAGGCGTTCGGAATTTTAAATGTATTTCCACATATGTGGTTGTGAACATATTGGACATATTATTTTGTCAATCAAATATGTCAATAGCAAATCATGCTCTCCCTCTGACTAGTGAATGACATACTTTGTTGTTGTTTTGTGTGTGTGTGTGTGTTTGGAAATGGTCTATAAATGTCTTGCTGATGTTAAGGAGACCTTTGTTTGTTGTATCTTATCCTGAAGACTGCAGACTGCAGACTGCAGACGGAAGCTTAACTGAGTCCTGTAACTAGAAACTGGAGGTGGATTTGTAGAAACAGACACAGAGGAGCTTTTGTTGTTGTAGATCATTCAAATGGAGACAGAAAGAAGAGCGAGGGATAGAGAGAAAGAGGGAGAGTGAGTGAGAGAGAGGGAGAGGGGCACTGAGGTTTATGGAGGTTGAATGAGAGAAACAGACAGTGGTTGGAATGTTTCGGCCTGAAGCCTGGAAAATAACTTTATTCTACATTTTCGAGACTTAATAATACCAAATAAGTGGTAGTCTCTGACTTACTAGGTTTGTCTGACTACTCAAAGTATGACTTTACTGGATACAGCTCCTGATCTAAATTCACATATAAAAAAGAACTTTCTGAACATTCAAGTTCTCTCTGGTGCTCACAGGCTGTCTCTTACATTGTGGCACTCAAAAGAGAATGTGGAAGTCAAGCAGATAATGCACTCTTGCATTCCTAATTACTAAAAGCTGAATCAGTTTACACTTGCATAACTAAGTTTTGTGCAAATCATAAATTGATGTCTATGGGACATTTTCTGCAAATTTGCTTGGCGCAGCGGTCTAAGGCACTGCATCTCAGTGCTTGAGGCGTCACTACAGACCCCCTGGTTCGATTCCAGGCTGTATCACAACCGGCCGTGATTGGGAGTCCCGTAGGGCGGCGCACAATTGGCCCAGCGTCGTCCGGGTTTGGCCGGTGTAGGCCGTCATTGTAAATAAGAATTTGTTCTTAACTGACTTGCCTAGTTAAATTAAGGTAAACAAAAAAAAAAAAGTGATCCTAAGTGGTTCATGATCTCATTGGCATTCAACAGTCATTGTGTGTGAGAGGAAGCTGGTGGCCAGTGCTAGAGAGCCACTGTTGGACTGAACTAATATTTGTGTTGTGTATTTGTTTACTCTATTTTGGAGCATCTCTTTCTGGTGGGGACTTTCTATGTCATTCCCTGAACAGCTGGAGGAGAGGATGATTATTATCAAACCAGTTGTGGATTGGCCAGCAGTTTCCAAATAACCAACACTATCAACACACTACTGAAATACAATTATGAAAAGTAGATGGTTAGCAATGCTATGTGCATTTACATAAGCTGTGATTGTGCCATGTGACATTGTGTATTCAGGCACATGTATAGAACTGATCATCTGTCCACTGATGACTGAAGGATGGATGTCTCTGTTGACACTAGCTCAGAGTCCAAAGATCAATGCTTTGTTTATGTGGTCATTGTGGCTACAGCCTCAGTACATGCTATTCATAAGCCTTCTAACTGACTGAATCAACATGTTCCAGATAGATTCTTTTTATGGATGGGATGTACAGTACGTAGATGAGACCATTAATATGCCCACTCATTGTTGACATGCTTTGACAGAGGAAGTTCCCCATAGAAGTTTTCATTCTGATGCAGTCTGATGGAACCCATTCAAATGTTGCAGTTGTTGTGGTTACGGAGAGGTCCTCAGTCAGTCCATTACAGGCTAGTTTTATATTCCTTCGTTTTTGACTGACTTTCCAGTTAGATTTCGCTTTCTGATAAACTGCATGACTTGTTTGACTTTAGTTCTTCCTCATGTGAGGCTCCTTTCCTTTCTTCCCTATAGGGATTTCCCACTATTGTCTAGTATCTCGTGTAATCATCACTCTCTTATGACAGCGCAGTACCTGTTTGTCAGTCTTTTGGTTTTTATTTTCATAATAAGGATTTATTTATTAGAATGTATGATGCCACTCTATTAGTGTGTGCTCAAGTACAACACTTGATAAACCAACTTAAGAAGTAACACTTAATAAAACATATACTCAAGTAGGCCTATCAACACTTGATAAAATCAACTTAATATCCAAAACGTAATAAAAAATCAACTCAAGTAGCCTTTCAACACTTGATAAAATCATCATATGAACGAGTCGAGTACTCACAAAATATTAACCAGAATAATACAAGTCTGTCAACAAGATGGTGACAAAGGTCTTTCTTAGTTTACCTGAATCAAATGTTGTATAGTGTGTGTGTGTGTGTGTGTGTGTGTGTGTGTGTGTGTGTCGGTGTCTATTCTTCTGTTAGAACTACAGACACGTGGAATTAAGACCATGAAAGGCATACTACTATTGTGTATGTGTTACCAGGGCTCCCAATGCCACCTCTGTTGGATGACTAAGCTATGAGTCAGGCAGAGAGGGGATATGACTGGTCAAGGCTTAATGGGGGAAGCCGTTCTCGCTTGTATGTCCGTTTCCTGGCCCTACTTATGCCCTGTTACTTTGGGTATTTGGGAGTTCCCCTTGGTGTCCATGGTAACCTGGTCTCTGAAAGCCTCTGAGAGTTCCCTGACTTTCCACAGTTGTAAATAGGTCCTGTGTGGCACGGCCAGACCACAGGCTGCCACAGGTCATCACTGTATACATTCACATACAGTCCAAATGGTATCTGTAACCCTTTAATCTATATATAATCTTATATATAAATATACTTTTTTAAATTAAAGACCTAGTGAATCTGAATAGGTCTGATTTAAGTTGTCTTAGGCCTTGGTCCATTAACATAGAGAGAGAAAGGTTGTCCTTATGTCAAGAGCAGGGCTGTGTTCCATTGGGTTTAGATTGATAGGCCAGCAGTGTCTGTGTGCTCAGCTGATAAGGGCTACTCTCACTGTCAAGTCCAAGGCCTGTGTGCTCAGCGCCTGCTTTCAAACACAGCCATACAAACACGTTACAAATGATTTATAACCACGTACAGTAAACTCCTCTGTTCAAAAATAGATTGCATCAGTGTTAGTAATATAGCACTGGAACTGCATTCGAATCTCTGCTCAGCTCCATGGAAACCAAGCAAAACAGAGTGGCTGTGTGATTGAAGGTGAGAGAGTACATAGAGTAGGCTATGACTAACAGGAAATGTATGAGGGAGGTGCTGCTATATATCTAGCTACCGAAAGGTTCTGATGAATAATGTGCTAGAGATACATAAGTAGGTGTATGACTGATGCCTGTGTGATGCTTGATTAGTGTACATACCACTCCCCCACTGAGGAAGCCGCAAAGTAATCAAACCGATGTTGTCTTTGCTATCTGGGTAAAGTGCCTGGGATGCTCACTGTAAAGTCCTTGAATGTACCATTACTGTCCACATCATTCTGCGTTGGAGAGCTGGAGAAAAAATGAATGGTGACAACAACCAACAACTGTTTGGTACAGAGCTCTCTTTCATTGAGCAAGCAGCTTGTGTTAATTCCTTGTTTGTAAAGCATGGGCTTTAGCCTGTGTTGTTGGGCTGTGTATCTAGCAACCTCTGTTTGATGCAACAGTATTGTTATTCATAGCCACACATGTAGGGAGGGAGGGAGGGCCCGATCTTTGTAAATGTATTTCTGACAGACCATCACATCTCTTTGTCTTGTTGTTCCCGTAGAACTCGACACAGGAGATCGGAGAGGAGGTGGAGGAGGGGGCAGTGTTCACCATCACCCTGAGGAAGGTGCAGTTGCACCAGTCGGCCAGTAAGGGACAGCGATGGCTGGGCGTGGAGACAGACTCTGCTCTCAGCCTGTATGAGACGTGTAAAGTACGCACCATAAAGGCTGGTACGCTGGAGAGGCTGGTGGAATACATGGTGTCTGCGTTCAGGGGCAAGGACTCCACCTACGTCACCATCTTCCTCTGCACCTACCGCTCCTTCGCCACCACCAAGCAGGTGCTGGACCTCCTACTCAACAGGTACAGAGACGGCCATGAAGCTAAAACCACACGTACATGTGTACACACATAACCACATACATATAAAAACACACTATGCACAGTGTAATGTTGACAGATGTGTCCTTCATGTCTTAGGTATGCCAAGCTACAGAACCAACCTGGGATAGATGTACACAGACACACTCAGGATGACAGCACAGAGCTCAGAAAGTAAGTGTCTGGGGAGACCAGCATTATCAAACATTTTGATATGTTCATTTTTTGTGCACAGTGTACACACGTACTGTACAATACACTCTTCCCTCTCTGTCATCTGCACGTCTCCTCATTCCCTGCCTCTTCCCTCTCTGTCATCTGCACGTCTCCTCATTCCCTGCCTCTTCCCTCTGGGTTGTGTCCTGCAGCACTGTGTCGTCCATCCTGGGGGCGTGGCTGGACCAGTACTCAGAGGACTTCTGGAGCCCTCCACAATATAGCTGTCTACACCACCTGATGTCCTACCTACACCACCACTTCCCTGGCTCCGACCTGGAGCGCCGCGCACGCAACCTGCTGGCCCTCTTACACCGCAGGCAGCAGTGTGAGCCCGACCTCGACGGTGAGAGCCAGGATAGGGTTAAACTGGTGCTTGTCTGTGTCTCAGCGATATCAGACATGATGGGGATGCTGTTGAACTATAGACAGTCATTTAGGCAGTCTGATTATTAGCTCATCTGTGTTTTCTTTACAGTGGAGCACATTGGCTGTCCCTTCGCCACACCGGAAGAGAGTGTCTTTGAGGACGAGCTTCCTGCCCTGAACTTCTTGTCCTTTGACCCCATCATGGTTGCCGAGCAGTTCACACTCATGGATGCGGTGAGACATTCTCCCCTCAATTTCAACTCAATTTCAAGTAACTTCAATTTCAACTGCTCTTGCTTTGTGCTTTGTGCTCACCCTTACTCACCCTTACACACTAACACACTCCCCTGACCTCACCCTGTAGGATCTGTTCAAGAAGGTAGTCCCTTACCACTGCCTGGGGGGCATCTGGTCCCAGCGGGATAAGAAGGGGAAGGAGCACCTGGCCCCCACCATTCGGGCCACAGTGGCCCAGTTCAACTGTGTCACCAACTGTGTCATCACCACCTGCCTGAGCAACCCCTGTCTAAAACCCACCCAGCGAGCCAGACTGGTGGAGCGCTGGATAGAGGTGGCCAGGGTAAGGCATCAGATCCACTCTCTGGGTCAATCACTCAGCAGTTAGTGTCAGTTGTGGATGATTGGTCATGCTGTTTTTCTCACTCTATGGGTTCTTTCTGCTGTGTTCAGGAATGTCGTATCCTCAAGAACTTCTCATCCCTGCGAGCTATTCTCTCTGCCCTGCAGTGTAACTCTCTCCACCGACTCAAGAGGACCTGGGATGAGGTGTCCAGGTGAGACAGGGGATCAGTGACTGAGGCTTGGGTTTGGAGGGTTTACTATTGGATTATACATTGGACCAGGGAGTTTTCATGGCCAGGTTTCGTGTTCAAGAAAAACATAATTAGTGTTCAAGAAAAACAGAATTAGTGACATGGGTCTTTGGTTGGGTTGATGGTTGAAGCTAAGATTTCATTGTTATTTGGAGGGCTTTTGCAGTGGTGGTTTATGTTTGTCTTTGCCACTTTTGAACTTTTGACCTCATTCTGCCAACAGAGAGAATTTCCGCACCTTCCGCGAGCTGTCAGAGATCTTCTCAGATGACAATAACTACTCTCTAAGCCGAGAGCTGCTGGTCAAGGTGGGTCAATGATCAGAGGGAAAAACCATACTCCTGAATGTAACTTACAGGAGGCTGGAATCTTTGTAATGGGTTTGTACAAACTACTGTGGGCTGTTGTGTATGTGGTACAGTGTGTCTGTGTTTGTGTAGACCTTTTCCTCCTGCCCCATATGTGTAAGTGGATGTGGAGACAATAGTTGGTACAAATTACCTACATGTCTACATGTTGTCCCTCATGTTACTCTAGGTGAAAATGTGCCTGTGTTCGTTTAGGCTTTTTCCACCTGCCTCTTATACTGAATGTGTTAAACTGGATATAGAGACCATTGTGCGCATAATTGACCTGAATGTTACTCAGCAGCTAATAGATATTTAAGACATTAACTGCATTTGAAAACAGGAAGTGCGTATCTGAAAAGTTTATTTGAAAACTAGTTACTGCTCTATTGACTCTCCTCTCTATCTCTACAGCTGGGTCTCCATAGCAACCTGAACATAAATAGACAAACTAGCTAACACCTTGTCTCCTCTCAGCTGCTAGCTCATTTATCATTCATCATGAGTTGTACATCACAGTATAGAATCTTACCTTCTAGTGTTCTCTCTAAAATGTATGTGATCCACCAGTGCAAGTATCAGTGTGTGTATGTGTGTTTTGAGAGGACTTGAGATGCGTAACCGCATGCCTGTTGAAGTGTGTCACCAGCGATGTAGGCTGTGGCAGTAGTCATGAATATTATACTCTTTCAACATGAAGCTCAGTGCCTCTGTCAGGACTAGAGGCAGATCAGATTCGCTTTGATTAAGACCACATAGGATTAGATAGCAGACAACATGTTCAGTTATATCTGATTCCTCCAAGAGAAACATTTAGTCTGCTCACCTGAATACATTCCTGCACAAAGAAATAGGAAGTGCCCTCGCCATTGTTATGCCAATTTTGCATAAGTTACTCTTTAACTTGCAGCATATTCTTTCACTGGTGAAATAGTGAATTTGCTTTGCTGTCATACAAAACAATTATGATTGCAAAAAGCAGAGGGTTTCTCCAAGAGGTATGGCTATCCACATTCCTAGGCTATTAGACAGGTATTTGAATTGACCCTAACATTGAAGCTTAGGGTTCTTGGCTGTGAGTTGAGGGAGGAAACCTGTGCTTGCTCAGAGGGAATCCCTGTTGATGTCATAGGCAGTTGGCAGGTACAGAAAAGAGCCCCACCCTGATGAGGCATGAGCCTGTAAGGGAAATTCCAAGGTGTTGTCCCACTTACCTCCTTTCCTACTTTCCACTATTGCTTTATCTATCTGGGCCAGCCCAACCAGGCCTGTGTAGCATTGCAAGCTCCGGTTAGGTTGGGTGAAGAATCCCCCTGATTTGTATCATTCACAGAAACACTAGAGCTAACTAAGCTGTAACCCTTCCTCTCATTCATAAATTAGTGAATTAGTTCAGTCCTGTATGTCTACTCTTCTGAAATTGTAATCATGGCCATTACCAGTTGTTTCCATTTAGTTTTTGCACTGTTCTAGGCACAGTTTTGTAAAACCAGATTCTCCTCTCTCTCTCTCTGTAGGAGGGCACATCCAAATTTGCCACCCTGGAAATCAACCCTAAACGAGCACAGAGGAGACACCAACAGCAGAGAGACTTGGTGAGTCTAGATCTTTTTGGAGTTAATTAATTTATCATGAAATGCCAACTTCAACCACTTTATGCCAGCTATATTTGAGTGCTGTTATTGGGTTCGTAGTGCCATCTAGTGGTGAAATGAGAGCATTGTTATTGCTCATGGAGCCTGTGGTCACTGCACTCTCATCAAACCTCTCTCTGACTATGCCTCTGTCATAGGGGGTGATGCAGGGGACCATTCCTTACCTGGGCACCTTCCTCACTGACCTGGTCATGATGGACACGGCTATGAAAGACTACACAGAGGTGAGCGTCTATCGCTATCTATCTCTGGATCCAGTAGCCACTTCAGTCTACTTGTTTAGTCTCTCTGTTCACATCTAATTGTTCTTTGTTCTCTATTCCAGAGTGGACTCATCAACTTTGAGAAGCGACGAAAGGTAAATTCTTGCTTCTGATAAATAGGCGTTGATAAACAGGGAGACATCGCCGGCATTGTGGCTATTGCCTATCAGAGGTGACTGGCTGGAGACTCACCCCGCCCCCTCTCTCTCTTTCTCTATGCAGGAGTTTGAGGTGATAGCTCAGATTAAGCTACTGCAGCTGGCATCCAACAACTACAGTTTCACCCAGGACAGTCTCTTCAGGGAGTGGTTCTCAGGAGTGGAGAGACTCAGTGAGGCAGAGAGGTGAGGAGGCCTAAAGATTTTTATGAAATGTAAATGAAAATAATGAAATGTATATGGGCATAGTGTTGTCATTTCCATGCATTTTGCCCACAGCTACACTCTGTCCTGTGAGATTGAACCACTGTCAGAGTCATCCAGCAATACTATCAGAGCCAAGAAAAACGGAGGCATCATGAAACGCTGGAGCGAGTAAGTCCCATATTGTATAGATAACTTTTCACACTATGCCTATGTTTATTATAGTTGCAAATTAATAATAATGACATTTTTATTTTGAGCATACATCCTTACTTGGTGTTTTCCATTGTACAGTTCATTATATTTTATGGGGCCCTGTTCTCATACGTCTCCATGTGTTTTCCTCTGTCTCCAGTCGGCAGTTAACTGAAGCCAGCTGCAGCAGTGCAGGAAGCTCCCACTCCAAGTTGTTTGACCAGTCCCACTTCAGACCGTACCAGGGAGGGGGAGGTGATAGTGGGGACACCCTCAGCGTCACCTCAGCCGGCTCCAGCGGATCTGACCTGGAGGATGTCAACGGCAGCTTCCTGTCTGACTCACCGGATGCCCACGAGAGAAAGGTGAGAAGGAGGAGGGGCCAAGGTCACATGGGGGAGGAGAACACTCCCACCAGATGCAGAGGCATCTCATCATGATTCATGCCACACACATCCACCTTGATTTTCTTTCTTCCTGAGATACTGAAATTCCAGCATCACTGCAACAATTTCAGCCCTGACATTTCCATGTCTTTGAATTCATCTTCTGTAAGGGCCATGTTGAGGATAAGGGCTATGTGATACGGGCCATGTGACTTGACACTGACCCATGTACTTACTTTACCTGTCTGACTTTTGGCTGATTGTGGCTCTGATTCCCTCTATAGACCTCTACATCCTCAGTAAAACATTCCGTTTCTGCTTTGGGGAAAGAAAGCCAGACTCCTGATCCCAACTCCACGGTACTTTCACTCACCAGCCTTCTCTTTCCAACTCTCTCATCACAGGGGTTTTTTCTTCTGTTCTAACCTCCTCTCTCACTACTTTCCATCTACCAGTCCCAGAATATCACTGTGATTCTTACACTAATGCTGCACTCTCATCATATTACAAACAGTTTCTCATCCTCATATTCATACTTATGAGTCTCATTTACTGTCATATTCCACATTCTATTTGTTTATAGCAGCAACAGAAGTTTGTTCTGTGGACTGTAAATGGTTGTAATCAGTCTCTCTCTATCTCTCTCTGTCTCTCTCGCTCTAGTTTTGGGAGTCCACCTCCCTGTCTTCTCTAGACACCTCAGGGATGGGTTCTGGTTCGGGCTCCAGCAGCGCCTCGTCCTCCTCTGTGTCCTCCTCCACTCCTCTCCCAGGTGCCTCCCGCTCCCACAAGCGCTCCGTCTCAGCTGTGTCCTGCTACTCCACACTCTCCCTGCCCCTCTACAACCAGCAGGTGGATGACTGCTGCATCATCAGAGTCAGCCTAGACGTGGACAACGGCAACATGTACAAGAGCATCCTGGTAAGACAGAGGGATAGATTGATAGATTCAAAATGTAAATTGTTAGCAGTGGACGGTTGATTCAATTAACAATGTCTGAGCTAAAAACAAAAAAACGTATTTTGCTTCTTCTGGTGCAGGTGACCAGTCAGGACAAGACACCAGCAGTCATCAGGAAAGCCATGGTGAAACACAACCTGGAGCGAGAGAAAACAGAGGACTATGAATTGATGCAAAAAATCTCTGAAGAAAAAGGTAATATCATATGATAATTTCCCCCCAAAATATAAATCTAATTATCGTTCAAATAGATTGTTGTTAATAGTATATTCATTTTTTGTTGACTCACTCTAATCCATTCATCTTGTATAGTGTCGTGACATGACTTTCATTAATATGATGACTGTTATTTATCGAATCAACTAACTATGTTTAATTGTTACTCAATTAAATTAATCATGTAACAATTAACTCATTAGGATTTGGGGCACTACGGAATAAATTGTTTATAGAGTTACCATCTACCGAATTAAACTCTAAAAGGTCTTTACCTATCAATATGTATAAATCATTCAACGTATCAATCATTACCTCTTATCAGTCTCATTCTGAACGGTCACAGAATTCTTGGATCCGCAAGAACCCCAGCTTTACTTATGATTCAGCACTACACAAATTGGCTTAATTATGTATTTACTAGCTAACTAAATAATAACACAGAATACATACATAATACATGAGAAAAAGTCCCTAGTGGACTAACAGCATGACTGCTTGATTATCAAAAGAGGGAGGGGTAAGGAAGAGAGAGGGAGGGGGAGAGGGAGAGACAAAGAGAGAGTCAACTTATCGTTGATACATTTGGAAGCTACCCTCAAAGTAATCATAATACTTTGCTCACAAACCACCGCCCGTTTGGGTAAGAAGTCATTAATGTATTTACGTGTAGATGTCTTTGTTCGTCGTCTCTCCGTTGAAACCAATCAATCCTTCTTTGGGAAGGAGTAGGTTTTAGTGTCCAGTTTCGGTGTAAGGCTCTGCTTGTCCACCAGAGGTCACAATGTCCTTCTTAGTTGTCCTGGCTTGGAGTGGAGTGTTAAAATAGAACAGATACTCAGATGCATTCTAATGATTGTATGAGATTGGATTTTCTTCTTCCTACCTCATGTGGTTAGTCAAAGTTCTAGATCCCTTTACACGGACAGCTGCAGACTGGCAATGTTCTGGTCTAGTGAGTTTATCTTCTTCACCTAGTGTTGAGATTCAAAGTTCTAACATTTACATTACATTTACGTCATTTAGCGGACACTCTTATCCAGAGCGACTTACAAATAGGTGCATTCACCTTATAGCCAGTGGGATAACCACTTTACAATTTTATTTTATTTTATTTATTATTTTTTTTTTTTGGGGGGGTGGGTTGGGGTAAGGGGGGGGTAGAATGATTACTTTATCCTATCCCAGGTATTCCTTAAAGAGGTGGGGTTTCAAATGTCTCCGGAAGGTGGTGAGTGACTCCGCTGTCCTGGCGTCGTGAGGGAGCTTGTTTCACCATTGGGGTGCCAGAGCAGCGAACAGTTTTGACTGGGCTGAGCGGGAACTATGCTTCCGCAGAGGTAGGGGAGCCAGCAGGCCAGAGGTGGATGAACGCAATGCCCTCGTTTGGGTGTAGGGACTGATCAGAGCCTGAAGGTACGGAGGTGCCGTTCCCCTCACAGCTCCGTAGGCAAGCACCATGGTCTTGTAGCAGATGCGAGCTTCAACTGGAAGCCAGTGGAGTGTGCGGAGGAGCGGGGTGACGTGAGAGAACTTGGGAAGGTTGAACACCAGACGGGCTGCGGCATTCTGGATGAGTTGTAGGGGTTTAATGGCACAGGCAGGGAGCCCAGCCAACAGCGAGTTGCAGTAATCCAGACGGGAGATGACAAGTGCCTGGATTAGGACCTGTGCCGCTTCCTGTGTAAGGCAGGGTCGTACTCTCCGAATGTTGTAGAGCATGAACCTACAGGATCGGGTCACCGCCTTGATGTTAGCGGAGAACGACAGGGTGTTGTCCAGGGTCACGCCAAGGCTCTTCGCACTCTGGGAGGAGGACACAACGGAGTTGTCAACCGTGATGGCGAGATCATGGAACAGGCAGTCCTTCCCCGGGAGGAAGAGCAGCTCCGTCTTGCCAAGGTTCAGCTTGAGGTGGTGATCCGTCATCCATACTGATATGTCTGCCAGACATGCAGAGATGCGATTCGCCACCTGGTTATCAGAAGGGGGAAAGGAGAAAATGAGTTGTGTGTCGTCAGCGTAGCAATGATAGGAGAGGCCATGTGAGGATATGACAGAGCCAAGTGACTTGGTGTATAGCGAGAATAGGACTACCGTCTCCATGTTCTCTGGTCTAATGTACATTTCGTTACCAAGGCTTTTTATGCACTCTGGTAAAAGGGGTGTTCCTACTTGCTGACACGGTCTCTGAGCTCACTCGGGGTGTGTCTAATCACCATGCATAACTTATATGAAAACGTATGATCTCGTTAGAAAACTACAATCATATTCCTAGCTTAACAAAAATACTCTCGTAATTCTCCATATTATATACACAACATATTGGATGTAAATTTGACAGATAAAGTGTGTATACTTTCCAAATTACAGTATTTTCGTTATAACATTTTTAATGACATCACAAAATAATAAACAATATGACATGATTAGTCTTTAGATCCCGACTGATCATTCCAAACATTCAGATGTTAGGAATATTGTTCCAGTGTTTACTTTTTGGACGTTATAGTTTTGGCTGCAAAAGTCTTCTGGGGGACAAAGCACATTCCTTTCACCATACTAGAGGGCCAGAGATAGATTCTACTACTCTCTAATTTATGGAAGAGTGTTAAGGTGTCAAGACCGGCACAGCCCCCCCCCCCCCACCCTCTTCTGTGGGTAAGAGGGTCTGGTTGTTGTCAGCCATTTGCCAAGCTGATCTGAGACCTTTGATCCTCACCCAGGAGTCATGACAAAAGTGTCCTAATTTATTCATTACTTAAATGAAAAACTAATGTTTTTACTAACAATATATACCTCTCCTCTCACCACAGAGCTGCGGATCCCAGACAATGCCAACGTTTTCTATGCCATGAACTCTACCGCCAACTATGACTTTGTGCTGAAGAAACGTGGCTTGTCCAAGAAAGGCCGGGCCAAGAGTGTAGCCAGCTCCACGCTGCCCCGCATGAAGCAGAAGGGCCTGAAAATCGCCAAAGGGATCTTCTGAGGACGAGTGTCCCAGCTCTGTCAGTCTGATGGATTAAGGCCCTCTAAATCCACCTAAGCTAAAGGATCTGAGAACTACACTAGAGACGGAGCCCAGTGGAAAACAAGAACAAATCATGTCTGCATGCATCACAAGCAGGCAGCAAAGCAGGAAAAGCACTTACTGGTATCAGACTGATGTCTTCTTGGCTCAGGCCTTGATGAAGGGGAGCTTAACAATGTGCTGTCCCTAACCCTTCGTGCCTAAGTTTGTGTCAGTGGTGTTTACAAATGGTATATCATAGAGAGTGTATAGCGTACATATGGCCACGTTATACACTCTCTCTGACTGTGTGGTGATTAGAGTGGTGTTGGTAAATGTTGTACTGAGGAGCACAGAGGAAGGCACAGAGAACAATGGTGGCCAGATTTATTAAACCAGGTTAGTCTCGTGAGATAAAATACATTTTCAAGAGAGACCTGGACAAAGAGACCTGATGTGCTTTCCTGGTGGGATGTGGCCCTTTTCCACTGTGAATAGATGGAAAGGTGGTCCATTGTAAGTTTAAAGAGTTTAATGCAGACGCTGACATATTGAATATAGGTCAAGGTGTGTGATCATTTCAGAGAAAACAAGGTGTCAGGAGTGTCCACTTTATTAAGAGACATACATCTTGTTTTATTGAATTATAACCACAACAAGGAATAAGGATATTGCAATGGGGCTCAATATGTTCAATAGAAGCATTTGAAAGATTAAGGAGGGTTGGTGTAAAAAAAAAAAAAAAAGAAGAGATAAACAGTGAGGAGTGATAGATATTTACAAAATACCCACACAGTATAATATCAGCATTACTTTGCAATGGACCTTTATGTTTGATGATGTTACCATTACAGTTAGGCTATTTGTTTGCTACTTTTTACTGTGCTATGCTGCTGCTAAATGCACATTTTATAAAAGGTCAATAATTCCTTATTTTTTTACAAACTTTTTTGGGGGTGAGGACAGGCATGACTTTGGGACTCTCCGAAGACGGCATTGTATTGAGTATCACTAAGTGATTCAGGGGCTCCGATGACGGCATTTCATACCACCCCGTCCCTACTGGACTATCTCTGTATGGATAACAATGGTTTACATCTCTGTACTAACAGTAGGATAGTGGTATCATGTATAATCTGTAACTGCCTGATGATTCCCCTTATGGCTGCCCAATGCCTGCCCCATGCATGCAAGAGGAGGTAATGACACAAACTCTGTGGTCGTTTTATGTCATGGAAAATACGGACAAAAAGATGTTTGTCATTTCACTGACATTACATGCCTTTATTGCTCAGTGCTGCATGCTGGTCCCAACCCCTTTAAATGGCTTTTTAAAACTGTCCTTTCTTTGATGACCATGATAGAACCATAGAGGTAGGGGAAAGCAATATGGTGGAAACTCCCCTGTGATGTGTACTATCCAGACCTCTTGTATCCGTGGCCTGGAAGGGGTGGAGAAGAGGCTGTTCTTTTGGGACCTACATAGCATAATGATTGGTTATCTATGCTGTGCTTTGTCACTGTAATTTGCTACTTACACTGTGATTGGGTCTTTGCCGATCACTCTGATTGGCTCCCTTCTATGCTGAACACTGTGAACACACATTGGTCGTGTTCCCCTGCTCAGACGTTGCATGCATCAACCAATGGTTGCGTGCCACATCATCGGCTGTGCAGTCGGGAACCAGATTGCTATAACATATGATTTGGTTAGCTGACACATAAAATACCCATCCAGGCATTGTAAGATCTGTCATGCATCAGCAATGTCTGAGCAGAGGAACACGACCCTTCTCTCTCTGTCTCGCTCTCCATTATGACACAATTAAATAGTAAAAGTCAACCCTGATAGAGAATAGATAGAGGTCCATGTGGTGGTAGAAATGTGTTCAGGGCATGGAGAAAAGGTGGCAACTGGTTTACCCCTATATGTGCCAAAGAGATGAGAGGGGGTCTGTCACTCTCAAAAGACAATGTTTGTTTCATTTCTCTATCACTTGCATTTTCTAGGGGAGATGACCATTTCTGAGTGTTATGTTCTGAACACAACAACACCATTCTAAGAACCTCAGATACACTGTTCAAGCCTAGGTGGCAGTGCGGTTACTACTGGTTACCCTTGGAGAAACTGGACCACTTCCCTAAATAGTAACAGTCCTTTGACTCTTTTCAAAGAAAGGGTTCAGTATAATTTATGCTTTACATAACTCTCTGTGTTTACTACCACTTGACTGATTGTTTTGTGGTGTTATTCATAATTACTGGAGCTTGCTTTGCTTTACCTGGAATGACTGGTCCTCCTCTGCAGATTTATTTTGCAGTATCTTTTGCCATTGCCATTATAACTTAGTTAAAACCTTTGTATGTGTTTGCAGTGTCTTGTCTCTCATGTTTTTCTATTCTTAATTATTTAACAAAATATTGAGATGTCATACTCTATGGAATTGTATTTCTTTACGTCTTTGTTGACCTGGCATTATTTATTGGTTTGTACAGAAAGATTTTGTTATGCATTGTATATTATTTCCTCTCTTATGTAATTATAGATGATTCTATACTCATGTAAATACAAATAAACACTTAAGTTTATAAAAGTAAATACTCACTTATTTAACGTTGTTGTTTTGGTGTAATTTAGTTCAATTGAGGTGAGGAGATGGCTCCTTCCTTGGCAGATGTGATAGCTAGTAACGCTCACCCCTGGTATAAACGGATCAACAGTTTGAAGCTCTCATACAGCCTACACAATAAATGAAAGCAATAGAAGAATATTCACAGGAAAGCATCAAAGATGATGAACATAATAGGCTACAGTCTCTTATCACTACTGGACTACGGAATTCGTTATGTTCTCTCTGGCGCTCCAGACTGGTCATGAAGGAAAGGAGACAAGCAAAGAAGTTAGAAAACGAACCCATGATACTGACGTCATTTCGCAGCGCCCGTTAGTGTTTTACACAATGCGCATGCTCATCAGCGCTGATCTTTGTTGTTACATTTCCAATATGGCGCTTAGTAAGACATTTGGACAAAAACCTGTCAAATTCCAGCTTGAAGAAGATGGGGATTATTATATGATTGGGTCAGAGGTTAGTATTTTATTTGGTTATAGTATATTTTAAGATGAGTCATTTAGTGTAATTTAGCTATAGTATAACCAACGTTAGTAACGACAGTTTGGTGCGTTTGCTTGATAATTACCGGCGCGTTAGCAGCTAGCGGAGGCGAGAGATAGCAGCAACAGTAGCTAGCTAGTCGATAACACAACAGTAACAGATGCTGCCCTCGTTAGCTAGCAAGCGCTTACGTTTTCTCAATTTGACGTTTTTGCTTTTAGGTAGGAAATTACCTGCGTATGTTCAGAGGTTCCTTGTATAAGAGATATCCATCACTATGGAGGAAACTGGCATCAGTGGAGGAGCGGAAGAAAATAGTGGAATCATCACACGGTTAGTAACTAATTAGTTAATGATCATGAAACGATAATATGGGATAACGAAGGCCTACTCTTGTAATGTGGTTAATTGCTAAGCCCTTTCTTCACTGCTATCAGATCATGGTTACACAACCTTAGCTACCAGTGTGACCCTTCTGAAGGCATCAGAGGTAGAGGAGATCTTTGAAGGAAACGACGAGAAGTACAAAGCTATCTCCATCAGCACAGAGCCCCCAGCCTACCTCAGGTATTGTCATCATCATTATGCATTCTCTCATAAATGTTTTGCCTGGCCCTTGATGGTCCAGGTATTGTAGTCAATAAGTCTTGTTTCATATATTGTCTTCACTTGTCACTGTGTCTGGCCTTGCCAACAGGGAGCAGAAGGGTAAGAGGAATAGTCAGTGGGTCCCCACACTGCCCAACAGCTCTCATCACCTGGACGCTGTCCCCTGCTCCACCACTATCAACCGCAGCCGCTTAGGCCGAGACAAGAAGAGGACCTTCCCTCTCTGGTGAGCCTGATAAAAACCTAAACCGCTGTCAGAACAGATTAACTCTGATGTAAAGGCCTATCATAGTCAATCATAATGTAAACAAAACTGTTTGAAACAATCTTTCCAATGTGTGGCTGTTCTCTCTCCCATGCACAGCTTTGATGACCATGATCCTGCAGTGATCCATGAGAACGCCACCCAGTCTGAGGTTCTGGTTCCAATCCGACTGGACATGGAGATAGAGGGGCAGAAGCTCAGGGATGCTTTCACCTGGAATATGAACGGTAGGATTGCATTGTAGCTTTCACAGTCTAAAACTGGTGTCCATAACGATGGTATTTGAATCCCTTTATATCTCATACTTTTCTAGAACAGTTATTTCAACATGACAACATTCTTGTCATCTTCTGTCCAACCACCTTTTTTTCTCAGTCCTAGTTCAAGTCCTCATGTTATACATGCTGTTGTTCCTCAGAGAAGCTCATGACTCCTGAAATGTTTGCGGAGATCCTGTGTGACGACCTGGACCTGAACCCCCTGGCCTTCGTCCCGGCCATCGCTTCAGCCATCCGCCAGCAGATAGAGTCCTATCCCACAGATAGCATCCTGGATGAACAGACTGACCAGAGGGTCATCGTCAAGGTACAACCAAGATTGTTATGTCAACTTACTGTGTGTGCAACGATGTGGTGAGACCAGAGTTAGGAAACGTAGACTGTGTCTTATAATTAAAGGCGCAATTTGTAGAAATAGCTCCACCATTTCCTGATTTAATTTTAAACTGCTGTGAAATATATTTTGAATAACTGAAAATATTGTATTTTCATCCGTTTGAACCTGATGTAAAAAAAATAACGAAAGAAAAAGGAGCTAATACAAAACTTACGGAGGGAAATCATAGAAATATCACACAAAGGTCATACCACGTATGAGACTTCCTTTCAATGAGAATGACAGATCTATAACTCTTATTTCTATCTGAAATCACATAATGGACCTTTAACTGATAGATCAAACATGATTTCTTATCTTCACCATAAGCTAAACATCCACGTTGGAAACATCTCACTGGTGGACCAGTTTGAGTGGGATATGTCGGAAAGGGAGAACTCCCCAGAGAAGTTTGCCTTGAAACTGTGCTCGGAGCTGGGTCTAGGGGGAGAGTTTGTCACCACCATCGCTTACAGCATCCGAGGACAACTTAGTTGGCACCAGAGGACATACGCTTTCAGGTAATATATACAGATTGATGGTCTTCACGGGTCCGGGTCCAGAATTCTAAATTCTCTCACAGGTCTGGGTCCGATCTGATATGATTGTCACGGGTCTCAGGTATGTGTAATTATAATAGATTTCCCCTTAAAGACCCGTACAGACCTGAACGCAACTGCTGCAGTAAAGAAAGAGAGAAAATGATATTTATGTTTCTGCTCTTGCTTTTCACGAGTGGCGTGTACCTTGTTGTCCGACAATCATAAGTCATCAAAGCAGCACTACAGTCATAGAGCCATAGAGCCTCCGTGTGTGGCAAAATAAGTTAGGAGGTATCTAATCGCTCAGCTACGGATAATAAAGTAGCTTAAAAATTGGGCTTTTATGCTGCTTACCTCACTCGGACCGGGTCTGGATCCGACTGGGTCTATACGGAACGGGTCAGGTTGTCCTCGGGAACGGGTCTCTAACATATGTATAGCAAATACTCAAAGCTGAGCTGGTAACAGAGGACTGATCTGTCTCCCAATAGTTTTTGTATTTGGGTGAAATGTAATAGACGTTCTTGACTTTGTAGAGTCTGTTTGTGAAGCAATGTAAGAATTAGATGAAAAGTAACTCCAAAGACAGTATCACTGGCCTCTGTTGGGCTTCTATACCAAAATACCCCTTTCAGCAACATGCTATTTTCCTGTCTGGCTGTGTCTCATGGTTGTGTAAGTAATTTGTTGTGGCTCTTTGTCTCTGTGAAGTGAGAACCCGGCTGCCCACGGTTGAGATAGCCATCCGGAACACAGGTGAAGCTGACCAGTGGTGCCCCCTGCTGGAGACACTGACACGCAGAGATGGAGAAGAAGATCAGGGACCAGGATAGAAACACTCGGTGGGTGGTGCCTCACTGGACTACTGTCCTAAAAATATACCTCATGATCTATAGATGGGTTGGTTGTTTAGCAACAAAACCGATGCCTGCGCAACTATGGGGCAAAACAGACGCAACTATGGGGCAAAACAGTTGTTGATTTGCTCTAGCAAATTTTAACCATAACATCCAGTCAAAACAAGACATGGTATCAAGAACAAGCTAAAACTAGCTGAAACTAACCACCAATTTTCCCCACATGGCAGCTTCTTGTCATTGTTGCTAGCTATCTGGCCAACCAGAATCACAACAACACACAGATTTCTGCCCCATTGAAGCGTGCGCATTGTTTTTGTGAAGTTGTCAGCAAACCCGTCTATCTTACCCAAAGCCTGCTTTCACACAGGCAGCCCAATTATTATTATTTTTTTCACTATGGTCTTTCGACCAATCAGATCAGCTGTTTTTCAGCGCTGATCTGATTGGTCAAGAGACCAATTAGTGAACAAAAGATCAGAATTGGGCTGCCTGTTTCAAAGTATGGTAAAAGGAACTATCCACCCAGCTTCTGGTCATTCAATAAAATGTGTTTCTTGTGTTAACAATGTTACAGTTAATGATATTGACTCTCCATGTACATTTGCATTACAGGCGCATGAGACGACTGGCAAACACGTGGTAGTTGATGCAAGCGGAATGTCCTGCTCCTTCAACAAGACCGACAGTAGACCATTTGATGAAGTACGAGAGTGTTGGGACTTGTTATGCTAACAGCATTAACACAGGCATTCCTTCAGCCTGTTTACCAGAGCAGGTCCTCTTCTTCACTGGTCACCTCAGCTCTCTACTCAGCCTGCATCCCCTCCACCCCCACAATGTGTTTATTTGAGCAAAGCTCCACCACAAACACTCCCTATAATGTGCTCCCTCCCTCCCCCTTCCCCTGTGTGGTGAACCTGTTCCCACTTTGACCACTGACTCTTCTACCCACCCACAGAGGAGTGAAAAACACAGGAAAACTCAGACAATATATTCTGTTATGTTGTATTTGTTGTCTTTTTGTACATTTGAATAATTCTTACAAAAATACAAGTAAAATGATCTTGATTGCTTTTGGTAAGTGTTATGTCTTTGTAAATTGCATTAAATCATAGTGACCATACAATTAAATGAAAGGTTATCAAACTAATTTAGGGAGTAAAAATAAGTTTGCCGCCTTATTACATAGTTGTTGGGCTTTTATGCATGCTTTGTTCACGCATACAACACCTGGCACAACCCAGTTGGTGGTGGTGGGCTAAGTGATTTCTATTTGGCAGCAGTGCTTCACCCACAAAGGCAACAGTTGGAAAGTGCAGACGGTGCAGGTTCCCTGGGTAACAGGATTCCAGATAGTCGGCAGATTTATGAATGAGTCGAGCAGCAGGTCCATAACAAAGACGAGGCAAGAATTTAGTTTGCACCTGTATTTAAAAGGTGTTATGCTGTTTGAAATGGCAAATGGTTGTGTGCCAGTAGTACCACAGCCTGAAATGCATGTGGTGATGGAAAGGTTGCGATGCTCATTGGCCTATGATTGCATTAGATATTTGTAGTTACAACACTCTGTGAAAGAGAAGTCTGCAACATGAAAACTCACTACAGTGGCTCCCAGTGGACACACTGAACTGTACAGATGGTACGTTCCTGCGCTCTTCATCCACATCCCTCTGAGGAGTAAACCCTCTCTATCCACAGCTGGATGGCTCCTGGTTTCTTCGGTGGGGCTGGGAGTATATCTTGGGTTTATATGGGGTTAGATGGTCCCCATGCTACTGCCTCTGGTCATTGGGCTCCCCTCCGTCTCCACCTTGGTCCTGCCAGAACTCTCCAGCCTGCCCCTCAGGGAGAGGGAAGTAGCCAGCGTCTTCCTCTGGGGTGTCAAACATGGTTCGACTGCAACAACAACAAACAAGTGTGCAATGTGCGTCAACTGACATTGCTTTGTAACATCAGACACTTTGAGGGGTACTCTCTGAAGGGCCAGAGCCAAAATTAAACTTGAGAAAAGGGCAGAGTCACTAGTCAACAACACTAGTGATACTGATACTCACAAAAGTTCTGGTGTCATCAGCAGCTTCCTGCCTCCAGGCTGGTTTGGAAACACATCCTCCAGAAAGTAGTAGATGTGTCCTACTCCGATCCCTGAGGTGGAGGAGCAAACCAGTAGCATTTACAGTTAATGACATCACAAAATAAATAGGCCAGGCAATGACTGTTAAACATAAAGGAACTGACAACACATAATGTCCAGGGGGACACATCATTATTGTTTGTCTGGACACATTTTAGGCTATGCTCTGTAGATACTAGAGATAAACACTGTAGACTGCCAGCTTGGTTAAAGTAGGGGAAAACCTATATTGTTCCTCACTACCATATCAGGGTATTTGTGAGACGGATAACATACTGTACCTAGAAGGTCAACAACAATGGAATTGCCAAGCAGCAATGAGAATCCCATGAGCACCCAGGGCAGAAATGGTGCCTGGAAGTTCAGAAGGCCGAAGAAGTTCATGCGTATGTAAGGATTCCTTCTACTCCACACATACACCAGCATGATGGTGAATGCCTGGCCCAGGAAGAATAGGTTGGCAAATAGGCCAAACAGCTGTGTAGACCTTCAAGTTAAAGACACCAGTATAAACATAAGATACACCTGCAATATGCCAACCTGAGATTATACCAGGTGTATAAACATGTCATTTGTCTTTGCTCAAAACACATGGCAACCCATAAAATGTTTTGCTGCCTATCACAATTCAAAAACATACTCATAAAATTGTACCTAGACCATTGCACAATAGAAGGAGGTTATTAACTGGAAAAACAACTGGAGACTACAATATATTATTCTTCAGGAATGCACAGTATGGCTACAGCTGTGACAGAACAGGGAACTGCTGGATGCCTTTTTTTACTTCAATACCTGGGTGCATTGGATACATTGTGTCAGTTCTAATGTAAAGGATACAGTCATGAGGACACCCCCAAACAGGAACATATATACGAAATCTGCAGTGCGGCCTCGGAAAGACCCTTCCTCCAGCATGCGGCAATACCGATACCTGTTTGTCTGGTAAAGGAAAGGAACCGCAATAACTCCAAATAAACACTGCCCTGTAAAAACAAATAATCTAGTTTTAGTTGTTCTTGCTCATGGAAATGTCCAGATGAAAGATACAGAAAGATGATGTTGAACAAAAAACTGAATCCAAGTGAGCCGAAAAAGAGGAAGTTGGTGATCAGACGCCATATCTGCAAAACAGAGAGGGAAAACACAAGTAATATTAAAGGGATAGTTCACCCAAATTACCAAAGTACACATTGGTTTCCTTATCCTGTAAGCAGTCTATGGACAAGTTACGACAGGGAAACACAGATTGCTGTCATACCTTGTCCATACACTCTTAGAAAAAAGGGTACCAAAAGGGTTCTTCGGCTGTCTCCATAAGAGAACCCTTTTTGGTTCAACTTTTTTGTTCCAGGTAGAACCCTTTTGGGTTCCATGTCGAACCCTCTGTGGAAAGGGATTTATACATGGAACCCAATAGGGTTCTACCTGGAACTAAAAGGGTTGTACCTGGAACCAAAAATGGGTTCTTCAAAGGGTTATCCTATGGGGACAGCCGAAGAACACTTTTAGGATCTAGATAGCACCTTTTTTTCTAAGAGTGTAGACTTTTTACAGGGTAAGGAAACCAATGTATCATTTTGTAATTTGTGTGAACTATCCCATTAAGTATGAGGAATACATTGTGTTTATTAACAGACGTTTCCTCTTACCTGGTATCTTCTAATGATCAGGTCTGGGTTGAAATAAAGCTGAAATGGGGTGATTACCTCCAGTTGCTACAAACCCAAAGAAAGGTAATACATTGAATGTATGAATTCCTCATCATCAGAAGTTACACTGTTTCAATATGGTATACCTTTAAATAACGTATGGTGAAAATGTGTTATGTCCCTTGATTTGTTTTATCCCATCTTTGAGTATCTGTATATTATTTCTCTAACCAATTACTCCAAAACATCCTGTGCACGGTCTGCGTTGTTAACTGCAAGCCTGCTGCAAAATAGATGCTACTCGTCAGTCGCTTACCACCGCTGCTGTAGTCAAAACGCAAGCTGTAGTGTAAGCTCTGGTAACGGAAGGAATCTGGAAATATTCCTGAGTGAAGCTGTGAGCCATGGTCAGAAGATACTCGTTTTCGCCTATGACGCTTGATACATTTGTTGATCCATAAGTCCGGGTGCAACAGCGATGTACCTTTAACAGAGCAACACGAAAGAGACATAATAATAGTCATGGCACGCCCCTACTTATATTGGCCAATCAGACTATCTATCTTTCCATCTATTTATTTATCTATATTCACAAAAATGGACAAGCTTAAATATTTTATTTGTACCAAAACACAGTACATCATTAATATATTTGTGTTTACATAGTAAATGTGACATTTGAGTAGAAAAACATGTTAAAACATAAAGATATGTAATTAGAACAGATATAATGGCTATTTTAATTAAAGGACAAGTATGTCTTGAAATGATTCTGAGCTCTATAGTCAACACCCAAAACGTTAGAAGAGATCTGCCACTGCCAGCCTGCAGCTATTGGCTGTCAAACACAAAATATCACAAATACATATTTACAGTAAAGCAGATATAATAATAATAACTTTCTTTGTACAGCACTTTCAATACAGGTAACAAAGTGCTTCACATCATAAAATAATACAATAAAAGTACTAACAAATAAACAAAGACAGGAGAAAGGATAGCTAATTTAAATCATACATTTAAATCATACATTAAAAGCATCTTTATAAAAGTGTGTCTTCAGCAGGGATTTAAAAAGAGGCACTGAATCTGCAGCCTGATCTCCTCTGGCAGGCCATTCCAAAGGCTAGGGGCTCTAATGGAAAATGCCCAGTCTTCTTTTGTTTTCAACCTACAGTAGACTTTGGAATGGTCAATAGTGCCCTACCAGAGGATCTCAGGCTGCTTCCTGGCTAAGAAGAACAAGCATATCAGTGTCCTGCACTTACAAACTGCAGGGAATGGCCCTCCAAAAAGTAACTTATCCTCATGGCTTAGATTCACATAATGCAGCACCAAGTTCACTCCATCCCTTTGCACTGACTGAGAGCAACATGGATGGAACATTATTGAATTAAGTATAGTTATCTTAGAGAGAACATAAATGTGACGCGATAATGTACTTGATGTCATACATGTAAGACCGTGAGTAAATGTTCATAACATCTGAGAACCAAAAGTGCCCCTGATTGTCAGTGATTTCCAGATTTAGCACCTTAATTGGTAAAAAGAAAAAGAAAAAAATACTTCATAGAAAATTGCAGTGCCTTAGACATATTTCCCTTTAAGAACAAAACTAACTGCAACATCTCTGGAGTAAATTAGACATCATAATACAGTTAATAACCTGCAGATGGCACTGTCCTCTCAGCCCCTTCTCTTTACCAACACCTCTTCTGACCATACACTCTTGGAAAAAAGGGTTCCAAAAGGGTTCTTTGGCTGTCCCCATAGGATAACCCTTTTTGGTTCCAAGTAAAAACGCTCTGTGCAAAGGGTTCTACATGGAACCCAAAACAGTTATACTTGGAACCAAAAGGGTTCTACCTAGAACTAACAAGGGTTCTTCAAAGGGTTCTCCTATGGGGACAGCCGAAGAACCCTTTTAGGTTCTAGATAGCACCAGAGAGTAAAACCCAACCCAGTAACAAATAAATACAAGTACATAGCTGCACATGATGTCCAAACTCTGAGGAAACATTTGAATTATTGTTTTCCTGAGAAGAAAAAAGGATCTAGTCCATTCAAAGTGTTAAGATAATGAGTAAACAAAAACATTTTGTGGAAATCACTCAAGTAAAGTAATAAAGTCTCCCTCTAAATAGTTAGTTTCTTCAACATTTGGATGACGATAAAGAGGCCTCTGGTCTTGTTCCCCAAAATGGTCTTGTTCCCCAAAATGGTCTTGTTCCCCAAAATGGTCTAATTCTCCAAAATGGTCTTGTTCCCCAAAATGGTCTTGTTACCCAAAATGGTCTTGTTCCCCAAAATGGTATTGTTCTCCAAAATGGTCTTGTTCCCCAAAATGGTCTTGTTCCCCAAAATGGTCTTGTTCTCCAAAATGGTCTTGTTCCCCAAAATGGTCTTGTTACCCAAAATGGTCTTGTTACCCAAAATGGTCTTGTTACCCAAAATGCACAACATTACAATGTTGTATTTGAAAGGACCATAAGGACGAGAACATGGTTGGACTTAACTTGGACTTAAATTTGATCTTGAGAGCATTATCACTGTCACGCCCTGGCTCTGGGACTCTGTTATGTTGAGCCAGGGTGTGTTGTTTCTATGTGTTTTGTGTGCTAGGGTGATTTTCTAGTTCATTTGTTTCTATGTTGGCCGGTGTGGTTCTCAATCAGAGGCAACGTGTATCAGCTGTTGATTGTTGTCTCTGATTGGGAACCATACTTAGGCAGCCTGTTTTCCACAGTGTGTTGTGGGATCTTGTTCCGTATGGTTTGTATTGTAACCAAGGACTTCACGTTTCGTATCGTTTGTTGTTTTGTTTCGTGTGGTGAAATAAATAAGTATGTTCACTCATCACGCTGCGCATTGGTCCACTTCCTCCAGCGATCGTGACAATCACAATGATTATTCATACATTTCTGCAACCAAAGAAGTCCATGCGAATATAGCGAGGATACCCCTGTAGTGAATTCATCTCCACAGGATCAAACTTCCAGTACTGCCTCCCACTGATAAAGTGGGCATATCCTGTCAATGGGAAAAAATCAATTCATCAATACAATCCAATAATTATCCTATGATCTAACATTTCAATGTCGGACTCACTCCCAAATTGAGGTGATTAGGTGATTCACTCATAATATTACCATATTGGTCCTTGAAGGCTGCGTCTACATCACTGGGGATGCCACTCCAGTCCTGCATGTTGCGAGGGTAGACAGAGTCCACACGGTTCTCCTTGGGGCTGAACCTCCAGTAGCTGCCTGACTTGCATAAGTAGGTGTTGTAGTTGCTGTCCTGGCCCCAGCGCAGGGCTGCCTGGATGTGGGAGACTGACAGGCCGAGGCTCTGCACAGAGTCTGGCCCTGTGATCTGTCTCTCTGCATCAAACACCCAGTAGCTTTGACCTGCAATAGAGAGCGAGAGAGAGAGAGAGAGAGAGAGAGAGAGAGAGAGAGAGAGAGAGAGAGAGAGAGAGAGACATGCCCTACTTAAGGTTGTGGAAGGTTGTGGAAGGACACTTTTCTGGCTAACTGCTTGTCTGCCTACATGTATATTAACCTGTCTGTATTCAACTTGGGGCTTATCTAATCCTATACACAAAAGACATAACTAACCACAGCACAAACAGCCAATATCTCTGTCACACACCTTGAAAGAACCAGATATTCCCTGATTGGTCTTCAAAGGCAGCATCAATGCTCTCTGGAATCCCCCTCCAATGGCGGGATACCAGGGCGGGGTAGCCTGCCTCCAGCCGCCCCTCCCGAATGCGCCACCCATAGCTTGACTTAAAGAAGAACAGCTCTCCGCGGATCATAGACACAGCATCGAAGTCTGTCTGGCAGGCGTCAGGCTGGAGACAGAAAGAGGACCACTACAGAAAAAACGGTGCTATCTAGAACCAACAAGGGTTCTTCGGCTGTCCCCATAGGAGAACCCTTTGAAGAACCCTTTTTATTTCCAGGTAGAACCCTTTTGGTTTCCATATATAATCCTTTCCACAGAGGGTTCTACATGGAACCCAAAATAATTATACCTGGAACCAAAAAGGGTTCTCCTCTGGTGGCAGCCGAAGAACCCTTCTGAAACCCTTTTTGCTTTATTCTTGTGTGGCTAGTATCTCAGTTGTATTTTATGTCTTATATTATTTTTATTTGCCTGTGCAGCGCCTCAAAAAATATATGGCAAGATTAACACTCACAATACTACTAATGATCTCATTGGTCTCTGTGGTGATTTGTGGCGGTGGTGATAGTGGAGGTGGGGGCGGGACATGTGGACGAGGGCCGTACAGGTATTGGATCCCCAGCTTGTCATCCTCGCTCAGCTCCAGGGGATAGGAGAAGCTGTAATAGGGGGACATCACTGCACCCGGTTCCCAGGAGTGCTGCAGGCCCAGAACATGCCCGAACTCATGAGCAGCCACTTGGAGGAGGTCTGTGCCTGCAGTGGAATCAGGGAGAGGGTCACACCTACGGGGATACACAGTACAACCGTAGAGCTGACAAATACTTCCTGACTGTACTCATTTTACATAGAGCTCTATGTAAATCAACTCTTCATACTTCCTGCATGTTCCCTGCCAAGCAAACACTCACCCATGTAGTTGCCAAGGGTCCATGCTTCATCATAGTCAAAATGGATGTCGCCCTCCCTGTGGGTCTTGGGGAAGAAGGCATGGGCTAGAATTCCCCCAGGGCCGTCAAAGGGCAGGTTATCTCCATGCCAGTACCTACAGTAGAGATCCATATCAGGAAAGTGCTGGCAGACCAGTAACTTAAAATCTGACATTTGAATACACATACTGTACACACATGCGTACCTGGTGAAGTCGATGACAATGTCAGCCTTTCCACTGCTGACCTCAGTGAATGTGAGGGGTGTGACCTCACTCCATACTGTCAGTGCTTCCAGCAGGACACGCTGCACTTTGTCTTCACTCATCTGCCAGGGGAAACAAACCACTCTGAGGAAGGAAGATGTACAGATATAAACATCAGAGACCGTAAACTTCACGCCCGCACGCACACACAGAGCATAGTCTGTAGCCTGTAGAAACACACCAGAGACCACCGGCCTTGTTGCATTCCTATAACCTCCCGCTCATCGGATATCTAACCATCAAATCAACAGAGAGGTGTGCTGTTACATAGACCATCAGGCTCTGTATGATAACAGTGTATCATAGTCATGTTCCTTCCCATTTACTTCATCTGTAAAGTCTCATTAGCCCATCATGGCTTCCCCTCTCCTCTCTCTGAGCGGCTCCTTAGATTCCATGCATTATGATAAAGAACAGCCACAATGAGAGGAACCAGAGGACACAGACAGAGAGGCAGCAGCCAGCCGACAGACAGCCCAGCCCAGACACTCCATGCCGTGAGTCTCAGGAGGAGGCAAAGTAATAACATTATAGGTTCCTCCTTTTCAGAGACACACTTTGTTTTTAAGGCAAATGTGATGAGAGTGCAACTCCTGCTTGCCTTGTTGAGTTAGAATATGAGAGCTATGACCAAAACAGGGGACTCAATAAACAAATGATGGATAGAGTAACACTGGATTCTGGACATACTGTACCTTTCCCTCCAGTACTGGCAAATATGCACCAAAACATGATAACAATTATATTTACTTTGTTGGGTCCAAGTCCATCTCTAAGCTGTACAAGAGTGTGGTTATACTATAATAATAATAATAATAATAATAATAATAATAATAATAATAATAATATCATCATTATTATTATCCTTACTTGTAGGTGAGGTCAGTCTTCTCCAAGCGCCCCCCGAACAGGACAAAGCGTTTCTGCCTGTGATTCCTCCTGTAGAGGACATCTTTCAGCATGGGGTAGTCAGGAACGCCACAGCGGGGGCGGTTAGACACCTCAGTGATGTTTGTTACCAGTGCTGCTCTTATAGGGTCTCCTCTGGCCAAGGCTGTGTCTTTGAGTGTGTCCTGAGGATGGGCAACTCTTCCTCTCTTCTTCAGGTCGTGGAGATCAGACCTCTGGAGCCATCCCTTTGAAAAAGCAGGATCATGACCAACATTTATTAGAAAACATGTTTACAAAATTGTCACTTATTTGGATGAACATCTTTAATTAAAAAGCATTAGAGAACAATAGATTTGGTGCAGATATGTATCCCAATGCATTGCACTTTTTTGGAATCCATGCATGCATTGGCATTGCCTTAAAGGGAAATTTCACAATTTTTCTACTTCACATTCATCATCTCCAGGACCACCCTAACATCAACGTATGTGAAAATGGTGCGTTTCTATGTTTTGTAGTAAAAAAGATAGAGAAAGATTTGTAGACAATTAGTAGGCAATTAGTAGGCAATGCCTACTCACAATTGGTCAAAATCACACGATGCACACCGATGATGTCATTGGAAAAACGTATCTTCCTCTATATTTTTACTACAAAACATAGAAACGCACCATTTTCACATATGTTGATATTGGGGTGGTGCTGGAGATTATGAATATGAAGTTGAACATTTTTGAAGTTTCCCTTTAACATGATTGCTAGTATCTCTGTGTGTTCGTGCCGTGGGAGGAGGGGTTGGTTTGTTGGCAGAGAGCAATGGCTAGCTAGTATGCTAACTATTCTAGCTAACTAACTGGCTGAATAAGTTGACGACGTACTCACTCAAACTGTCAAAACTAACCCAAAACTTTACACAACGTTAGACACGGACATGAATGATCTGCTTGGCGTGTTAACACACCGGTGGTTTGTTGTAACTGAGTATTGGTGCTAAACCGTGTTATTGGAGGCTGGCATGCTAGTTGGCTATGGCGTTATAGGATTCGGTGCCCTGGACGGTTTTCTTGGAAGAATACTGTACCAAATTAGCTAGCTGAATAAACTAAGTTAGAGTCTATTCCTAGAAAACATAGAACTGCTGTAGTTTACAACAATTATAATTTCTAAAGTGGATGTTGGGAGAGTTATATTTGAGGGTTTCAGTGAAACGTAAGTGAGGGAGGCCCCGCTCTCTCGCTTTCCCAGATGTTTAGTTCATTTTATTCCGATCTCCTTTGCATTATTGTAGTCTTTTTCTGTAGCCTGTCAACTATGTGTCTGTCTATCCCTGTTCTCTCCTCTCTGCACAGGCCATACAAACGCTTCACACCACGTGGCTGTTGCCACTCTAATCTGGTGGTCCCTGCGCGCACGACCCACGTGGAGTTCCAGGTGTCTGGCAGCCTCTAGAACTGCCGTTCTGCGGCCAACAAGGCAGTTAATCTCAGCCTATGCTACCCTCCAGTCCCTCGACTTTTTGGCGCTGATGGAAACATGGATTACCACAGAAAACACTGCTACTCCTACTGCTCTTTCCTCGTCTGACCATGTGTTCTCGCATACCCCGAGAGCATCTGGTCAGCGCGGCAGTGGCATAGGAATCCTCATCTCTCCCAGTCACTAGCCCATTCAAGCTTAACATCCTTGTTATTTATCGCCCTCCAGGTTCCCTTGGAGAGTTCATCAATGAGCTTGATGCCTTGATCAGTTCCTTTCCTGAGGATGGCTCACCCCTCACAGTTCTGGGTGACTTTAACCTCCATACGTCTGCATTTGACTCATTTCTCTCTGCCTCCTTCTTTCCACTCCTTTCCTCTTTTGACCTCACCCTCTCACCGTCCCCCCCTACTCACAAGGCAGGCAATACGCTTGACCTCATCTTTACTAGATGCTGTTCTTCTACTAATCTCACTGCAACTCCCCTCCAAGTCTCCGACCACTACTTTGTATCCTTTTCTCTCTCGCTCTCCTCCAACACTACTCACTCTGCCCCTACTCAGATGGTAATGTGCCGTCGCAACCTTCGCTCTCTCTCTCCCGCTACACTCTCCTCTTCCATCCTATCATCTCTTCCCTCTGCTAAATCCTTCTCCCTCTGATCTCCTGATTCTGCCTCCTCAACCCTCCTCTCCTCCCTGTCTGCATCTTTTGACTCTCTATGTCCCCTATCCTCCCGGCCGGCTCGGTCCTCCCCTTCTGCTCCGTGGCTTGACGACTCATTGCGAGCTCACAGAAGAGGGCTCCGGGCAGCCGAGCGGAAATGGAGGAAAACTAGACTCCCTGCAGACCTGTCATCTTTTCACTCCCTCCTCTCTACATTCTCTTCCTCTGTTTCCGCTGCTAAAGCCACTTTCTACCACTCTAAATTTCAAGCCTCTGCCTCTAACCCTAGGAAGCTCTTTGCCACCTTCTCCTCCCTGCTGAATCCTCCTCCTCCTCCCCCTCCCTCCTCCCTCTCTGTGGATGACTTTGTCAACCATTTTGAAAAGAAGGTTGACGACATCCGATCCTCATTTATTAAGTCAAATGACACCACTGGTCCTGCTCACACTGCCCTACCCTATGCTTTGACTTCTTTCTCCCCTCTCTCTCCAGATGAAATCTTGCGACTTGTGACGGCCGGCCGCCCAACAACCTGCCTGCTTGACCCTATCCCCTCCTCTCTTCTCCAGACCATTTCCGGAGACCTTCTCCCTTACCTCACCACGCTCATCAACTCATCCTTGACCGCTGGCCATGTCCCTTCCGTCTTCAAGAGAGCGAGAGTTGCACCCCTCCTCAAAAAATGTACACTCGATCCCTCCGATGTCAACAACTACAGACCAGTATCCCTTCTTTATTTTCTCTCCAAAACTCTTGAGCGTGCCGTCTCTAGCCAACTCTCCTGCTATCTCTCTCAGAATAACCTTCTTGATCCAAACCAGTCAGGTTTCAAGACTGGTCATTCAACTGAGACTGCTCTTCTCTGTGTCACGGAGGCTCTCCACACTGCTAAAGCTAACTCTCTCTCCTCTGCTCTTATCCTTCTAGACCTATCCGCTGCCTTTGATACTGTGAACCATCAGATCCTCCTCTCCACCCTCTCCGAGTTGGGCATCTCCGGCGCTGCTCACTCTTGGATTGCGTCCTACCTGACAGGTCGCTCCTACCAGGTGGCGTGGCGAGAAGCTGTCTCCGCACCACGTGCTCTCACCACTGGTGTCCCCCAGGGCTCAGTTCTAGGCCCTCTCCTATTCTCTCTATACACCAAGTCACTTGGCTCTGTCATATCCTCACATGGTCTCTCCTATCATTGCTACGCAGACGACACACAATTACTTTTCTCCTTTCCCCCTTCTGATAACCAGGTGGCGAATCGCATCTCTGCATGTCTGGCAGACATATCAGTGTGGATGTCGGATCACCACCTCAAGCTGAACCTCGGCAAGACGGAGCTGCTCTTCCTCCCGGGGAAGGACTGCCCGCTCCATGATCTCGCCATCACGGTTGACAACTCCATTGTGTCCTCCTCCCAGAGTGCAAAGAACCTTGGCGTGACCCTGGACAACACCCTGTCGTTCTCCGCTAACATCAAAGCGGTGACCCGATCCTGCAGGTTCATGCTCTACAACATTCGCAGAGTACGACCCTACCTTACACAGAAAGCGGCACAGGTCCTAATCCAGGCACTTGTCATCTCCCGTCTGGATTACTGCAACTCGCTGTTGGCTGGGCTCCCTGCCTGTGCCATTAAACCCCTACAACTTATCCAGAACGCTGCAGCCCGTCTGGTGTTCAACCTTCCCAAGTTCTCTCATGTCACCCCGCTCCTCCGCACACTCCACTGGCTTCCAGTTGAGGCTCGCATCTACTACAAGACCATGGTGCTTGCCTACGGAGCTATGAGGGGAACGGCACCTCCTTACCTTCAGGCTCTGATCAGACCCTGCACCCAAATGAGGGCACTACGTTCATCCACCTCTGGCCTGCTAGCTCCCCTACTTCTACAGTTCCCGCTCAGCCCAGTTAAAGCTATTCGCTGCTCTGGCATCCCAATGGTGGAACAAGCTCCCCCACGACACCAGGACAGCGGAGTCACTGACCACCTTCCGGAGACACTTGAAACCCTACCTCTGTAAGGAATACCTGGAATAGTATAAAGTAATCCTTCTAACCCCCTCTCCCCCACCCATAAAAAAAAAAGTGGTTGTCCCACTGGCTATCATAAGTTGAATGCACCAATTTGTAAGTCGCTCTGGATAAGAGCGTCTGCTAAATGATGTAAATGTAAATGTAAATGAGTATGAGAGGTCAACAATAACTGGAAATCTCCACAGAGTAAAAAACACAATTGTGCGTCAGATAGTGTTTTCCCTTGTCGACTTGGAGTGGGCTTGTAGCTTACTTTACTGGCAGTTATCATTACACATAGGAACAATTACAGTAAATATCCCCCTGCAGAACCCAGAAGAAATGACTTCGCTCATCACCTCTTACCTCAAGCATAAATTACAGAGAGGAGAAATTCTGTCAGTGGCACAGCATCTCCATGGCTTTTTGAAGTTGTACAATTCAAGGCCTTTTACAGATTTGCATTTCAGGAAGCATTGCGGTGCTCTCATGATCACAAAAGTGTTTATAGTGCATTTCCTCTGACACTGCTACTGTAAAACACATTGGATTTCCTAATGCACTAAGAACATGAGAATGTAGCGTATTCTAGACTCTTAGAAAAAAGGGTTCCAAAAAGGTTATTCGGCTGTGCACATAGAATAACCCTTTTTGGTTCCAGGTTAGAACCCTTTTTGGTTTCAGGTAGAACCCTTTTGGGTTCCATATAGAACCCTCTGTGGAAAGGGTTGTACATGGAACCAAAAAGGGTTCTACCTGGAACCAAAAAGGGTTTTTCAAAGGGTTCTCCTATGGCAGGGTTCCTATTAGGCCCCCCAAGTTTTCTGAGCAAAAAAATCTTTTTTGTGTGTGTGGAATTTCATTGTTGGACATAGAAGACTGTAAAAACACCAGGAAATCAGCTCCAAGTGATTTTAATTTAAGAAATCTGTTCCCAAGTATTTCCATGCATAATAGAGAGACACGTGATCGTATACAAATGTAAGCAAGGTTTGAAATGATTATGTTTTAGTCTAACATTATATAGATTTGGGCTTCTTGCGGTCAATTTGCAGTCTACAAATTTTTTGTAATTATGTTCCGGCCCCCTGACCATCCGCTCCAGAAAAAATCGGCCCGCGGCTGAATCTATTTGATGATCCCTGTCCTATGGGGACAACTGAATAACCCTTTTAGGTTCTATATAGCCCTTTTTTTCTAAGAGTTTAGCGTATTCTAGATGAACGATAACCAGACATAAGTCCTAATCATTCTGTCATTGTGTCAAGACAGCCCTCCCTCTGGTAGCCTACTGCTTTGTGAGGCTTTAGTGTTGTGGAGTTGTGGGATAATGGGAACAATGCCCAGCAGGATTCGTGGAATGTGCTCCAGACCTCAAAATGAGAGGGCCTTACCCTGAGTTATGTGCCCCAATCAAGGAAGAAACACTAGGCAGCAGAACTCTCAGTCATTCCGCCTGCATTTCACTTTGTAAACTGTAATGTAACTCTAATATATGGATGTTGGGCTTGCTCTCTAATCTAGTTTGGTAATAAGATGTATACCCAACAGCATGAGAATGGGAGTGTGGGCTATCTACAGTACGCTGTAAAGCGTGGCTATCAAGCAGGAGGAGTGTGCACTCAACATATTTCTAAAAGGGAAATGAGAAGAGAAATTACTGCGGTTGACAAGTTGCTGACAATAACTCCCTCCCATCTGTCAAATGGATCAGTCTAGCCCCTAAGGTGAGAGAAAGCACAGCTCCTCCACCTCAGATTCCCAACAGGGTAAAGGCCAAAGTTCACTTCCATGGTGTCACAGGGTTTGAACAGTGAACTTATGAAAGCTTTGACTGTCCTCAAATTGCATGTCTTTGTTTACATTTACGGCATGTACTATATATGCTCTTCTGTATGTATATCCACTGAGCAGACAGACTGGACACATATTTAAATATGAACATATGTTGTGTATACCCAATACGTGGTGTTCAGTGGTGTCTTCTGTGCTTTCACTGCTCTGGCTGGGACTCAACAACAGGGGCTTGAGATTCCTAGATGACCACTCTGGGTAGTAGAGCCATTGGAGGAGCAGAGTTCCCCAGACAATATTGACTTGTCTGCAGCCGGCTTGCGTGTTCTCACATAATCTGAGAGCAGACAGAGAATATCCTTATAGGAGTCTCTGGCACAGTGTTTCTCAGCTATGCCCTGGGAGACGCAGTCAGTCCATTATCTTCTGTTCTGCTGACTATGCAAGATGCCCATTTATGAAGTAGTTCACCCTCCGAAAGAGGCCTCTAGGTGACTCAGGATGTTTTATCATTGTGTTTGTGAACCAATGTGTTTTGGGAGGGGGATCCATTACATGTATGGGCATGTCTAGCTTCTGGTTACAGTGATCTGTGAGTCACTGCAGTGGAGGGGATCTGACAGAGTGGTATTCAAAGAGCACAACTCAACATGTCTGTACAAGTATACAAGTATCCTAAAGCCTAGATATTAAAACATGTGGACATTCTGTCAGTTCGTGTAAGAATTTGTAAAAAGGAGGACACTTAAACCCTTTCATATAGGAACAATACTAGAGGATATTGTCTGCGAACTGAGCAACTTGGTAATGTTTACACAATAAATCAGATATGGACTTGATTTGGAGAGTGTATGTATACTACTGAGTAAATACAGACAAACTGTTTCACTATAACAGGATAGAAGATTAAACTGATGAGGTGAAAGATAGATGCACCACTATCAACAAATGCCTTGGTATCTGCTTCCTTATCCTCCTTAATCCAATACATCAGCCACAATCAGTAACACCAGGCGATGGAAGATAGGTTACAAATCCTCTGGGTACTTACTATGCTCTCTTATCTTTCCTGGCAAACAAACTTCCTCCCCTGACACCTCAGGTTTCCAGATTCTCTGTCTGCCGAGCTGAGAATCAGGGGGATGATGCCACCCTCACCGTGCATGACCTGATCACACATTAACTGGGTTTTTGTGACCTGCTGTGACCTAATTTAATAGGTGGATGCTATGGGAACTGAGGCTAGTAATCTCTGATGTCACTTCCGGTCTCATGGGTGTTTGGCAGTCAGTTTGGCCAGAGGACAGAACTAATGGAGCAAAACAGGAAGAAAAACCAAGGGACATGGCTTTTATTCACAAAGGGATATCCAAACATTGAGCCCATCATGTTATTTTCCCTCCATTTTCCATGTGAGAGCAAACAGGCACTGTGTTTCCTGACCCAGATACAGAGAAACTTGTCCCTGCTTGTATAATCACCCACTCTTTTGTCAACAACGGGAAACAAATTGACAAAACTATAGATTAGGCTTTCCAGTTCAGTTACAAACTAGACATAACACTGCAAGTAATTTCAGTAAAGGAAGAGAGTATAAACTAAACTAACAACTTTTCCTCCATTAACAACTTTTCCTCCATGCCATTGAGGGGACGTTTGTTATACTTGGTCCTTCATACAGTTGGTTTACAGTAGGCTACCTCAGACATTCTCAAATTGATGAGTTAGCCTTTTTTTCCAGTTTTCATCAAGTAGCCAATAATCTCTGTCATTGAGGCAGTAGGCTAATATTGCAAGTTATCAGTAATATATCATCTAGAACATCAATTTGGACATAAAAAACTCCCAATGGCAATGTGGAGCTTCGCTCTTTATCCTCTCATTCACGGAGTTGTTGACAAAATGTCCTTATAGACCAGTTATTATCGTTTCCTGCCCTGCGGAGACAAGAACTCAATTACCTTCTCTATTTACCACACGCCCACACCCTTCTGGACTTTCAGTTGTGCCATGGTAGCACAAATGTTACATATCAGATCAATTAACATTGCATGAAGGTTGAAAATAAAAGCCTTTTTGATGTCAGTGTCGATGATGTGGCAGTGGCTCTGTGAAGTTTCTAAATGAAACATTGCTTAGACTTAGTCCCATCCTGGGAGGGTTATGTGTTTGACAGATAAATATTTTTGTTTAGGATTAATGTTGCAGTGTTTACAGGGCCAATCAGCAATTGAAACAATAATAAAGCGATCTCCCTACCTCTGTTCCGGTAAAAAAGCTGAGGGATGGGCTGGAGTAATGTACCCACTCTCAAATTCATAGACAGAGCTATGGATGCAAGGACTGACCATCCATGATATCAAAATTATAGTTTTAACCATGTTTTGAGGCTATACAGTGTTTGTTTTTACTTTGTTTACAAACATTGAAGTGAAACAAGCAAATATTATGGGTTTTGATCGGGTACGTTAATCTAAGCTCATAAAGCATTTATAAATGATATTCTTCAAAAATCAATGGATACATATCACAAACTGTATAGGTCCAAAAAAATGATGTAGCAACTGCTGATTGCCCCTTTCAAATCTTATGTTGTGATATACTAATTTCATATATGACACTTTGTCCACTGGGCAGGTGCATCATTTTAACACTAAGTATTGACATAGAGCCCTTCTAATAATATTGAGCATAAAATCTACAAAATTATTTGTTTTGACAGATGGGTTTGAAACATTTAGCAGGTTGGTGTCGGTCAACCAGCGCGAAGCATAATCATAACTGTAAGCAAGCACACTGTAGAGTGGGTATAGCACACTGGCCATTCGAAAAAGACTGGAAAACTGGGATTGACAACTAAGCAAACTATTCTGCACTCTCATGTGTGCATGATTTGAAATAGCAGGTGAATTGGAAATGCACGGATAATAGTTGGCAATGACTTGCAACACCGATGAAACTTCCAGTAATTACACTATCAAGCTATGTGTTTCTGTTGAGTGATATTATCAAACAAAGAAAAATTATAAAACTAAAGTATTCTGCACTCACCGGCGTCGATTTGTACCTGATTGCTTCCGGCACTGGCGAACAATGCATGCTTCCGAGGCACTGCAGCGTAAAGAGGCAAGATAGAAGGACAGAAGTCTGCATCATCATCTTCTGGACCCGTGGACAGCTCTCTCTCTTCAGCCAAAGAGTAGCGGCGCAGTTTTTTGGGGCTCTTTTATAGGTTCTGATTATTTGTTCTTTCTTCAAATACGCTTTTTATAGGCTGGACTCTGGAGTGATAATACCACCCGCTACAACGTAACATTTAACCCATTTTGTGGTGCGCTAACATGGATTTTTGGATTCAAAACGGATGATCTACCTGCAATGGCCAGAATAGGAAACTAATGCATTTTCTCTTTGTGAAAAATAACTTATGTGAAACTCAAATGTGTTATTCATCAGTAAATATTTCAAGAACGCTATTGAAGGTTTTAGTTTATGTTTGAGCTGATATTAATACGTGTATGGCTATTCAGTTCAGCCAACTGGTAATGACACACATAGGCTACATACATTTCGTTTGCAAGAAGTTGTGAGATTGTTTCCAAAAAACAACAGCCCATTCACCATTTGTGTCTTTGATTCTGAAAATAATGTGTCACAACAACTCTCATAACCCAAACCTTGGTCCTAGGAGTGGTGCCCATCTCCAAGTTGGCACCAGTCACAGCAGCCACAAAAAAAGCTGGAACACCCACAGCAAGGTATTCCCTGAAACTCCATTTAAGTTAATTTCAGTAAGTATGGGCATTGAATAACAGAATTGAGGAATTTAACAGTGCTAGTCTATTTAATTACTGACAGACAGGTAAGAACAGGGAAAAGGCCCTAATAAATCCCATTTGCCTGAAAGAGAATTGCAAGCCACAAACCACAGAGGGCTTGTTAAATGAAAGAGATATTATAAAGAGGTGTGTGTGTGTGTGTGTTTGTGTGTGTGCGTGTGCGCGTGAATGATTTTTAAATTGCTGACTAACTAAAGCTTTTCAAGGACCCGAAGGCTTTTGTGGACACTCAACAAGAAGGTAAGACCTTCCAGGAAATATTTTCCCAATAATCCAGTGCTGTGCCCACCCTTCTTCTTGATTACTGTTTATAAGTGTGTCACTACTAAGTAACTCTCATGAACCAGGGCCAGGTGGCTGAACACTGACCTCACCCACCTCATCCGACCTACCTCATTGGGCCCCTTGTTGGTCAGACAGATACATGATGAGGTGAATACCTTTGTTCAGGTGAAGTAAACTCAAAGAATAGTATGGACTATTGCAAACATTATGCTCCACTAACTACAGCACATAAAATACACTTTTGTTGTTGTAGTGTTTTGCCCTTGAACCTAAAAACATAGCTTTTTGGCCTTCCTGTGACATCGGGTGCTGTAGGTGTCCTTGAGGGCTGGTAGTTTGCCCCTGGTGATGCATTGGGCAGACCGCACCACCCTCTGGAGAGCCCTGCGGTTGCGGGCGGTGCAGTTGCCGTACCAGGCGGTGATACAGCCCGACAGGATGCTCTCAATTGTGCATCTGTAAAAGTTTGTGAGGGTTTTAGGTGCCAAGCCAAATTTCTTCAGCCTCCTGAGGTTGAAGAGGCGCTGTTGTGCTGTGTCTGTGTGGGTGGACCATTTCAGTTTGTCAGTGATGTGTACGCCGAGGAACTTGAAGCTTTCCACCTTCTGAACTGTGGTCCCGTCGATGTGGATAGGGGGGTGCTCCCTCTGCTGTTTCCTCCAGTGCTCTCCAGTGAGATAATCCTCTGGGTGGGGGTGAAATGGATATTAAATCTTGGCTGCATTAGGCCTCTCTGCCTCAGTCTGTTTCAAATGGCAGACACTGGCGTGATGTCTTCAGGACTTTTTATTCCTTTCTCAGGAAAGGGTTTCTGTTTAATATCACCTGTGAGCAACACTGAGAAAATCACACTGCTCTTTACAGAGAGGGCCAGCTATAAATCCTATGAGGTGTTTGATATATAAACCTTGGCCTTAAAAGCATGTCAGGTCTGTGTGAGTAACATTCTCTAGTACAGTAGCCTAATATTCAACTCATTATAATATTGGTTAATCTGTAAATGCTAATCTATTCTTACAATGTGAACATATTCACAGTTGCAGTGAGGAAAAAAGTATTTGATCCCCTGCTGATTTTGTACGTTTGCCCACTGACAAAGACATGATCAGTCTATAATTTTAATGGTAGGTTTATTTGAACAGTGAGAGACAGAAAAACAAAAAAAAAATCCAGAAAAACGCATGTCAAAAATGTTATAAATTGATTTGCATTTTAATGAGGGAAATAAGTATTTGACCCCTCTGCAAAACATGACTTAGTACTTGGTGGCAAAACCCTTGTTGGCAATCACAGAGGTCAGACGTTTCTTGTAGTTGGCCACCAGGTTTGCACACATCTCAGGAGGGATTTTGTTCCACTCCTCTTTGCAGATCTTCTCCAAGTCATTAAGGTTTCAAGGCTGACGTTTGGCAACTCGAACCTTCAGCTCTCTCCACAGATGTTCTATGGGATTAAGGTCTGGAGACTGGCTAGGCCACTCCAGGACCTTAATGTGCTTCTTCTTGAGCCACTCCTTTGTTACCTTGGCTGTGTGTTTTGGGTCATTGTCATGCTGGAATACCCATCCACGACCCATTTTCAATGCCCTGGCTGAGGGAAGGAGGTTCTCACCCAAGATTTGACGGTACATGGCCCCGTCCATCGTCCCTTTGATGCGGTGAAGTTGTCCTGTCCCCTTAGCAGAAAAACACCCCCAAATGTTTCCACCTCCATGTTTGACGGTGGGGATGGTGTTCTTGGGGTCATAGGCAGCATTCCTCCTCCTCCAAACACGGCGAGTTGAGCTGATGCCAAAGAGCTCGATTTTGGTCTCATCTGACCACAACACTTTCACCCAGTTCTCCTCTGAATCATTCAGATGTTCATTGGCAAACTTCAGACGGCCCTGTATATGTGCTTCCTTGAGCAGGGGGACCTTGCGGGCGCTGCAGGATTTCAGTCCTTCACGGCGTAGTGTGTTACCAATTGTTTTCTTGGTGACTATGGTCCCAGCTGCCTTGAGATCATTGACAAGATCCTCCCGTGTAGTTCTGGGCTGATTCCTCACCGTTCTCATGATCATTGCAACTCCACGAAGTGAGATCTTGCATGGAGCCCCACGCCGAGGGAGATTGACAGTTATTTTGTGTTTCTTCCATTTGCGAATAATCGCACCAACTGTTGTCACCTTCTCACCAAGCTGCTTGGCGATGGCCTTGTAGCCCATTCCAGCCTTGTGTAGGTCTACAATCTTGTCCCTGACATCCTTGGAGAGCTCTTTGGTCTTGGCCATGGTGGAGAGTTTGGAATCTGATTGATTGATTGCTTCTGTGGACAGGTGTCTTTTATACAGGTAACAAGCTGAGATTAGGAGCACTCCCTTTAAGAGTGTGCTCCTAATCTCAGCTCGTTACCTGTATAAAAGACACCTGGGAGCCAGAAATCTTTCTGATTGAGATGGGGTCAAATACTTATTTCCCTCATTAAAATGCAAATCAATTTATAACATTTTTGACATGCGTTTTTCTGGATTTATTTGTTGTTATTCTGTCTCTCACTGTTCAAATAAACCTACCATTAAAATTATAGACTGATCATTTCTTTGTCAGTGGACAAACGTACAAAATCAGCAGGGGTTCAAATACTTTTTTCCCTCACTGTATTATTATGTACAGTGCCTTCAGAAAGTTTTCACACCCCTTGACCTTTTCCACATTTTGTTGTGTTTCAGCCTGAATTTAGAAATGATTAAATTGAGATTTTTTTGTCACTGACCTATACACAATACCCCATAATGTCAAAGTGGAAATATGTTTTTAGAAATGTTGCATGGACTCTGTGCAATAATAGTGTTTAACATAATTTTTTGAATGACTACCTCATCTCTGTACTCCACACATGCAATTATCTGTAAGGTCCCTCAGTTGAGCAGTGAATTTCAAACACAGATTCAACCACAAAGACCAGGGAGGTTTTCCAATGCCTCACAAAGAAGGGCACCTATTGGTAGATGGGTAAAAATAAAAAGGCAGACATTGAATATCCCTTTGAGCATGATGAAGTTATTAATTACACTTTGGATGGTGTATGAATACACACAGTCACTACAAAGATAGACGCCCTTCCTAATTCAGTTGCCAGAGAGGAAGGAAACCGCTCAGGGATTTCACCATGAGACCAATGGTTACTTTGAAACAGTTACAGAGTTTAATGGCTGTGATAGGAGAAAACTGAGGATGGATCAACAACATTGTAGTTACTCCACAATACTAACCTAATTGACAGAGTGAAAAGAAGGAAGCCTGTACAGAATAAAACATATTCCAAAACATGCATCCTGTTTGGAACAAGGCACTAAAGTAATACTGCAATAAATGTGGCAAAGAAATTAACTTTTTGTCCTGAATACAAAGTGTTATTTTTGGGGCCAATCCAATACGACACATTACTGAGTACTGGCTGCATCATGTTATGGGTATACTTGTAATCATTAAGGACTGGGGAGTTTTTCAGGATGAAAAATAAACATAATGGAGCTAAGCACAGGCAAAATCCTATAGGAAAACCTGGTTCAGTCTGCTTTCTACCAGACACTGGGAGATGAATTCACCTTTCAGCAGGACAAACCTAAAACACAAGGCCTAAAATACAAGGCCAAATCTACACTGGAGTTGCTTACCAACAAGACAGTGAATGTTCCTGACTGGGCGAGTTACAGTTTTGACTTAAATCAGCTTGAAAATCTATGTCAAGACTTGAAAATGGTTGTCTAGCACTGATCAACAACCAATTTGACAGAGCTTGAAGAATTTTGAAAATAATAATGGGCAAATATTGTACACTCCAGGTGTGCAAAGCTCTTAGAGACTTACCCAGAAAGACTCACAGCTTTAATCGCTGCCAAAGGTGATTCTAACATGCATTGACTCAGGGGTGTGAATACTTATGTAAATGAAATATTTCTGTATTTCATTCTTTAAAATATTTCTCAAATGTTTAAAAACATGTTTTCACTTTGTCATTATGGGGTATTGTGTGTAGACGGGTGAGACATTTTTTCAATTTAATCTATTTTTAATTTCAGGCTGTAACACAACAAAATGTGAAATAAGTCAAGGGGTATGAATACTTTCTGAAGGAACTGTATGTGTAATTGTTAATGCTAAGAACAATACATAATCTTCCTGAAAATAAATGGTCAGTCATTACTTCAGAGGGAATTGTCAATTCCAACAACCAACGTATTACATCACATCCCTGAGAAACCCATTCTCACATGTTCAGTTATGTTATGGTTAGGTGTCAGCCCCCAACAATGATCACATGTCATCCTAAATGCAAACCAGACCTTGGGCTCTAGTGTGTAACCTGTCGCCAACAGGCTGGTCTCATAGCAGGGTCATAAAATAGCAGGGTCATGAAAGTTGGCCCTATGGGAGAACCATTATCCCTCTTTCTCTCCCCCAGAGTGACCTGGTTTGACCTCCTGTGGGACTTACCACAACAAAGGACTGAGGTGAGTGTTTGGTTGGGTCCCTTACTGCGACTGAAGGAAAATCAAACCCGGATGAAATATGGTAGTGATTCTATGTGTAATGATGTCATGTACAGCTTTCGTGATCAGTTAATTATTTTATTCAAAGCTATTTTTGTTCATAAGTCAGTTGTTTCCTGTTTTCCAAGCAAGATACAAGTTGATGCTCTATCATGACAAAATAATAATAATACATTGGGCAAAACTGTGCACGTAAAGTGGAAGTGACAAAAACACCTGAAACTATACAGCTCAGCCTTTAACACCATAGTATCCTGCAAGCTTATCACTAAGCTCAGGACCCTGGGACTGAACACCTCCCTCTGCAACTGGATCCTGGACTTCCTGAAGGTCCGCCCCAAGTGGTGAGGGTAGGCAACAACACATCCGCCACGCTGACCCTCAACACGGGGGACCCTCAGGGGTGCGTGCTTAGTCCCCTCCTTTACTCCCTGTTCTTCCACGACTGCGTGGCCGTGAACAACTCCAACACCATCATTAAGTTTGCTGACGAAACGACAGTGGTAGGCCTGATCACCGATGACGATGAGACAGCCTATAGGGAGGAGGTCAGTGACCTGGCAGTGTGGTGAGGGCAGTAAACCGAGGGCTGAGCACGCCCCCATCCACATCGACGGGACTGTAGTGGAGCGGGCCAAGAGCTTAAAGTTCCTCTGTGTCCACATCACTAAGGAATTAACATGGTCCACACACACCAACAAAGTCGTGAAGAAGGCACGACAACGCCTCTTCCCTCTCAGGAGGCTGAAAAGATTTGGCATGGGCCCGCAGATCCTCAAAAAGTTCTACAACTGCACCATTTAGAGCATTTTGACTAGCTGCATCACCGCTTGGTATGGCAAATGCTTGGCATCCGACCGCAAGGCGCTACAGAGGGTAGTGCGTACGGCCCAGTACATCACTGGGGCCTAGCTCCCTGACATCCAGGACCTTTATACCAGGCGGTGTCAGAGGAAGGCCGTAAAAATGGTCAAAGACTCCAGCCACCCAAGTCATAGACTGTTCTCTCTGGTACCGCATGGCAAGCAGTAGCGATGCACCAAGTCTGGAACCAACAGGTCCCTGAACATCTTCTACCCCCAAGGCCTAAATAGTTAGTTAAATAGTTAACCAAATAGCTAACCTTACTATCTGCATTGACCACCTTTTGCACTAACTCTTTTGACTCATCACATGCGCTGCTTAACATCTATCCTGTTGCCTAGTCACTTTATCCCTACCTATATGTACATATCTACCTCAATTACCTTGTACCCCTGCACACTGACTCGGTACTGGTACCCTGTGTATATAGCCAAGTTATCGTTACTCATTGTGTAGTTATTCCTCATGTTATTATTTTTCTATTTTTCTCTCTGCATTGTTGGGATGGGCCCATAAGTAAGCATTTCATTGTTAGTCTACACCTGTTGTTTACGAAGCATGTGACAAATAAAATGTGATTTGATTTGACAAAACTGTGCATGTAGAGTGGAAGTGACAAAAACATCTTAAACTTGGGCAATAGACTGTCGGGATTTATTTAGAATTCAAGGCACACTTAACCAGCATGGCTACCACAGCATTCTGCAGCCATACACCATCCCATCTGGTTTGCGCTTAGTGGGACTATCATTTGTTTTTCAACAGGACAATGACCCAACACACCTCCAGGCTGTGTAAGGGCTATTTGACCAAGAAGGAGAGTGATGGTGTGCTGCATCAGATGACCTGGCCTCCAGAATCCCCCGACCTCAACCCAATTGAGATGGTTTGGGATGAGTTGGACCGCAGAGTGAAGGAAAAGCCACCAACAAGTGCTCCTTCAAGACTGTTGGAAAAGCATTCCAGGTGAAGCTGGTTGAGAGAATGCCAAGAGTGTGCAAAGCTGTCATCAAGGCAAAGGGTGGCTACTTTGAAGAATCTCAAATATAAAATATATTTTGATTTGTTTAACACTTTTTTGGTTACTACATGATTCCATATGTGTTATTTCATAGTTTTGATGTCTTCACTATTATTCTACAATGTAGAAAATAGTAAAAATAAAGAAAAACCCTTGAATGAGTAGGTGTGTCCAAACTTTTGACTGGTACTGTATATATATATTAAGCATAATAATTATAGCTCTAGATTGTAGGAAAAATCTGTTTCAGAATTTTGAAAAATGCTAAAAGCCATCCTCATGTACTTTGTGACCCCTCAGATTTTTGGGTTGCGTGATGTCCCTGGGTGAGAGAGTCCCTGGACTTTATGCCTTCCTCCCAAATCTGTCTTAAAGGCCCTTTATCAGCAAACATTATTTTAGTAAACAAAATACTTGACCTACTTATAACATGATCAATACTGTGGTGCAATTGATAACGCTAGTTATCAACTGCACTACTGGTACAACTGCACCACTTGTTATCAACTTTTGTTTAAAAAAAGTTTTCATCAACTTTTTAGCAGGTGTAAATTGCACCTAATGAAAGCCCAATACTTATTCATGAAATTATCCAGACTCACAAACAATAACTGTCTGGGACATTGCTCATTATATGACATTAAAATAAAACAGTCTATATGCAAATAACAACTGAATCATAGCATGGTCCATTGCACAGAGTCGCCTTATAGCTCAGTTATTTTGTCTGGATAATTGCATCAATATTTACAAAATGTTGCCACCGCCTGGCCCAGACAACCAGTAGCCGAGACTACATTGAACTGTCGCAACCACTTATAATAATTTGACTATATGGGAGGGGCTCCATACCAACATAAAGGGAAGAGATTCGGCAGATAACATCCCCTTCTACATCTGTGAAAATGCCGTTGGAATTGTACCTTGATCTGCACTCTCAGCCATGCCGCTCTGTGTTCATTTTTGCAAAGAAAACAAACATTCCGTTTGATTTCAAGTTTGTCGATCTGGCTACAGGTAGGCTACTGCGAAATTTTTGGGAATGTGATTTATAACGTTTATATTGAAGATATAGTATTTATTTTGACGACTTCTACACAATATAATTTTGGTGTGTATAAAATATGTTAAAATATAGTGAAATTCTACTCGAGGTAAATCCGAAAATGGATTATTTTGAAGCAAGCACCCAACCATTTTAGTAAATATGGGCATACTGCAAATAAAGTTAGGAAGTAGCCTAGCCTATTATGACAATGAAAGTTAAATTGTATATGTATATATGTAGCCTAGAAACTTCTAGGTGAAAACAACCAATTGCAAACTTTGAACTTGTTACATAATGACCTTGTAGGTTTATTCAGAAGGTAATATCTAACTGGACCCAATAACTAGAGAGAAGTCATGAAACATGAAAGACATACTGTATATGGAAAAGTTTTTTCACCATAGATAATCATCATGCTATATGTGTAAATTCATTATAACAACAAAATAACTATATTCTCTTAAAAGTCATATTGGATAAATCAGTGTCACAATTGTGATGTTTTGCTCTTCAGGCCAGCAGTATGGGGAAGACTTTGGTAAAATCAGTGTGGTGAGAAAGGTTCCGGTCATGAGAGATGGAGACTTCATTCTTACAGAGAGGTAAAGTAGCCTACTGTAATCTACACAGAGAGACTTCCCACTGGGCACACACTGGTTTCAATGAAATTACGTTGAACCAACGTGGAATAGATGTTGAATTGACATCTGTGCCCAGTGGGTTACATGTCAACTCTACTTAGGTTTCTGGGGAGTTCCTTCAATTAATTGTATATCTTTCCTTATTTTTAGTGTTGCCATTCTGAAGTACATGGCTGAAAAATTTGGCACCTCAGATTCAGACCACTGGTATCCAGCAGACCTTCAAAAGCGAGCCCGGATCAATGAGTACCTGTCCTGGCAACACGCAGCCATGCGAGCCCATGGCTCAAAGGTGTTCTGGTTCAGGGTAAGAGATAAACATCCAATATGTCCTGTAAGTGGAACTGCAATTAGAAAAAACTGTGCTATCTAGAACCTAAAAGGGTTCTTGGGCTGTCCCCATAGGAGAACCCTTTGAATAATCATTTTTGGTTCCAGGTTTGGTTCCGTTCCACAGGGGGGTTCTACCTGGAACCAAAAAGGGTTCTCCTATGGGGACAGCCCAAGAACCCATTTGGAAGCCTTTTTTCTAAGTGTGGACCTTGGCTGGTTATTGAACCGTTTGTACACAAATAATTTGTAACGTAATAACTTAGTTAATGACTGATGGAAATCCTTAGCATCGATCATTTAAGTCTATGGCATTGGTGAATATACATTTTATCACTGGATTATTATCTTAAAGGTAGACTCAGTGACATGACTCAGATGCAGAAAGTAAACAGCATAGTGGGTCAATTTCCGCAACAACTAAGAGCGTTGAAGCGCTAGGCTCAACCTCTCTGCTGTTTTGGTGCCCTGGCTACCATGCTGTGAACAGTGTTGCAACTTGCTCATCTCAATATCTCCGGTGCTGCTCGTGGCAACGTAATTTTGCTCAGTCTACCTTCAAACCATATTGAATAAGTATGGGTATAGACACAAGTGAAATTTAAAAAATATTAACATATTTTCAGGCAATAGTTCCCATCATAACTGGTTCAGAAGTCCCCAAGGAGAAAATGGACTCCGCTATGGAGGACCTGACGCTGTCTCTGAAGGTGTTTGAGGAGAAGTTCTTGGACGACAGACCCTTCATCATTGGGGAGAAGATCTCACTAGCAGATCTGGTGGCCATAGTAGAGATCATGCAGGTAACTTAAAATTTGTCAAAAGTGAAAAGGTAGGGAAGAATGAGTTGTGCATGATTTTGAAGCTATTGTGTGAGGGATTCTCTGTTGCAAGTGTTCCTCCCAATGTCTTTGGTTGCAGATTTGCACTGTACTTTCCCTGAAATTATATGGGTTTTCCTCTGTGTGAATATTTTTTAGCCGGTTGGCACTGGTCTGGATTTGTTTGAGAACAGGCCCACTCTCAGTGCTTGGAGAGACAGGGTAAAAAAGGAGCTTGGCGAGGCTCTGTTTGACGAAGCTCACAAGACCATCATGCATGTGGACAGCCTGCCCCAAACCTTTGAGAACAATGGAATGCTGGAATTTCTCAAGCCAAAGATACAGAAGATGTTCAACTAACTCATGATGAGAACATTTTGACCACCAAGTAGTGTGTGACAATGCTTTTAATTTTTGTCTTAATTTTTTTATATCTGTGCATGTTTTATTAGCAACCTGGACTGAAGTTTAGACGTAACATAGTAAACCCACATCCGACACTCCAATTAATGTGATATGTTATATTTCGTATTGTATGTATTAATTTGTGGATTTCCATCATCCATTTCGTATGATATATGACAAATTACCATTCATATGATATGTTACGAATTGCAATTTGTACAATATGTAAAAAATTTGCTAATCATATGATATGTTACGAATTCCAATTTGTTGTGGCTAACATTAGCTAGGTGGCTAACGCTAACATTAGCTAGGTGGCTAATGTTAACTAAGCTAGGAGTTAAGGTTAGGGTTAAGGGAAGGGTTAGCTAACATGCTAAGTAGTTGCAAAGTAGCTAAAAAGTAGTTAGTTGTTGCAAAGTTTCTAATTAGCTAAAATGCTAAAGTTGTCCGTGATGAGATTCAGACATTCGCATTATACGCCCACCCATCCACCCCGACTAACCACCCAACTTTTTGCCTTAAGTAACCTTCTGTGTTATACAACCATACCAAACGTAACATATCATACTCATTTGAGTGTTCTGGATTTATATTTACTATGTTATGTCTAGTCTATGAGACCAGGCTGTTATTAGAATAAACACTTAATTTCTTGATAATAAATCAAATAAAATCAAAATGTGTCTGTTTCCCATTTTTTTTAAATATTTTTATTCTTAAAAGAAATAAACAATAGAATGTAAAGTACTATTTGGTGAGAGATACAAAGGTTCTGCAGTCCAAAACCTGAAAGAAAATTCTTCAAACTCTTCCCATTTTTCAAAAAATGTTTAGTTCTTAAAAGAAAATGCCCAATTAAACAATAGAATGTAAAGTACTATTTGATGAGATATGCAAAGGTCCAAAACCTGAAAGAGCATTCTTCAAACTCTTCCCATTTCATTTACAGTGTCTAGTGAAAGTCTACACACCACTTGCACAGTTTTCACCTTTTGCTGCCTTAAAATTATGTAGATCTAAAAAAGGAATACATTGGATTATATTGGGTTTTCCCCCTATTTATCTACACAGCCTGCTTCACATTAACAAAGTGAAAATTATAGAAAATGTTCTTAGTTAATAAAAAATATGAAAGATGTCTTGATTGCATATGTCTTCACACCCCAGAGTTAATAGTTGGTGGAAGCACCTTTGGCAGCAATTACAGCTGTGAATCATTTTGAATAAGATTCTACCAAATCTATCCATTGTTTTTGTTAAAATTGCTCAAGCTCTGTAAATTTGGTTGGGAATCATTGATGGACAGCAATATTCAAACTTTGTCTCTGATTGTCAAGCAGATTCAAGTCAGGACTGCTACTGGACAACTCAGGAACTCTCAACACCATGCTGGTGTGTCTTTGGCATTAACATTTGTGTAATTGTCCCACTGAAAAATAAAACTGACATTGAAATAGTGTAGACTTTCACTAGGTACTGTATATAAAGCCACGCTCCTTAATTTGTGCAAATCATCATTAAGAAAATACATAAAAAAGATGAAAAGCCAAAGTCAATACATGCACCTTCTACTTAAAAAGAAATACTATGAAACCCAGTACACCTAAGGATAAAAATCCAACAACAGCAGTAGCAAAAAGGGATTTTACAACAAGAAAATATGAACTTGTTTGTAATATCTGGCAACTACAAAAATTAAGTATATTGTGACATAATACACTGTCCTGAAGAACTGAAAAGGAGACAATGTATTAAAACTCAAAAGCATATCAAGCTGCTCCAGTTTCTCCACTCAGGCTTTTGCTTGATGCATTTGATGCTTTGATACCGCAGAAAAGAGCCCAGAGTTTCTCCCTCAGGTTCTTATTGGAGATGGTCAAGAGAACGCCTGATGCTATGCAATAGAAGGAGTAGCCCAGCAGGAGTGAGTTAATGCTAATATCAGAGCCATATAGTTTAGAGAGATAGAACAGGGAGATGGTGGTCAGCGTGGTTATGTAGACCCCCACCAGGGCCACAGTAAGCTTGCACACCAGCAGGTAGGAGTCAGCACTCTGAACATCGGTCTTGTTCTTTCTCATCTCCAGCGTGTGTTTGCAGAGATGGACCACCAGTCTGATGGAGGAGGGAACCATCACCATCACAGGTAACGGAGCCAGGTAGCAGATGAAGACTAACACATAAAGGTTCGTGTTGATCCAAGTGGGGAATAGAGGTGTCTTAATCACGCAGGTGGTGTTCTTTGTCATAGGTGTTGCGTACGACTCGTTACGGTAATTAAGGGAGAAGAACGGGGCAAACATCACACAGGAGTTCAAGAAGGTCACTGCAAGAGTCACGTTGATGATGGGTGAGATGTTTGTCTTGATCTTAGCGAACAGCTCAGAGGTGAAGTTGACCACCTTCACACAGTAGAGGACACTCAGCCAGGCGATGGACCAGAAGCTCAAACAGCTGCTGCTCAGCCACACATACACCATGGCACAGAAGAACATGGGTAGATCATCCCAACACATCACCCCAGCCCACATGGTGACCACGATGCCAAAGGTGGAGAGGTGCAGGAAAACATTGCCCAGGGAGATAGTGGAGATGATCAGTCCCACAGTCTGGACACCTCCAGCCTTCCACTGCTGGAACATGGTTGTTATCAGGTTGAAGGTGTTCCATAGCACTCCAATAACAACCAGGACAGCTATACCATACAGCTGGACATCATGTTGTCCAAAACCCATAGTTATAACCAGAGGAGAACAATTTGGCAGAATTCCTCTTTGTTATGAAGCAGAGTATTATCCACATACCATTTTATAGAGAAAATGAGTATTCCTATGCAAATCTGTTTCTGTGAGTCATGATTCTCTGAGATAATGTAAATGAGGGACAATGCTGATTGATGTTAGGGCATGGCCATTCCACAGCAGAATTTGAACACACAAATTAGCCATGAGGAAGACAAGTCACGTTAGTCATTACCATTTTGCTTTTATGAAAAGCATGCATGAAGTATACATTGACTAGAATGTAGACTATTACTGGATTTGCAATGTTGTAACCAGACACAGATTAAATTGAAGACGGAGGGGGGGAGTAGGGATGGAAGATAGTCAATACTTGTTTTTGTATCATCTCAAGCACTCTCATTGTCCCTACTGAGGATAAACATGACATGTTACTTACTGTCTGGCTTGCCACTCTATCCATCGTGCCATGGTTTTTGTTTATAGACCAGACAGTCATTTACTTACAAGCATCTTCTGGGGCTGGTTTTACATTTTTAAACCATGGAAATTATATGTATTTTATTTTCCTTTGACTGATGAGGCTGGATGTATTTCCTTATTCAAATCCATTATGTATTTAATTTGTACAAATTAGCTTATTCAAAATGAAGTGTTGTGCTTTTCATCCTGTTTCAATGTCATGTAATTCACAATGCAAATGGTTTTGAGTCCATAGTCTCTTTTCTCCAGATTTTATATTTTTCTCAGGCGTAATTGCACAAGCAATTGTAATGTCACACAATAACAAAAATTAATATATTGAACTACAGTGAAACCAATTTAATATGGTACCTTGTTACTAAAGCTAGTCTGTGACATAATTATATAGTCCTCCTTTTCAAGCTCCTATGCTGTCCAAATACATCCAATTCCTTTCCATACTAATTATTTACTGCTATCTAGAGTTTACAATTATTTATTGATTGGGCACCAAATCAGGAAACTGGTTTGGCACAACTTTCCCCCCAAAGAAACAGTCACTCATACTGCATAAAAAAACATCAAAGCCTACTATAGCCTATATCATATCTGGACTAGGATGCAGTGCACATCTTCACAATCAAGTTTAGTGGTCAGGATACAGCCATGCCCAGATACAATGACTTCCTTCATAAGGATATCTGACCCTTTGATTTGCAAATACTGACAGTGACAGAAATCTTCATTTCATCTCCTTTATCGGTGTACCCCAAGGCAGGTCTACATCATATGTTAGTCTTTCATTCATATGAATGCGTTCATGTAATTTTCATGTAATGAATTATCATATAATTTCAAAGTAGCAAATAACATAAAACAATAGACAAACGCTACTTTGTTCCAGCTTTGGCTGCACAACGGGATACATGCATACTGCCATACAACAACGATGACTGGACCAGTCTTGAATTTCACAGACGTAGAATATTGTTCAGTAAATGGAACTGAAACAGCTCCAAGCAGATGGACATGTGATCATTGACCCACACAGGAAGGAGAAGAACCAGTATGAGTCAGAAGAAAGAGATTCACTCTCTCAGACATCCAAAATGCCTTGTAAACTGCTAAATCTATGTGAGTATGAAACACATAAACTGGTCTGAATTCAAAGTGTAAGGCTGGGATCGCTGAAATTGACATTTAACGGAGTCATACTGATGTTCATCTGGTGAGTATTCTGCAGAATGATTCAGTTTGCGGTAATAACGGTAGTAGACGAGGAACGCCCACGCACCTTGATCAAGAATGTGTGCATGAAAATAAAGTATGAATGTTATTATAGATAATGAATACATTCTGAAATAATGATGTATTACTTTTATCAATTGTATTTACTATTTATTTTAATTTGTTTACCATCCATCTTCCAGCCATACCAATAATATTTCAAAATGAATGTTATTATAGATAATGAATACATTCTAAAATAATGATGTATTACTTTGATCAATTGTATTTACTATTTATATTTATTTATTTACCATCCATCTTCTTCTAGCCATACCAATAGTATTTGAAAACTATCAGGGACACATAATAGTAATTTACTCCAATTTGCAACATTCTACACTACTCAAAAAAATAAAGGGAACACTTAAACAACACAATGTAACTCCAAGTCAATCACACTTCTGTGAAATCAAACTGTCCACTTAGGAAGCAACACTGATTGACAATACATTTCACATTCTGTTGTGCAAATGGAATAGACAACAGGTGGAAATTATAGGCAATTAGCAATAAAGGACTGCTTTTGCAGGAGGCTGATGTTTTGGTCACTTTTGAATGCTGGCGGTGCTTTCACTCTAGTGGTAGCATGAGACGGAGTCTACAACCCACACAAGTGGCTCAGGTAGTGCAGCTCATCCAGGATGGCACATCAATGCGAGCTGTGGCAAGAAGGTTTGCTGTGTCTGTCAGCGTAGTGTCCAGAGCATGGAGGCGCTACCAGAAGACAGGCCAGTACATCAGGAGACGTGGAGGAGGCCGTAGGAGGGCAACAACCCAGCAGCAGGACTGCTACCTCCGCCTTTGTGCAAGGAGGAGCAGGAGGAGCACTGCCAGAGCCCTGCAAAATGACCTCCAGCAGGCCACAAATGTGCATGTGTCTGCTCAAACGGTCAGAAACAGACTCCATGAGGGTGGTATGAGGGCCCGACGTCCACAGGTGGGGGTTGTGCTTACAGCCCAACACCGTGCAGGACGTTTGGCATTTGCCAGAGAACACCAAGATTGGCAAATTCGCCACTGGCGCCCTGTGCTCTTCACAGATGAAAGCAGGTTCACACTGAGCACATGTGACAGATGTGACAGAGTCTGGAGACGCCATGGAGAACGTTCTGCTGCCTGCAACATCCTCCAGCATGACCGGTTTGGCGGTGGGTCAGTCATGGTGTGGGGTGGCATTTCTTTGGGGGGGCGCACAGCCCTCCATGTGCTCGCCAGAGGTAGCCTGACTGCCATTAGGTACCGAGATGAGATCCTCAGACCCCTTGTGAGACCATATGCTGGTGCGGTTGACCCTGGGTTCCTCCTAATGCAAGACAATGCTAGACCTCATGTCGCTGGAGTGTGTCAGCAGTTCCTGCAAGAGGAAGGCATTGATGCTATGGACTGGCCCGCCCGTTCCCCAGACCTGAATCCAATTGAGCACATGTTCCCGATTTAGCGGAGACTGCATTCACGGTAAACGCTGAATATGTCGGCTCAATCGGAAATTACCTTTACATTTCTATCGCGGAATCCGTAACGCTTCAGCATTACAGATTGAATAGAGCCCTAAACCGTCAGCTGTAAAAAAGACAATTAAAAAGATATCTTCAATAATGCAATTGATGACTGCTCTGACATCTAGGCCTGCTCTCTTGGCATCAGCTGAGAACTTCACAGTCCTCATCAAGAACAACATCAGATTCCCAAACTTTAACTTCATTAGGTGAGACTGCCCAATTCAATGTGAATAGATTTGTTTATTTTTAGCTTGCACTCTACAGGTCTCAAGTATATTATATTCAGAGTAACCTTCACCACCCCACCTTTACATACTCAGAGGGTCATAATCACAAAAAACAAGCACCTTCTTTAAATTCAGCTGATCTTACTGATGTGTGTCTGTCTCACAGAAGGAACATCCTCCCTGAGATGACAGACAGCCACCTGAAGCACTGCCAATTTAACAGGCGTACAGACCCCTGGTGCCCCATATTCCGCCTCAGGGACATTGTGCAGGAGGCCAGAGAGAACTTCTCAGAGATGGCAGTTGAGGTGGGCTGCTCTGTTAGAGGGAATTTCTCAAACAACCACAAATTTACTCTATGACGCTGAATTATTTGTACATTATTTTTTTTTTTTTACATTTTTTATTCATTTAGCAGACGCTATTATCCAGAGCGACTTACAGTTAGTGAGTACATACATTTTTCATACTTGCCCCCCGTGGGAATCGAACCCACAACCCTGCTGTTGCAAGCGCCATGCTCTACCAACTGAGCTACAGGATGTCACTGATGTCTGCATCTATTTTGGCACTGCCAGTTCATAACGTTGGACATATTTGATTACTTAATGAATCACGGAATTAAATCACCTTAATTACATCAGATGTGAGAGGGTTTACATGATTGTCAGGTAAGGTTGATGTAAAACAAGTTGAGTAGATTTTATTTTTTTATTTTTTTATTTAACCTTTATTTAACCAGGTAAGCCAGTTGAGAACAAGTTCTCATTTACAACTGCGACCTGGCCAAGATAAAGCAAAGGAGTGCGATAAAAACAACAACAACACAGTTACATATGGGATAAACTAAAAGTACAGAAAAAAACATAATAGAAAAATAGAAAATCTATATACAGTGTGTGCAAATGTAGTAAGTTATGGAGGTAATGGCAATAAATAGGCCATAGTGAAAAATAGTTACAATTTAGTATTAACACTGGAATGATAGATGTGCAGAACATGATGTGCAAATAGAGATACTGGGGTGCAAATGAGCAAAATAAATAACAATATGGGGATGAGGTAGTTGGGTGGGCTAATTACAGATGGGCTGTGTACAGGTGCAGATCATCTCCACCATGCTCTCTCACCACAGGGTGGCGACATTGGGATCCAAATTAAGTGGGATTGTAACATGGACGGGTTCTTGCAGAACTGTCTGCCCAAATACTCCTTCCGCTGGCTGGATGAGAAGGAGAGCAACAGTATTCTGTACCCTGGTCTCAACTTCAGGTAATGGGGACTTTTTAGATATCGGTGCATCCAGATAACAGTGTAACATTGTTTATTACAGTTTTATAACTACATGTGTTGGCAGGTTTGCTAGATATCAGACAGAGAAAGGTGTTGGGGAGAGAACCCTGTTTAAAGCATTTGGGATCAGGTTTGATGTCATGGTATTTGGAAAGGTTTGTATGACTTATTAAGTCTTATCATTCAAACCTGCAATAATGATGATGGTAAACTTATGAATGTGCATATATTATTCTAATCAATGCATGAATCAGAAAAATACAAATGGTAATGTATAATGTGTGTTCTTTTAAAGGCAGGAAAATTCAGCATAATCCAACTGATCATCTATATTGGATCAACTCTATCCTATTATGCACTGGTGAGCTTAATTCAGCTTTTTTGAAATTCAACATTTTAATAGGTAAAGAAGCTTACATGGACTGTGACTTTCCCCAGACCACTTTATTCATTGACTGGCTCATTGGGACCAGCTGCTTCTCTAAAGAAGCCAGACAGAACTACTCAGAGAAAAAGGTTGAATCTGTTCAGGACAGACAACAGGTAGGAGTGGGATGGCATTCCCCACTTGGGATTATACATGCCCTCAAACCCACAGCAACATTTGCATTCCCATTGCCTGAATGTTGGATGTAAATATGTGGTGAGACGCTAAACAATGGGACTATTCTTCTTCTGTGTTCCAGTGCATTCTCTGTGTCTCGTTTGTGGACGAGAACCATATAAGAGTGGTGAAAAGATCACATAAGAAAAGTTTACAACAAGTGAAGCCCATCTCCGTTCACCCATTCAAGGTTAGCATAACTATGTTTTCCCAAATGTAGTGCCATTCTCACCCCCTGATACAGTAGATACTCACTTTTAAGCTCACTTTATGTTACCCTTTTCTTGTCTTTTATACAGTTAGTCAGCAAGGTAATATATTGTATATAAGTACATATGACTACTGTGATATGTATGTATTGCACTCTTGTTGTCAGGACGACATAAGGCACCTGAGTGCCATGGTTGGTGTATTGCAGAAAGGGAACATCGTAGACAAGCAGCCCCAGGCTCTCCCCCGGCCCAGCCGTCCAGCCTGGTGTCTGTGTGGCTGCTGCGTCCCCTCCACCCATCCCCCGGCCCAGCCGTCCAGCCTGGTGTCTGTGTGGCTGCTGCCTCCCCTCCACCCATCCCCAGGAGCAGCTGTGCTGCAGGCGCTGCATCACCACCTCCTCCCTGTTTGAACAGCTGGTGCTGAGTCGGCCCGTGTTGGAGGCAGTGTTGCTGTACAGGGAGCCTCTTTGTGAGCTGACCGAGGCGGAGCAGCGGACCACCGCCCTGCGCCACTGCGCCTACATACAGTATATCAGCTGGAGATTTGGGGCCCCACTCAGAGAAAGCCTCCCTGTCATGCCCAGTTGTAGCGTGTGGAGAATCAGAGAGGAATACTCCAGCCAAGATGGAGAGTACACTGGCCTGAGGCCCAGCAGAACTACTTCTCCCCAGTCCAGCCCTAACACACAGCTTTAGGGAAGAGGGAGAGTCAGTGTTCTAGAAAGTAGTGTTCTACATAGAAAGCTCCATCAGAGATTGGTCCTCATAGCTCCATCAGAGATTGGTCCTCATAGCTCCATCAGAGATTGGTCCTCATAGCTCCATCAGAGATTGGTCCTCATAGCTCCATCAGAGATTGGTCCTCATAGCTCCATCAGAGATTGGTCCTCATAGCTCCATCAGAGATTGGTCCTCATAGCTCCATCAGAGATTGGTCCTCATCATGTAGCGGCTGTATCATGCATTTGTACTGGTGTATTTATCTAATCTTCCATTCAGCATTAAGGTTAACATTTTCAACCTAAACATTATCCTCGCCTGTAGATATTGTGTATATCCATCCCACTGTCTAGAGACCATTAATGATAAAGAGGGAAATAGCGTAAAATACTTAATCTTAGATGACAATGAACTGGAGCTAACTGGAGGAGGGAATTGTATTATCATTTTGTTGACTGTCTGCATACATGTAACCTATTTCAATTATTTTTTATATTGGAACAGATCTTTTTTACCATGTGCAATAAATGTAATTTTGAAAATATTGTTGACTTGATGATGATGTAATTTCACATCTTCTCCAGTTCTTGTGTGCATACAATAGTACATATGGATCCATTGTAGTCGATGTACAGTAGTTTTATTATGCCTCTACTCCAATGAGATAGATTTGCGAAATGAGCCAGGGTCAGTTGTAGTTTTCATACTAGCAATGATGATGGTTGTACTATTATCTCAGCAGGCTGTGAGTGTGAGACCTGTTTACCTCTTGTATCACTCCCATTGCTAGTTTGCTACAGTATATCCATAACTCAGATGATGGGCTGCTGTAGCTGTCAGAGCTGAATCTGCTGTTTGTTTGATTACGAAACACCAATAATTATTGTGGTTAAGAGCAAAGTGGTGGGAGCTGTCTTTAGATTAATCCAGTTTCTGGTCATCTTTTATGTGTTTGGAAAAATTGGGGCTTCAATTATTTCCGTTTCTATTACAAAGCCATCTATATTAAGTCATTGTGGATGATGTGTGATTGTATCACTTTATCTCTACACTTGTGTTGTGTCTAACCTGTTATACTGCAGAAATGTGCAAAAGTCTTACCAGGAGACAGACTCAGTGATCAGCTGTCACCACCTAGGCTTTTAAGACTTTTAATGAATTTTTTATCTTAAACACATTTTATTCTAGGTAGCTAGGAATGTATAGGTAGCTATCAAGTACTGCCTTCCCCAACATCTCTGATCTGGGTGCCCTTGTGTGGGATTTGGCTGATTACAACATCCCCACTCAGGTAGCATCATATACTCAATACACTTCATCTACAGTGTATCACCTTCTGGTCAGTTTGAGTTCAAATTGTATTTGGTAATTGTTTTAATATTTTTGTATAAGAAGGGGATTTGTTTTAGGAAAATGTGTTCTTTGTCTGGTAGGGTGAGAGTTTTTTCTTTGTGTTGACCAACATGATTGTCACCCCCAATCAAACTCAACTGAGCTGATTTCTTCTTTAAAATACACTGACATGTATAATAGGCTATATTGTGAAACGTTTAGTTAATGTATGAATTTAATACTACTAAAAATATATTGTAACATGTATAATGAGACTGTAGTTACACATTAAAACATTTACTTATAAAACCTTTATTTCAATTGTAGTCAAAAAGGTATTTGAATGTTAGTGAAATGTGATCCTGTATCTTCTTAAGATCCTAAACCAATCCTCCATTTGCATGTCAGACAGTGAGTGCACAGAGGGATCCAGTGATGTTCGTGGCAACGGTAGGCTTCCATGTCATGCTGATAAATCCTTGTAGAATTGTTAACAAGGGCAGCAACCAGCAAAGAGATGGATGAAACATTCATTCAGGGTTTCATAAGAAAATACATATCAACTGCTCCAGAGAAATGTATCCAGACAGGGCTATGCGTAAACTACTCAGAGACTGTCAAAACCTGTGAGGTGCTATCTTGGTGTCCTCTTGAAATAGACACTAACCTACCTGAGTAAATAAGAACACATTACAGTGCATTCGGAAAGTATTCAGACCCCTTGACTTTTTCCACATTTTGTTACGTTACAGCCTTATGCTAAAATGGATTAAATATTTTTTATTATTCTCATCAAGCTACACACAATACCCCATAATGACAAAGCAAAAACCGTTTTTTTTTATTTTTTTGCAAATTTATAAAAAATAAACAGAAATACCTTATTTACATAAGTATTCAGACCCTTTGCTATGAGACTCGAAATTGAGCTCAGGTGTATCCTGTTTCCATTGATCATCCTTGAGATGTTTCTACAACTTGATTGGAGTCCACCTGTGGAAAATTCTATTGATTGGACATGATTTGGAAAGGCACACACCTGTCTATATAACGTCCCACAGTTGACAGATTTGGGGAAGGGTAGCAAAAAATGTCTGCAACATTGAAGGTCCATCAATCTACACACAATACCCCATAATGACAATGAAAAAACAGGTTTCTAGAAATGTTTGCATATTTAAAATACAGAAATATCACATTTACATAAGTATTCAGACCCTTTACTCATTACTTTGTTGAAGCACATTTGGCAGCGATTACAGCCTCGAGTCTTTTGGGGTATTACATTTTACATTTTTAGTCATTTAGCAGATGCTCTTATCCAGAGCGACTTACAGTTAGTGAGTGCATACATTTTTTTTTTCATACTGATGCTACAAGCTTGGCACACGTGTATTTGGTGAGTTTCTCCCATTCTTCGCTGCAGATCCTCTCAAGCTCTGTCAGGTTGGATGGGGAGCGTCACTGCACAGCCATTTTCAGGTCTCTCCAGAGATGTTAGATCGGGTTCAAGTCCGTGCTCTGGCTGGGCCACTCAAGGACATTCAGAGACTTGTCCCGAAGCCACTCCTGCGTTGTCTTGGCAGTGTGCTTAGGGTCATTGTCCTTTGGAAGGTGAACCTTCAACCCAGTCTGAGGTCCTCAGCGCTTTGGAACAGGTTTTCATCAAGGATCTCTCTGTACTTTGCTCCGTTCATCTTTCCCTCGATCACGACTAGTCTCCCAGTCCAAGCCGCTGAAAAACAAAATCCCCACAGCATGATGCTGCCACCACCATGCTTCACCGTAGGGATGGTGCCAGGTTTCCTCCAGACGTGATGCTTAGCATTCAGGCCAAAGAGTTCAATCTTGGTTTCAACAGACCAGAGAATCTTGTTTCTCATGATCTGAGAGTCCTTTAGATGCCTTTTGGCAAACTCCAAGCGGGCGGTCATGTGCCTTTTACTGAGGAGTGGCTTCCGTCTGGCCACTCTACCATAAAGGCCTGATTGGTGGAGTGCTTCAGAGATGGTTGTCCTTCTGGAAGGTTCTCCCATCTCCACAGAGGAACTCTGGAGCTCTGTCAGTGACCACCGGATTCTTTGTCACCTCCCTGACCAAGGCCCTTCTCCCCCGATTTCTCAGTTTGGCTTGGCGGCCAGCTCTAGGAAGAGTCTTGGTGGTTCCAAACTTCTTCCATTTAAGAATGATGGAGGCCACTGTGTTCTTGGGGACTTTCAATGCTGCAGAAATGTTTTGGTACCCTTCCCCAGATCTGTACCTCGACACAATCCTGTCTCTGAGCTCTACGGAAAATTCCTTCGACCTCCTGGCTTGGTTTTTGCTCTGACATGCACTGTCAACTGTGGGATTTTATATAGACAGGTGTGTGCCTTTCCAAATCATGTCCAATCAATTTAATTTCCCACAGGTGGACTCCAATCAAGTTGTAGAAACATCTCAAGGATGATCGATGGAAACAGGATACACCCGAGCTCAATTTCAAGCCTCATAGCAAAGGGTCTGAATACTTATGTAAATAAGGTAGTTCTGTTTTTTATTTTCAATACATTAGCAAAAATGTCTGAAAACCAGTTTTCGCTTCGTCATTATGGGGTATTGTGTGTAGATTGATGAGAGGGGAAAAGTATTTCATCCATTTTAGAATAAGGCTGTAACGTAGTAAAATGGGGAAAAGGAAAGGGGTCTGAATACTTTCCGAATGCACTGTATAATATGATCCATGAGGGTATAGTCAGATGGCAAGGTATAATAGGTGTCGTGTTTTGTATCATAGACATGCACTGCTGGCTGCAGCAGGGGACATCACGGTGCTAATCAAAAACAGTGTGACATATCCCAAATTCGACTTTCACATGTGAGTCATGTATACTGAACAAAAATATAAATGCAACATGTGTTGTAAAGTGTTGGTCCCATGTTTCATGAGCTGAAATAAAATATCATAGAAATGTTACATACGCATAAAAATATTATTTATCTCAAATTTGGTGCACAATTTCTCTACATCCCTGACAAGTGTGGCATATCAACAAGCTGATTAACCTCTTAAGGATCAGACCCTTTATTTAAATTTTCGCCTAAAATGACATACCCAAATCTAACTGCCTGTAGCTCAGGACCTGTGTCACGCCCTGGCTCTGGGGACACTGTTATGTTGAGCCAGGGTGTGTAATTCTATGTTTGTATTTCTATGTTGGCCTGAGTGACTCCCAATCAGAGGCAACGAGTGTCAGCTGGTTGTCTCTGATTGGGAGCCATATTTAACTGTCTGTCTTTCACTTTGTGTTTGTGGTTTCTTGTTCTTGTTTGGTTTGTGTTAAACCGTAGACATCACGTTATCGTCCGTTGTTTTGATCGTGTGATCATTCTATTAATAAATATGTACGCATTCAACGCTGCGCCTTGGTCTCTCCCTGACGTTCGTGACAGAAGAAACCACCAGAACTGGACCAAGCAGCCTAGTGAGGAGCAGAGTGGGTGGACTTGGCAACAGTGGAGGCAGAGCTTCGACTGGGTCAAGCCGAATGAGGAGCTGAATGGCGGAGATTGGAAGCAGAAGAGCGAGAGTTGGGCGAGAATTATCGAGGCCTGGCCCACGGGGAGGAGAGACTCCCAGAAAATTTTTAGGGGGGGGCTCACGACGTCGGACCAGCAGGAGGCCGCGATAGAGCGGCCCAGCGGGTTGCCAGAGGAGGCCGCCAGGTTACGGGGGCCACTGGTTGAAGAGGGGATGGAGGATGGAGAGGCACGGCGAGAGGTACTGGCGTGTGTTGCCAGTCCGGTCCGGCCCGTTCCAGATCCCGGTGTAGGGCCAGTGGTGTGTGTCCCCAGTACGGTCCGGTCCATTCCTGCTCCCCGCACCAAGTCTGTGGTGCGTTTCGTCAGCCCTGTCCGGCCCGTTCCTGCTCTCCGCACCAAGTCTGTGGTGCGCGTCGCCAGCCCAGTCCGGCCCATTCCTGCTCCCCGCACCAAGTCTGTGGTGCGTTTCGTCAGCCCTGTCCGCCCCGTTCCTGCTCTCCGCACCAAGTCTGTGGTGCGCGTCGCCAGCCCAGTCCGGCCCATTCCTGCTCCCCGCACCAAGTCTGTGGTGCGTTTCGTCAGCCCTGTCCGGCCCGTTCCTGCTCTCCGCACCAAGTCTGTGGTGCGCGTCGCCAGCCCAGTCCAGCCCATTCCTGCTCCCCGCACCAAGTCTGTGGTGCGTTTCGTCAGCCCTGTCCGGCCCGTTCCTGCTCTCCGCACCAAGTCTGTGGTGCGCGTCGCCAGCCCAGTCCGGCCCATCCAAGCTCCCCGCACCAAGTCAGTGGTGCGCTTCATCAGCCCGGTCCGGCCCGCTCCTGCTCCCCACACCAAGCCAGTGGTGTGCGTCGTCGGTCCGGCACGGCCCGTGCCTGTTCCACTGGTGCCTGGTCCGGCACCGGTCAGATGCGTTACGCCGGAGCTAGAGCAATCCGCTCCATCAGTGTGCAGTCCAGCTCCGGCCAGCGGGGCCAGACCGGACCAGGGGTACTTTGGGGGGTTGGAGAGGGAGTGGGGATCAGGCCCGGAGCCGGATCCGCCGCCAAGGCGGAGTGCCCACCCGGTCCCTCCCCTGTGGTATTTAGTTGGCGCGGTCGGAGTCTGCGCCTTTAGGGGGGGGTACTGTCACGCCCTGGCTCTGGGGACACTGTTATGTTGAGCCAGGGTGTGTAATTCTATGTTTGTATTTCTATGTTGGCCTGAGTGACTCCCAATCAGAGGCAACGAGTGTCAGCTGGTTGTCTCTGATTGGGAGCCATATTTAACTGTCTGTCTTTCACTTTGTGTTTGTGGTTTCTTGTTCTTGTTTGGTTTGTGTTAAACCGTAGACATCACGTTATCGTCCGTTGTTTTGATCGTGTGATCATTCTATTAATAAATATGTACGCATTCAACGCTGCGCCTTGGTCTCTCCCTGACGTTCGTGACAACCTGAAGCAAGGATATGCATATTCTTGATACCATTTGAAAGGAAACACTTTGATGTTTGTGGAAATGTGAAATTAATGTAGGAGAAAATAACACATTAGATCTGGTAAAAGATAATACAAACAAAAAAACATCTGTTATTTTGTATTTTTTTTCATCATCTTTGAAATGCAAGAGAAAGGCCACAATATAATATTGCAGTTTAGGCACAATTTAGATTCTGGCCACTAGATGGCAGCAGTGTGTGCAACGTTTCTGATTAATACAGTGAAACATTGTAATAATGGACTATTTTGAATCAAGTCTGCCCAAACGTGCCGAATTGGTCAATTGATACATTTTCAACTACATAACTAGAGAACATACAAAAATGATATGATAATACAACATGTAAGTTTACACACTCCCAGCAATGTCATACATGATGGATCATTAGCTTATACACTAACTTTCACACATCTAGATGGCCGGGCGGGGTGGGTGTGGAGCCAGAGACAGCAAGGGTTCAAACTGTAGAACCTAGTTCCTACATTTTAATATAAAAATGGATTTCATCAAACAAAACGATGCTACATTTTTTCTCTGGGACCCTCAGGATGACAAATCAGAGCAAGATCACTGAATGTAAGTACATTATTTAACTTCAGAGGTGAATGTATCAAACCAGTTGCCGTGATAAGGTTTTTGTTGTTGTGCACTCTCCTCAAACAATAGCATGGTCTTTTTTCACTGTAATAGCTACTGTAAATTGGACAGTGCAGTTAGATTAACAAGGATGTAAGCTTCCTGCCCATATAAGACATGTCTATGTCCTGGAAAGTTTGCTGTTACTTACAACAGTCATGCTAATCACATTAGCGCACGTTAGCTCAACCGTCCCATTTACGGGACACCGAGTCCGTAGAGGTTAAACAGAATGATCATTACACGGGTGCACCTTGTGCTGGAGACAATAAAAGGCCACTAATATGTGCAGTTTTGTCACACAACACAATGCCACAGATGTCTCAAGTTGAGGGAGTGTGCAATTGGCATGCTGACTGCAGGAATGTCCACCAGAACTGTTGCCAGATAATTTAAATGTTAATTTCTCTACCATAAGCCGCCTCCAACTTCGTTTTAGAGAATTTGACAGTATGCCCAACCGGCCTCACAACCGCAGACCGTGTGTAACCACCCCAGCCCAGGACCTCCACATTCGGCTTCTTCACCTGCGAGATCGTCTGAGACCAGCCACCCGGACAGCTGATGAAACTGAGGAGTATTTCTGTCTGTAATAAAGCCCTTTTGTGGGGAAAAACTCATTCTGATTGGCTGGGCCTGGCTCCCACCCATGACTGCGCCACTGCCCAGTCATGTGAAATCCCGGATGATCATTGGAAACAGGATGCACCTGAGCTCAATTTGGAGTCTCATAGCAAAGTGTCTGAATACTTATGTAAATAAGGTATCTGTTTTTTATTTTGTATAATTTTGGAAAAAAATCTAAACACCTGTTTTTGCTTTGTCATTATGGGGTATTGTGTGTAGATTGCTGAGGTTTTGTATTTATTTAATCCATTTTAGAATAAGGCTGTAACGTAACAAAATGTGGAAAAAGTCAAGGGGTCTGAATACTTTCCGAAGGCACTGTATGTTTGTTTGTGTGGCACTCAAGTGAAACATGTAATATGGAAAGGAATTAAGGCAGGACACCTGCTTAAGAGTTTTATTTTATTCTGCAGAATACCCCATATTTTCTCCTTTGGTCTCTTGCAGAAGAAACATTTTGGCTGATGTTAACCCTTCATATCTGAAGCAATGTGATTTCAATCACACAACAGACCTTGACTGTCCCATCTTCAGCCTCAAAGACATGGTCGCTGAAGCTGATGAGGACTTTCAGACCATGGCTATCAGGGTATAACATGTAGCTACTCACTTTCTCTTCTCAGGTCCCATTCAGATGACTCTGCATAAGCCCATACTAGTTATTCCTAGAATACCTGGGATAGGCTAAAGTATTCCTTCTAACCCCCCCCCCCCCCCCCAAATTGTAAAGTGGTTATCCCACTGGCTATAGGGTGAACGCACCAATTTGTGAGTCGCTCTGGCTAAGAGCGTCTGCTAAATGACGTTAATGTGCCCTTGAGCAAGGCACTTAACCCTAATTGCTCCTGTAAGTCGCTCTGGTTAAGAGCGTCTGCTAAATGACTAAAATGTTAAAAAAAATGTAAAAATGTTATTCCTGAAGTTATTCTCAGTAGTTATGCCGTGTTTGGTTTGTGTTACAATTTATCCCTGCCCATCAGGCTATAGGCTATTTGGGCAGTAGTGTAACTCTCTGGTATATACACTAAGTATACCAAACTTTAGGGACACCTTCCTAATATTGACTCCTGAGTGGCGCAGTGGTCTAAGGCACTGCATCGCAGTGCTAGCTGTGCCACTAGAGATCCTGGTTCGAGTCCAGGCTCTGTCGCAGCCGGCCGCGAACGGGAGACCCATGAGCGGCGCACAATTGGTCCAGCGTCGTCAAAGGTATTTGGCCGGCAGGGATGTGAGTTTGTTTCCCACGGGGAGCCAGTATGAAAAAAACAAAACTTGTATGCATTCACTACCTGTAAGTCGCTCTGGATAAGAGCGTCTGCTAAATGACTAAAATGTAAATGTAATATTGATAGCTGAATTTTGAAATGAGACTATTTTATGGTTCTGTTTGTTAAGGGTGGTGTTCTTGGGATTGTGATTGACTGGAGCTGTGACCTGGCCTCAACATTACCGTGGCCCTAAGTACTCCTTCCGCAGGCTGGACAACAAAAACTCTGAGAACAACGTGGCCCCTGGATACAACTTTAGGTGAGATCAATGAACATGTGGACACAACACTGTAAAGAGAATACATATAGCTTTTCAACAAGACTATGCTATTTCCACAGGTTTGCCAAGTACTACAAAACCGCTGATGATGTGGAAACAAGAACCTTGAAGCCATGCTCTTTTTGTCCAGACCTCTAACCACCTCCAATCTCCAGCCCCTGCCACTAAACAACATGCATGCACTCATATTTCCAACTAAGCCTCTTCAGTGTACGACCTATCAAACTGCTGTGAAGTTTAGCCAGAATGCTTGCTTACATGTGCACCGGGGTCGTACAGACTTCCTGTTTAGATTAAGACACTGCAGAGCGAGATATGGCTCGGAAAACCTACCATAATCCAGGGATGAGAACTGCATTGTACTCCGAATTGTCCCTTTATCCCAACTGTTACACCGAGAAGATTGAACGACTGCTAGCTGTTCGGGAAAACTGCCCTTTTCGTCCTCATGCTAGGTAGCAGAAGCCAGAGCAGCCATTTTGGAATGGCAGTGTCAGCCAATCAGCTCCTTCGTTGTTCAACGCAACGTTCTATTCCATAACGGCTGCAGTGGCTACTGCTAGCTAGCACGAGGACAAAAACAGCAGTTTACTTAAAAACTAGCAGTCGTTCAATCTCCTTGATGTTACAGTTGGGATAATGGGACAATTCGGCGTACAACTAATTTCTCACCCCTACATTGAGGTACGTTTTCCGAGACATATCTAGCACCGGCTCCGCTGTGTTTTAATCTAAACAGGAGGCCTATTCGACCCCAGTGCAGCTGTAAGCAAGCGTAGGGTAGGAATCTATTACGGCTACTCTAAAGTTATTTGCTATCTGATAACAAGGAACAGATAAATAGTAAGAAAATCATTTTAATGGAAATAGCATTTCGCATCATTTATCAAAAAAGAATAACAAACAAGCGGTATTATAGAAAGTAGAAAATAGTTTTTCAAATTATCGCCTTTTCTGGAAAATATTTCCTCTTCCCATCCCTCCACGTCCTCGCCCCCTAGCAGCCACTGGGAGAAGAGACAAAGCAAATTGTTAATCAATCAACATACATCAAATCAAATTGTATTTGTCACATGCGCAGAATACAACAGGTGTAGAACTTACAGTGAAATGCTTACTTACAAGCCCTTAACCAACAATGCAGTTTTAAGAAAAATAAGTGTTAAGTAAAAAAATAGATAAGTAAAAAATCAAAATACTAAATAATTAAAGAGCAGCAGTAAAATAACAGTAGCGAGGCTATATACAGGGGGTACCGGTACAGAGTCAATGTGCGGGGGCACAGGTTAGTCGAGGTAATATGTACATGTAGGTAGAGTTAAAGTGACTATGCATAGATAATAAACAGAGAGTAGCAGCAGAGTAAAAGAGGGGGTGGGGAACAATGCAAATAGTCTGGGTAGCAATTTGATTAGCTGTTATGGCTTGGGGGTAGAAGCTGTTAAGAAACCTTTTGGACCTAGACTTGGCACTCCGGTACCGCTTGCCGTGCGGTAGCAGAGAGAACAGTCTATGACTAGGGTGGCTGAAGTCTTTGACAATTTTTAGGGCCTTCCTCTGACACCGCCTGGTGTAGAGTTCCTAGATGTCAGGAAACTTGGCCCCAGTGATGTACTGGGCTGTACGCACTACCCTCTGTAGTGCCTTGTCAGAGGCCGAGCAGTTGCCATACCAGGAAGTGATGCAACCAGTCAGGATGCTCTCGATGGTGCAGCTGTAGAAATCTTTGATGATCTGAGGACCCATGCCAAATCTTTTCAGTCTCCTGAGGGGGAATAGGCTTTGTTGTGACCTCTTCATGACTGTCTTGGTGTGTTTGGACCATGATAGTTTGTTGGTGATGTGGACACCAAGGAACTTGAAGCTCTCAACCAGCTCCACTACAGCCCCGTCGATGAGAATGGGGGCGTGCTCGGTCCTCTTCTTTTTCCTGTCGTCCACAATCACCTCCTTTGTCTTGATCACGTTGAGGGAGGTTGTTATCCTGGCATCACATGGACAGGTCTCTGACCTCCTCCCTATAGGCTGTCTCATCATTGACAGTGATCAGGCCTACCACTGCTGTGTCGTCGGCAAACTTGATGGTGTTGGAGTCGTGCCTGGCCATGCAGTCATGGGTGAACAGGGAGTACAGGAGGGGACTGAGCACGCACCCCTGAGGGGCCCCCGTGTTGAGGATCAGCGTGGCGGATGTGTTGTTACCTACCCTTACCACCTGGGGGCGGTCCGTCAGGAAGTCCAGGATCCAGTTGCAGAGGGAGGTGTTTAGTCCCAGGGTCCTTAGCTTAGTAATGAGCTTTGAGGGCACTGTGGTATTGAACGCTGAGCTGTAGTCAATGAACAGCATTCTCATGTAGGTGTTCCTTTTGTCCAGGTGGGAAAGGGCAGTGTGGAGTGCAATAGAGATTGCATCATCTGTGGATCTGTTGGGGCGGTATGCAAATTGGAGTGGGTCTATTTCTGGGATAATGGTGTTGATGTGATCTACGACCAGCCTTTCAAAGCACTTCATGGTTACAGACGTGAGTGCTACTGGTCGGTAGTCATTTAGGCAGGTTACCTTAGTGTTCTTGGGCACAGGACTATGGTGGTCTGCTTGAAACATGTTGGTATTACAGACTCAGTCAGGGACAGGTTGAAAAGTGAAGATACTTGCTAGTTGGTTAGCGCATGCTCGGAGTACACGTCCTGGTTTTTTTATTTTTATTTTTTTATTTCACCTTTATTTAACCAGGTAAACCAGTTGAGAACAAGTTCTCATTTACAACTGCGACCTGGCCAAGATAAAGCAAAGCAGTGCGATAAAAACAACAACACAGAGTTACATATGGGGTAAAACAAAACTAAGTCAAAAATGCAACAGAAATACATATAATATACAGTGTGCAAATTTAGCAAGTTATGGAGGTAAGGCAATAAAATAGGCTATAGTGCAAAATAATTACAATTTAGTATTAACACTGGAATGATGTGCAAGAGATGATGTGCAAATAGAGATACTGGGGTACAAATGAGCAAAATAAATAACAATATAGGGATGAGGTAGTTGGGCGGGCTAATTTCAGATGGGCTGTGTACAGGTGCAGTGATCGGTAAGGTGCTCTGACAACTGACAACCGTCTGGCCCTGCGGCCTTGTGAATGTTGACATATTTAAAGGTCTTACTCACATCAGCTACGGAGAGCGTGATCACACAATCGTCCGGAACAGCTGATGCTCTCATGCATGTATCAGTGTTGCTTGCCTCAAATCGAGCATAGAAGTAATTTAGCTTGTCTGGTAGGCTCGTGTCACTGGGCAGCCCACAGCTGTGCTTCCCTTTGTAGTCTGTAATAGTCCGACGAGCGTCGGAGCGGTGTAGTACAATTCAATCTTAGTCCTGTATTGACCCTTTGCCTGTTTGATGGTTCGTCGGAGGGCATAGCGGGATTTCTTATAAGCGTCCGGGTTAGAGTCCCGCTCCTTGAAAGCGGCAGCTCTACCCTTTAGCTCAGTGCAGATGTTGCCTGTAATCCATGGCTTCTGGTTGGGGTACGTACGTACGGTCACTGTGGGGACGACGTCATCGATGCACTTATTGATGAAGCCAGTGACTGATGTGGTGTACTCCTCAATGCCATCGGAAAAATCCCGGAACATATTCCAGTCTGCGCTAGTAAAACAGTCCTGTAGCTTAGCATCTGCGTCTTCTGACCACTTCTTTATTGACCGAGTCACTGGTGCTTCCTGCTTTAGTTTTTGCTTGTAAGCAGGAGGATAGAGAGTTATGGTCAGATTTGCCAAATGGAGGGCGAGGGAGAGCGTTGTACGCGTCTCTGTGTGTGGAGTAAAGGTGGTCTAGAGTTTTTTTTCCTCTGGTTGCACATTTAACATGCTGGTAGAAATTAGGTAAAACTGATTTAAGTTTCCCTGCATTAAAGTCCCTGGCCACTAGGAGCGCCGCCTCTGGATGAGCGTTTTCCTGTTTGCTTATGGCCTTATACAGCTCATTGAGTGCAGTCTTAGTGCCAGCATCGGTTTGTGGTGGTAAATAGACAGCTACGAAAAATATAGATGAAAACTCTCTTGGTAAATTGTGTGGTCTACAGCTTATCATGAGATACTCTACCTCAGGCGGGCAAAACCGCGACTTCCTTAATATTCGATTTTGTGCACCAGCTGTTGTTTACAAATATACACAGACCGCCACCCCTTGTCTTACCGGAGGCAGCTGTTCTTTCTTGCCGATGCAGCATATTTCCCGCCAGCTGTATGTTATCCATGTCGTTGTTCAGCCACGACTCGGTGAAACATAAGATATTACCGTTTTTAATGTCCCGTTGGTAGGATATCCGTGATTTTTTTTTTTTTTTGGGGGGGGGGGGGGTAGATCAGCTTAATATTGCAGATAGATTGTAACTTCCATCAATGTAATTGTCTGCATCACTTCCAATCCCCCATGATTTTATATATATATATATATATATATATATATATATATATATATATATATATATATATATTCCCCTTTATTACTTTCCAACCCCGCCACCCTTTCCCTACTTGGGGTAAACTAGTGAACAACAATGCTTAGGCCTCTACTTCCAGCTTATACTTACTATCTACATTTTATGTACACAGTCAATTTTACAATAATTATATTTTGTTTGTTTTTTTCTCCTGAACTTCTTCTAGTCTCAACCTCTCCGATCATTTTCATGATGTCCATCCGGTTTGCTTCTATATGCCATATATTTCTAACTGTGCTGTTTCCCAAAAGCTCCCAACATACAACCTATGTGGACACAGTATGCTTACGTTATTAGTTGTTATTATTTTGTTGTTAGTTGTTATTAGTCCCATCCTTCAGATCCATTCAACAACTCCCATCTATCTCTTAACACCATCCATATAGGATTTCTATTTGCCATATATATTTCAACTGTACTGTGATGTTTTACAAAAATTCTGAACCTTTCTATTCTCATTGTTTCTACAGATTGTGAATTAAAAATAAACATTTTTGCTAAAAGTATTATTATATTATTGATCGATTGACTACGACTTTTCAGATCACCCAGTAATGCTATCTGCAAGGTTAGCTCCAGGTAAATATTGCAATCCTTTAGCCATTCCTGGACCTGTGTCCAAAAACAAGCTACAAATGGACAGTACCAAAACAAATGATCTAATGATTCTGTCTCTTCGCAGCATCCGTGATCTTAGTTTGTCTATTTTGTTATCCAATGATGGCTAATAGGACTGATGGTAGAGGCAGATTATGCCTCGCCGTCGGATCCTTACGAGGCACCCCGACCTACGTCCCCGATATCTCAGTCTCTTTCTCATGCGAATGACAGGGATTTGGGCCTTGTCGGGTGTCTGAAGAAAATCCTTAGCATCCGACTCGTCAAATAAAAAATCTTCGCCCAGTATGAGGTGAGTAATCGCTGTCCTGATATCCAGAAGCTCTTTTCGGTCATAAGAGACGTGGCAGAAACATTATGTACAAAATAAGTTGCAAATAACGCGAAAAAACACACACAATAGCACAATTGGTTACGAGCCCGTAAAACGGCAGCCATCTCCTTCGGTGCCATTAGAGACAGAATCATTAGATCATTTGTTTTGGTACTGTCCATTTGTAGCTTGTTTTTACAATAATCTGCTTGCATAATTTATGTGCCAAATCCAATAGGATACTAGCTTGGGCCTAGATCTCTTTGTGCTCCTGCTAACACCAACTCCAATGCTGTCATAGTCAAGCCAAACATGTTTGGCATCACAATGACTGACAAAGAGTTGGCATGATGGCACAAACAGACTGGCACGCAGGCCAGTTGGATACCAAGTGGGTCTGATTAGGGCCATGATATAATAAAATCTGTACCTTGTGCTTTGAGAATGGCAGCTTTCCCTCTCCCAGCTCCAGCTCCCTGGTTCTTGTTCTTCATACTCTTTAGCATGGGTGCGTTCTTCAGCATGTCTGGGAGAATAAGGAATCGGATCTTGCTGCCTCGGATGTACACCTGCTCCAGCTGGGCTACACGGCCATCTCTGTGAGTCACTGTGATGTTGGCCATCTGGAGGGGGCAGAATGTTCAATCACATTTAGATGAGGAAGGAAGGGGTTGGGGGTAGGTTGTGGAGGACTACTTTATGGGGGATTCAGGGAAAAGAGATGCTGATTTGTATATCATAATGTTATAATATAGACTAGTAAGGTATTTAGAACTTAGAGAACTTGATGCAACATGCTCAGAATGATACTTTCTATCAAATTGCAAATCATGGTAGGCATGAAATCCACTTTAAAAAGTTTGAGATGCATGTTATTACCTGGCAGTTCATGTTGTCCTCAGCTTCAATGAGTTTCCCCCGGTACACCTCCCCGGTGTTGGTCTCGCAGGTAACGATGTGGCCCTCAGCTTCATGAAGGACTTTGATTGGCACTCCAATGGACATCTTTCTGAGCACCACCACATATACAGTAATGGTTTTAGTCAAAGAGAAAACAGTTAGCTAACGTTAGCTTCTGGTTGATGTTCTTTGCCACTAAAATCAGTAGCTAAACGTTAGTAGCTAAAACAGGGTGAATGGAATTGGCTAGCTGGACGTTAGTTAGCTATGCTTGCTAGCTAACGTTGGCTAACGATAACTATCTTGCGAATGGTACATAGCTAGCTCATTTCCGTGTGCACTGCTACAATGCTAATAGCTAGCTAGTGATAACCGTAATATCTTACAGTTTAAATCCTTGCAAACCAGTTCGTGAATATTTGTGGAAATTATTCAGCTAGCACTTTACCTAGCTAGCTAATATTTTTTTTATATATTTTAATTTAGGTCTAGTCTAGCGATTGGTGAATGGCAAAGATGCCCCGCTTCTTTAAAAGCTAGCCTCTCCATACCCGTTTATTTCCTGTTTGATTCGCTCATCGCCATGCCAAAGATGTTTTAGAACTAATAGCTCATTGTTCTAGCTGTGGCAATGCAGGGTGAAAACTAGAGCGATAACTGTGTGTGCTGCCACCTACTGACGTCCTGTCGACGGTGCAGTTTAGTTCACTACCACAGCTTTATTATTTTGCAGACAACGCTCATACCGATTTAATAAGTTTGTGTTGTTCTTGTTTGCGACCAGGGTCATTCTGGTTTCAGTGTAGTTTCTGGAGACACGATTGAGTGTGCGTGTGTGTGTGTGCGCGCTATAAAAAACACTTGGGTGTGCGCGCACCACTAGCCACCGGAAGTGAGTTTGACTCGCAATCCTCGTTCGTATCAATTATTTGAAGAAACCCAGCTAGCTATCTAGCTAGCTGAAAAGAACTAGTTTAGCTATCAGTACAAGAAAACTTTATACAATTCACATTAATCCACTTTGAATGATCTAACAGTTAGTAGGTGAATCGACCATGAAGTCGACCAACCAGATGTAAATAATGATATGTGCTAGTAGGGTACGCTAATTTGGTTGCTAGCGCCAGGCAGTGCTTGCCAACACCCTCATGAGGCAATCCAACTCCGGAGCATTAATTAGCTACCAACCGTAAACAAGTCTGACTAGTTTGTGATTTGCATCTAGCAGCAAAGAACAATCCAACAGAATGTCAGGTACGTGTATGCTCTAATTATCTAGAGAGTATGTTTGAAATGTAACGTTTGGTAGTTGACCCCACCTAACTTAGCTGTAGCTAGCCACCAATGGCAATGCAATGTAAACAGAAGCAAAAGCATCCCATCCATCGCATGACATTGTCACATGTAAATAACACTTGCTGTGTTTATCAGTCGTGCAAAAGGAATGTACAATCCATGAGAAAAACATTAGTTAGCTACTTTTGTAGACATTATTTGAATTCATTTGGAGAAGCTTGCCACAGCAAGAAACTGACATTTTAGGCCTGGTGAGACCAGTAGCTAAGATTGTGTACTCGTTTCCATCAGCCTCATCACATCTTGTTTTTGACAGATGATGCTGTCCTGCTGAATGTACCCGTCATTCGGCAGCTGTACCACTGGGACTGTGGATTAGCCTGCTCCAGAATGGTTTTGAAGTAAGGGGACATTTCATCATATACTGCATACAGACATGGGTGTGCATTTTAACTACAGTACATTGTGCAGCTGAAGACCTCATCATATACAATAATTTGGCAGGTACCTCCACCCTGTGAGTGATGAGGAGTTTCAGGGTGCTTGCTGGGAGTTGAAGCTGACGCAGAGTGTCTGGACAATTGACTTGGCCTACCTCATGTGCCAGCTGAGGATCCGGCACCGCTTCTGCACTCAGACACTGGGTGTTGACAAGGGCTTCAGGAATCAGGTAATGAGTCAACACTTTGTAGGTCATCACAAGTACAATAGTTATAATACAATGGTATAAGTACATTTAATTATCATGTAGCCCACCATAACAAATGTCCTTAACTAATACGTACCTGAGAGACTTAATGTTTGTGTTTCTTTCATCTGTTTCCAGTCCTTCTACAAAAAGCATTTTGACACTGAGGAAGACAGAGTCAATGAACTCTTCCTAAAGGCTGAAAGCAAGGGTGTGGTGGTGAATAAATGGTTAGTTAACTTTGTGAAAAACTTGCACGGATAAAGAATAAAGACAAATTGTTCAAAATCTATCAGCTTGTCTGGTTAGTAATGGTTGTTTTACGGACCTAGACAGAAAATAACTAAGAGACGCTAACTTTCTGCCTTTTTTAATGTCACCTGTAGCTCTGTGACAATTCAGGAAATCCAGGAACATATTGACCAGGGCCATGTGGCCATAGTGCTGGTCAACGCTGTGGTTCTGGTGTGTGAACTCTGCTCTTCGCCTGTCAAGTACTGCTGTTTCCTGCCTGTGGGCCAGAAGTGCTTCTGCAGGAAGCCAGAATACCAGGGTCACTTTGTGGTTGTGTGCGGCTTCAACCGGAGCACTGGCTGCATCTTCTACAACAACCCTGCCTACTCAGACCGTGAGTCCTCCCTCTACACATCTGCAACAGTAGACAGGGCCACTGACTTACTAGACCCATATATTCATTAAGTATAAGTATGGAATAAATCACATTGTATTTTTGGACATTCAAGTTCTATATCTAAACGCTTCTTAATAAATTGCACAATAACATAACACCCATGAACATGTAACCAGAGGGTGAAAAGTTGACCATGTTCTTGGCAGTAAGCACAGAGAGATTGCGTAAGAGTGAAAATATCACATTGACAGAAGCCTTTGTGTGTTTTGCTTACAGGCGTGTGTTGCACCAGCATTAGTAACTTTGAAGAAGCTCGAATGAGCTACGGGACAGATGAGGATATTCTGTTTATCTTCAAGGAGAGCTGATGGCTTAGGGACAATGAAGATGCAGATTGTCTCCACATCGCTATGGCGCCCCATCCTCACTATGATGACACACCAGTGGGTCTACAGGTCCCTGAACTGGAACTGCTGGTTCCAGCTTTAGCCCAGTGTTGTAGATGGTCCCGGGCTGTCCTCTCCAGTGCTAACATGGCTGACTGCTCACAGAACACACAACACCACTCCAACGTCACCACACCTGCCTCATTTCACATAGCCCATGCTAGTCGTCAGTGTGTAAAGGAATAATCGCTGAAGACATAAATAAAGTGTGGTTTTTAAGTTGGTTGGGGGACAAGCAGATAGATTAAATAGAATAAATGTATTTTTACTGTGTCCCTTTTTGTTTAGTTTTAATTCGGTTAGTTGAGTCCACCAATTGACATTGTGAAATGGTGACCAGTGCAATACCTGAAATCCTATTCCTAATGCTGGGTGGATAAAATACCATAACACTGAAATTGATTCTAGCCTTGGAGAGGACAAAACAATGCACATACAAGGGCTTACGGCAACATGATGCTTTCTTTGGTTTTACCTGGTGTCACGCAAGTCTGATGGGCCATGTATAGCTGCTTTCCTCCCCTCAGACTTGTCTTGTTTTATTAATAGTTATTTTGATACTGTTTGTTAAACTTCACATATTATTTAGGATTTTCTAATAACATGGAATAGAGGGGAGAATTTGTTTTTGAAAGACTCAGGTAATTAATGTCCAAAGAGTCTGATGTGTTGTATTACAATAGCAAACCCATGTCACAAACTCATTTTCTTTAATGCAATACACCTCGACCCATAGCCTGTTTATGGAACCAAATCTGCCTGGCAGGCCTAGGTATTAGTCATCAGGACGTCATGTTCAACCTCAGCCTGCTGCTTTGTACAGACTTTGCTTTTGTTGTGTGCACTGATGATTACAGTCCATGTCAGTGTCATTCACATCAAGGAGCTTATTTCAGAGAATCAGTTATAGGTTCATCTGAAGGCGGTGGAGGCTAGTGGGAGGAGCTATAGGAGGACGGGCTCATTGTAATGGCTGGAATGGCATAAATGGAACAGTATCAAACATATATAAACCACATGTTCGGCTCCGTTCCATTTATTCCATTCCAGCCATTACAATGAGCCGATCCTCCTATAGCTCCTCCCACCAGCCTCCACTGTCTGAAGGTTTTTCCGTGTTGCACTACATGCCTCCATCTCCATGCTCTTTCAGTTTGAAAAATGGAGAATGGGGACACAGTGGAACGTTTGAAATACTCAGTATGAGGTAGAGGGATGCCTTGCAGGTTTTGCTTCAGTATATGACTCAACACTACCTTAAAGTTTTAAAGGAATTATTAGATCATAAGATGTTTTCTGTTGAAAACAGCAATCAAGTGGAGGCAACACACAGAATGACACCTTTACTTTATTCTCACTCAACATTTATTTTTATATTTTGGTATCATGGATGATGTTATTGCACTTTGGTTTTTGTACCAGCCATAATTATGTATTATTTAATTTTCATTTTACCAAGATAACATATTTTCCCAATCTAAATGGGAAGACACTGATTTATTCCTGGTTGTGTATTTTTGTTATGAACAAATGGAATGTGTTAAAATGGCTTTATTTTTATGAAATATACAATTCCATCTATGTACTGTACTCAATAAAATAATTTGAACACATTCTTTGGTTTAGCTTATGGCTGGCTTGATTGGTCCATTCATAATCTTGATGGCACTAATCATGTATGCCTCAACATTGACCTCATGTCCTCTCATTGAGATAGCCTACTGTCTACAGTGCAGCATGTCTCTTCGTTTAGGGGTACCTTCAGGTCATATCAATCTACTTGATAATGTTCGGCTTGAAGTCATGCTTGGTGGCCCTTGTGAGCTCCTCTGAATACTCCCCATACAGTGGGGGAAAAAAGTATTTAGTCAGCCACCAATTGTGCAAGTTCTCCCACTTAAAAAGATGAGAGAGGCCTGTAATTTTCATCATAGGTACACGTCAACTATGACAGACAAATTGAGATTTTTTTTCTCCAGAAAATCACATTGTAGGATTTTTAATGAATTTATTTGCAAATTATGGTGGAAAATAAGTATTTGGTCACCTACAAACAAGCAAGATTTCTGGCTCTCGCAGACCTGTAACTTCTTCTTTAAGAGGCTCCTCTGTCCTCCACTCGTTACCTGTATTAATGGCACCTGTTTGAACTTGTTATCAGTATAAAAGACACCTGTCCACAACCTCAAACAGTCACACTCCAAACTCCACTATGGCCAAGACCAAAGAGCTGTCAAAGGACACCAGAAACAAAATTGTAGACCTGCACCAGGCTGGGGAGACTGAATCTGCAATAGGTAAGCAGCTTGGTTTGAAGAAATCAACTGTGGGAGCAATTATTAGGAAATGGAAGACATACAAGGCCACTGATAATCTCCCTCGATCTGGGGCTCCACGCAAGATCTCACCCTGTGGGGTCAAAATGATCACAAGAACGGTGAGCAAAAATCCCAGAACCACACGGGGGGACCTAGTGAATGACCTGCAGAGAGCTGGGACCAAAGTAACAAAGCCTACCATCAGTAACACACTACGCCGCCAGGGACTCAAATCCTGCAGTGCCAGACGTGTCCCCCTGCTTAAGCCAGTACATGTCCAGGCCCGTCTGAAGTTTGCTAGAGTGCATTTGGATGATCCAGAAGAGGATTGGGAGAATGTCATATGGTCAGATGAAACCAAAATAGAACTTTTTGGTAAAAACTCAACTCGTCGTGTTTGGAGGACAAAGAATGCTGAGTTGCATCCAAAGAACACCATACCTACTGTGAAGCATGGGGGTGGAAACATCATGCTTTGGGGCTGTTTTTCTGCAAAGGGACCAGGACGACTGATCCGTGTAAAGGAAAGAATGAATGGGGCCATGTATCGTGATATTTTGAGTGAAAACCTCCTTCCATCAGCAAGGGCATTGAAGATGAAACGTGGCTGGGTCTTTCAGCATGACAATGATCCCAAACACACTGCCCGGGCAACGAAGGAGTGGCTTCGTAAGAAGCATTTCAAGGTCCTGGAGTGGCCTAGCCACCCCATAGAAAATCTTTGGAGGGAGTTGAAAGTCCGTGTTGCCCAGCGACAGCCCCAAAACATCACTGCTCTAGAGGAGATCTGCATGGAGGAATGGGCCAAAATACCAGCAACAGTGTGTGAAAACCTTGTGAAGACTTACAGAAAACGTTTGACCTGTGTCATTGCCAACAAAGGGTATATAACAAAGTATTGAGAAACTTTTGTTATTGACCAAATACTTATTTTCCACCATAATTTGCAAATAAATTCATTAAAAATCCTACAATGTGATTTTCTTGAAAAAAAAATCTCATTTTGTCTGTCATAGTTGACGTGTACCTATGATGAAAATTACAGGCCTCTCTCATCTTTTTAAGTGGGAGAACTTGCACAATTGGTGGCTGACTAAATACCTTTTTTCCCCACTGTACCTCCCAGTCATCTGCAGATACAGTTACAGCTTTATAGCAGTGCCAACTACTTATGCAAATGTCATAGACCAGGGTTATGTTATCGCGTAACTGAACATGATACAGGTTAGACCAGACAGTAATGTCTGTTAGGCAAAAATGCATTTCCAAGAAGGATGTGATGAACTGCTATTACTGCCAAAAACATGATGATATTATGTAAAAGATTACCCCTGGTACAGTATGTGCAATTCTTGTGAAATAAGATTCTTGTGATATTTCAGTAGTTCACCTTAAAACTAAATTTGTCACTGATTTGCTGGGTCAGGTTGAGATCCATTTCGGTCACCAGGAGACCGTCACAGGTTCGGGACAGGCCTGGAGAGCGGTTACCATCAGGAGCGGCCACATAGCTTGACCCATAGAAGTGTCCAAAATCTTAGTGAGCTATAAGGAACAAAGACAGGACTCTACTTGACAATTAGCTCTTCAACAAAACTAGTCAGAGGAATCCCATCTGAATGACAGGTGGCCTATTGTGTCTGTTTCACAGGTAGACAACCTGCAACTTTATGCATGGGTAATGAGGTCTATGGATATGAATGTGCTGTGAGGCTAACGTTCAGCAACATGACACTTGTTAACATGGCAGCTGGCCCCAGGCCTGTTCTGGATACAGAGTGTAAATGGAAAACAGACACATTGCACTGGGGTGTTGCTCATACAGTTGAAGTCGGAAGTTTACACACACTTAGGTTGGAGTCATTAAAACTCGTTTTTCAACCACTCCACACATTTCTTGTTAACAAACTATAGTTTTGGCAAGTCGGTTAGGACATCTACTTTGTGCATGACACAGGCAATTTTTCCAACAATTGTTTACAGACAGATTATTTCACTTATAATTCACTGTATCACAATTCCAGTGGGTCAGAAGTTTACATACACTAAGTTGACTGCCTTTAAACAGCTTGGAAAATTCCAGAAAATGATGTCATGGCTTTAGAAGCTTCTGATAGGCTAATTGACATAATTTGAGTCAATTGGAGGTGTACTTGTGGATGTATTTCAAGGCCTACCTTCAAACTCAGTGCCTCTTTGCTTGACATCATGTGAAAATCAAAAGAAATCAGCCAAGACCTCCGAAAAAAATATGTAGACCTCCACAAGTCTGCTTCATCCTTGGGAGCAATTTCCAAACGCCTGAAAGTACCACGTTCATCTGTACAAACAATAGTACGCAAGTATAAACACCATGGGACCACGCAGCCGTCATACCGCTCAGGAAGGAGACGCGTTCTGTCTCCTAGAGATGAACGTACTTTGGCGCGAAAAGTGCAAATCAATCCCAGAACAACAGCAAAGGACCTTGTGAAGATGCTGGAGGAAACAGGTACAAAAGTATCTACAGTGGGGGACAAAAAGTATTTAGTCAGCCACCAATTGTGCAGGTTCTCCCACTTAAAAATATGAGAGAGGCCTGTAATTTTCATCATAGGTACACGTCCACTATGACAGACAAATTGAGGAAAAAAAATCCAGAAAATCACATTGTAGGATTTTTAATGAATTTATTTGCAAATTATGGTGGAAAATAAGTATTTGGTCACCTACAATCAAGCAAGATTTCTGGCTCTCACAGACCTGTAACTTCTTCTTTAAGAGGCTCCTCTGTCCTCCACTCGTTACCTGTATTAATGGCACCTGTTTGAACTTGTTATCAGTATAAAATACACCTGTCCACAACCTCAAACAGTCACACTCCAAACTCCACTATGGCCAAGACCAAAGAGCTGTCAAAGGACACCAGAAACAAAATTGTAGACCTGCACCAGGCTGGGAAGACTGAATCTGCAATAGGTAAGCAGCTTGGTTTGAAGAAATCAACAGTGGGAGCAATTATTAGGAAATGGAAGACATACAAGACCACTGATAATCTCCCTCGATCTGGGGCTCCACGCAAGATCTCACTCTGTGGGGTCAAAATGATCACAAGAATGGTGAGCAAAAATCCCAGAACCACACGGGGGGACCTAGTGAATGACCTGCAGAGAGCTGGGACCAAAGTAACAAAGCCTACCATCAGTAACACACTACGCCGCCAGGGACTCAAATCCTGCAGTGCCAGACGTGTCCCCCTGCTTAAGCCAGTACATGTCCAGGTCCGTCTGAAGTTTGCTAGAGTGCATTTGGATGATCCAGAAGAGGATTGGGAGAATGTCATATGGTCGGATGAAACCAAAATAGAACTTTTTGGTAAAAACTCAACTCGCCTTTTTGGAGGACAAAGAATGCTGAGTTGCATCCAAAGAACACCATACCTACTGTGAAGCATGGGGGTGGAAACATCATGCTTTGGGGCTGTTTTTCTGCAAAGGGACCAGGACGACTGATCCGTGTAAAGGAAAGAATGAATGGGGCCATGTATTGTGAGATTTTGAGTGAAAACCTCCTTCCATCAGCAAGGGCATTGAAGATGAAACGTGGCTGGGTATTTCAGCATGACAATGATCCCAAACACACCGCCCGGGCAACGAAGGAGTGGCTTCGTAAGAAGCATTTCAAGGTCCTGGAGTGGCCTAGCCAGTCTCCAGATCTCAACCCCATAGAAAATCTTTGGAGGGAGTTGAAAGTCCGTGTTGCCCAGCGACAGCCCCAAAACATCACTGCTCTAGAGGAGATCTGCATGGAGGAATGGGCCAAAATACCAGCAACAGTGTGTGAAAACCTTGTGAAGACTTACAGAAAACGTTTGACCTGTGTCATTGCCAACAAAGGGTATATAACAAAGTATTGAGAAACTTTTGTTATTGACCAAATACGTATTTTCCACCATAATTTGCAAATAAATTCATAAAAAATCCTACAATGTGATTTTCTGGAGAAAAAAAATCTCATTTTGTCTGTCATAGTTGACGTGTACCTATGATGAAAATTACAGGCCTCTCTCATATTTTTAAGTGGGAGAACTTGCACAATTGGTGGCTGACTAAATACTTTTTTTCCCCCACTGTATATCCACAGTAAAACGAGTCCTATATCGACATAATATGTAAGGCCGCTCAGGAAGGAAGAAGCCACTGCTCCAAAACTGCCATAAAAACTGCATATGGGGACATACTTTTTGGAGAAATGTCCTCTGGTCTGATGAAACAAAAATAGAACTGTTTGGCCATAATGACCATTGTTATGTTTGGAGGAAAAAGGGGGTTGCTTGCAAGCCGAAGAACCCCATCCCAACCGTGAAGCACGGGGGTGGCAGTGTCATGCTGTGGAGGTGCTTTGCTGCACTTCACAAAATAGATGGCATCCTCCCGAGTGGCGCAGTGGTCTAAGGCACTGCATCGCAGTGCTAGCTGTGCCACTAGAGATCCTGGTTCGAGTCCAGGCTCTGTCGTAGCCGGCCGCAACCGGGAGACCCATGGGGCGGCGCACAATTGGCCCAGCGTCGTCCAGGGTAGGGGAGGGTTTGGCCGGCAGGGATGTCCTTGTCCAATCGCGCTATAGCGACCCCTGTGGCGGGCCGGGCACAGTGCACACTGACTCGGTCGCCAGGTGTACGGTGTTTCCTCCGACACATTGGTGCGGCTGGCTTCCGGGTTAAGCGGGCACTGTGTCAAGAAGCAGTGCAGCTCGGTTGGGTTGTGTTTCGGAGGACGCACGACTCTCAACCTTCGCCGCTCCCGTGTCCGTACGGGGATTGCAGCGATGGGACAGGGACTGTAACTACTACCAATTGGATACCACGAAATTGGGGAGAAAAAGGGGGTAAAATACCCCCCAAAAAACAAAAAAATAGATGGCATCATGAGGAAGGAAAATTATGTGGATATATTGAAGCAACATCTCAAGACATCAGTCAGGAAGTTAAAGCTTGGTCGCAAATGGGTCTTCCAAATGGACAATGACCCCAAGCATCCTTCCAAAGTTGTGGCAAAATGGCTTAAGGAAAACAAAGTCAAGGTATTGGAGTGGCCATCACAAAGCCCTGACCTCAATCCTATAGAACATTTGTGGGCAGAACTGAAAAAGCGTGTGCGAGCAAGGAGGCCTACAAACCTGACTCAGTTACACCAGCTCTGTCAGGAGGAATGGGCCAAAACTTATTGTGGGAAGCTTGTGGAAGGCTACCCGAAACGTTTGACCCAAGTTAAACAATTTAAAGGCAATGCTACCTAATTCTAATTGAGTGTATGTAAACTTCTGACCCACTGGGAATGTGATGAAAGAAATAAAAGCTGAAATAAATCGTTCTCTCTACTATTATTCTGACATTTCACATTCTTAAAATTAAGTGGTGATCCTAACTGACCTAAGACAGGGAATTTGTACTAGGATTAAATGTCAGGAATTGTGAAAAACTGAGTTGAAATGTATTTGGCTAAGGTGTATACTTCCTACTTCAACTGTAAATACAGATATAAAACCTTTCTTTTTTTACCTTTTTATAATTGTTGATTATCATAATAATGTGCATTTGGTCTACTTCCCTACACTATACCATAATCTTTCAATTATCAGTATCAAATCAACATGACACGTTTTTATTTCAAGATATTCCTTCGGCAATGAAGTGGCAATCATGACTTCTTAAAAACAGAATAAGACAAAACAAAAGGAAACATGGATCTCTTGGTCTTCTTATTACCAAGTAAAACTCTGGCAAGAATGACATTATTCATTTGTATGCAAAATGCACCATGAATAAGAATGAAAAGAAAGAGGCTTAGAAACATTTAAAACTTCTGACCCACTGGGAATGTGATGAAAGAAATAAAATTTGAAATAAATCATTCTCTCTACTATTATTCTGACATTTCACATTCTTTCAATAAAGTGGTGATCCTAACTGACCTAAGACAGGGCATTTTTACTAGGATTAAATGTCAGGAATTGTGAAAAACTGAGTTTAAATGTATTTGGCTAAGGTGCATGTAAACTTCCGATTTCAACTGTATATCAAACATGGGTCTATGCCATCGAGGCTCACTATCAATGACGCTGGTATAGACCGCACCCATTTCTGGATATACCTTTTGTATGCTTTACTTATTTAGAAGTATCTCTATTCATGCAGACATCCATGTCAAATTCTTGACAGAAAGACGCAGTGTTAATTGAGTACTTAGTTGTAAAACTGATATGCAAATGACTATATTTTGTCACAGGCAGGAGAGGACAAAGTAATATGCATGATACTACACTTTTCTAAAAAAAACAGTGAAAGATTCATACCTTTTTTTCCATTCCCAGAGGGGAACTCATTGTTAAAGTGATCCTACATAAAACAAGAGAGATTAGTTAGAAAACAGCATTATGATGGCTCATACATAATGTAGTTGTGTTCACCAGCTGTGAAGTCTGGCAGTGGCATACTGTATGAGGCTACATACAAAAGAGAGGATACCAGTATATCATGGATAATTGGACTATGGAGGCAGTAGGGGGCAGCATAGAATAGATGTTTCAATGCCCCTAGGACTTGGCTCAATAATAAGTGGTTGTAAAAGAGATCATGTGGAACAACATACACCCGTCTTTGGTGGTATTTACTGTCCCAACACGGTTTATTCCACAGGTGAAGCAATGGTTTGCTATAGCTCCACATGGGCTCACTGAGTCTTCCAACAGTAGCAGAAGGGTTGAAGATCTCTGCTTATATATCTGAGCCTAGAGGAAAGTCTTTGTCCTCAGGCCTGGAGGGAAGCCAAAGTCATTCCGCTACCCAAGAGTGGTAAAGCGGCCTTTACTGGTTCTAACAGCAGACCTATCAGCTTGCTGCCAGCTATTAGCAAACTGTTGGAAAAAATGGTGTTTGACCAAATACAATGCTATTTCTCTGTAAACAAATTAACAACAGACTTTCAGCATGCTTATAGAGAAGGGCACTCAACATGTACTGCGCTGACACAAATTACTGATGATTGGTTGAAATAAATCAATAAGAAGAAGATTGTGGGAGCTGTACTGTTAGATTTCAGTGCAGCCTTTGCCATAATAATATTGTGGATTCAGAGCTATCTATCTAATATAACTCTGGGATTTCTTTAATGGAAGCTTCTCTAATGTCAAACATGTAAAGTGTGGTGTACCGCAGGGCAGCTCTCTAGGCCCTCTACTCTTTTCTATTTTTACCAATGACCTCCTACTGGCATTAAACAAAGCATGTGTGTCCATGTAAGCTGATGATTCAACCATATACGCATCAACAACCACAGCTAATGAAGTCACTGAAACCCTTAACAAATAGTTGCAGTCTGTTTTGGAATCGGTGGCCAGTAATAAACTGGTCCTGAACCTCTCTAAAACTAAGAGCATTGTACAAATCATTCCCTAAGTTCTAGACATCAGCTGAATCTGGTAATGAATGGTGTGGCTGTTGAACAAGTTGAGGAGACAAAATTACTTGGTGTTACCTTAGATTGTAAACTGTCATGGTCAAAACATATAGATTCAATGGTAGTAAAGATGGGGAGAGGTCTGTCCGTAATAAAGAGATGCTCTGCTTTTTTGACACCACACTCCACAAAGCAAGTCCTGCAGGTTCTAGTTTGATCTTATCTTGATTATTATCCAGTCTTATGGTCAAGTGCTGCAAAGAAAGACCTAGTTAAGCTGCAGCTGGCCCAGAACAGAGCGGCACGTCTTGCTCTTCATTGTAATCAGAGGGCTAATATTATGCCAGTCTCTCTTGGCTGAGAGTTGAGGAAAGAGTGACTGTGTCACTTCTTGTCTTTATAAGAAACATTAACGTGTTGGAAATTCCAAATTGTTTGCATCGTCAACTTACACACAGCACTGACACACACATTTACCCCACCAGACATGCCACCAGGGGTCTTTTCACAGTCCCCAGGACCAGAACAAATTCAAGGAAACGTACAGTATTATACAGAGCCATGAGTGCATGGAGCTCCCTTCCATCTTATATAGCGCAAGTGAACCTGGTTTCAAAAAACAAATAAAGCAACACCTCACGGCACAACGCCTCTTTCCCATGTGACCTACTTGTTGTGTGTTTGTACTGACATGTATGTGTAACTGATAGATGCACACACAAACACTACATGTTCATGTTTTTAAATGTATGTAAATTGTAAAGTATTTTGTCTGTAATGTATTTTTCGTTATGTGTCGGACCCCAGTAAGACTAGCTGTCGCCATTAGCGTCGGCTAATGGGGATCGTAATAAATCAAACATCAAATCTAAATCCATTCATACTGTACATGAACCAGTTGAGAGGGTGATGGCGCCCATAGCAGATGTTCACAGCAATCTTTCCAAAGTGGGTCTGAAACACTCTGTGACCAGTGTCGCACTCCATGTAAAATGTGGACTGAGTTAGGGAGGGGGGAAAAAGTCCAACCAAAAGTCTGTACATATCTGCATCCAGTACAGTATATTTGCCATTTAAAAATGTAGAGAATTATTTATTTAAGCTTTTATTTCTTTCATCACATTCCCAGTGGGTCAGAAGTTTACATACACTCAATTAGTATTTGGTAGCATTGCCTTTAAATTGTTTAACCTGGGTCATACGTTTTGGGTAGCCTTCCACAAGCTTCCCACAATAAGTTGGGTGAATTTTGGCCCATTCCTCCTGACAGAGCTGGTGTTACTGAGTCAGGTTTGTAGGCCTCCTTGCTCGCACACGCTTTTTCAGTTCTGCCCACAAATGTTCTATAGGATTGAGGTCAGGGCTTTGTGATGGCCACTCCAATACCTTGACTTTGTTGTCCTTAAGCCATTTTGCCACAACTTTGGAAGTATGCATTGTCCATTTGGAAGACCCATTTGCGATCAAGCTTTAACTTCCTGACTGATGTCTTGAGATGTTGCTTCAATATATCCACATAATTTTCCTTCCTCATGATGCCATCTATTTTGTGAAGTGCACCAGTCCATCCTGCAGCAAAGCACCCCCACAGCATGATGTTGCCACCCCCGTGCTTCATGGTTGGGATGGTGTTCTTTGGCTTGCAAGTAACCCCCTTTTTCCTCCAAACATAACGATGGTCATTATGGCCAAACAGTTATATTTTTGTTTCATCAGACCAGAGGACATTTCTCCAAAAAGTACGATCTTTGTCCCCATGTGCAGGTGCAAACCGTAGTCTGGCTTTTTTATGGCGGTTTTAGAGCAGTGGCTTCTTCCTTGCTGAGCGGCCTTTCAGGTTATGTCGATATAGGACTCGTTTTACTGTGGATATAGATACTTTTGTACCTGTTTCTTCCAGCATCTTCACAAGGTCCTTTGCGGTTGTTCTGGGATTGATTTGCACTTTTCGCACCAAAGTACGTTCATCTCTAGGAGACAGAACGCGTCTCTTTCCTGAGCGGTATGACGGCTGCGTGGTCCCATGGTGTTTATACTTGCGTACTATTGTTTGTACAGATGAACGTGGTACTTTCAGGCGTTTGGAAATTGCTCCCAAGGATGAAGCAGACTTGTGGAGGTCTACACATTTTTTTCGGAGGTCTTGGCTGATTTCTTTTGATTTTCCATTGATGTCAAGCAAAGAGGCACTGAGTTTGAAGGTAGGCCTTGAAATACATCCACAGGTACACCTCCAATTGACTCAAATGATGTAACTCTGTGTTGTTGTTTTTATCGCACTGCTTTGCTTTATCTTGGCCAGAACTTGTTCTCAACTGGCTTACCTGGTTAAATAAAGGTGAAAAAAAAAAAAAAAAAAAAAAGGAGCCTATCAGAAGCTTCTAAAGCCATGACATCATTTTCTGGAATTTTCCAAGCTGTTTAAAGGCACAGTCAACCTAGTGTATGTAAACTTCTGACCCACTGGAATTGTGATACAGTGAATTATAAGTGAAATAATCTGTTTGTAAACAATTGTTGTGTCATGCACAAAGTAGATAGTTTGTTAACAAGAAATTAGTGGAGTGGTTGAAAAACGAGTTTTAATGACTCCAACCTAAGTGTATGTAAACTTCAGACTTCAACTGTACATAACCTTTCAGACATAGACAGCTCAGAATGTACTGTATGACGGTAAAGTAGGTTAGGTGTGCTGTCCAAACATACACGAGCTCTCTCTGAACCCTGTGATTTAACTAGTGCCTGTGTGGTTTCACTTTTCAATTCCTTGAGGCTCACTGGGAAACCATATTGTAAGAATGAAGACAGTTCCCTGGGTGATAGATTGGTTGTGGACAGAGCCACAGATCACCATAGGGAGGATCAATAGTGTCAGCTGTGAGACATTTACTGTATGTTTTGTCACTTTGTGACAAATTGGGCTATATACATACAGTTGTTTCATTGATTGATCACTTATAAAAAGATTGATAACCGACCATGTTGAAGTATCCCACCTGGGGAATATGATTCTTCCTGGTTTTACCCAGGACGCTGCCTGTGTTGGAGACCACTACTGCTGTGTTCCAAAGTAAATTGTGTACCTTTTCTCGCTCCAAAATGGGCGATATCACTAACATTTTGTATTTCTTTGCCAGCTGAAGAGAAAACAAGAGTAGAGTTTTAGACATGAGTCATCATACAAAGACAAAAGGCTGGAATTGCCCATCTCTATCAGCACAAACACGTGCACACACACACATGCAAACATAGAGACGTATGTGGACGACAGCGCACAGCTACGTGCTGGAATGCTCATCTCAGACTGGAGCTGTTTTTATGTTCTAGCCCCCAAGTTGAGCATGAACTCCCACCACAAACATGTATTATTCACTATGCATGAATTAGATGACAGCATGCAAACTACCCCAGAGTACAATCACTCTTTGTTTCTCAACAATTAGGCCTACATAATGTTGTAGAATAATGCCTTGTAATTAAACATAATGGCACATTATTTCACATGCTAAATAATACACTAAGGAGCAATACCAATCTCTAATCTATACAATGGCATTATTTGACAACAGTTTCTTATCTGTTAACCTTTTACTGCAGTGGGCTAAATCAGGGTCAAACAGAGTGTTTCTTGGTAGTCAAACAAATCTACTTTGAAACAAAAGTATACACCTCACACACATGGTTATGGGCTTACAAAAAAGAAGACACCTGTACCATCAGATATAGAGTTGAAATGTATTTTAAAAAATGTTTGCATCCCAATATTACACTTTATATACGTCACAGAAGACTGAAATATAACAAAGAAAAGTGTATTAATTATGAAAAATAACATTCCAGCCATGAGGCCACTAGGTCATTTGACTGCAGGAAAGGGCTACAGGAATTTGTAAAACCACAGTGAAATTGTGTATACTTACTACTACCCATACTATTAAATGGCAACTACTCTGACTGTTCTCAGAGTATGAGTCACAAGCAGTATTGCATTGGATGTGGTACATTCCTGTACCATGGATGACCCCTGACCTCTCACCTCTTGGCAGAAGTGGGTGGTGTATACCCCTTCTGCAGACTCTGCAAACTCTGTCCACTGTTCTTTCTCCCCGGTACAGAAGGCAAAGGGCATAGCTGTGATAGGGAACAAAGCAGGATTGTCTCTTAAAACTCAGGGCAGTAAAATTGAGGCACACACTAGAGAGCACTTAAACATAACTGTGCATATAAGTATATATCTCAGAGGACAGACAATATGCATACTATGCTCCAAATATTTATCACATGATATGTCTTCACACCATGTGAAGCATTTTGATGCAAACCTCTGTGTATGCTTATCACTGTTGTGGGGATGGGGGTCACCTCCCTGGTGCAGCACTTGGGGGTGAGTTTAGTATATTTCTGCTGTACTAGGACACTCTAAGGGGGCAATGGGCCAGAGTAAGGCACTCCTCTTTCATCACATAATGATGTCTAGGACCCCAAACAAATAGGACAACAAACTGTGTTTGGTGTGCTGTTGACTTCCCTATGACCAATTAACGACAAATTGACCTTCTGCCGTATACCCAGATGCTATCACCCTGGCTGATCCAATATCACCCTGTTATAAGGCCACAAGTCAACAGTTACTGTACAGTAAAGTGAACAAGCACAATTTGTATCCTTATTCTCTGTAACAGATTGCACAAAGAAAAGGTATGGAAAACTCCAATAGGCTACCCCAGTAAGACAGATCAGTAATCTCACTCCAGGCCTCCTGAAAGCAGACAGTGTTGACCCCACACAGAGCCGCCACATCCACCATCTCACCATTCCTTTTGTGGAGTGCTGTTATCCGGGCAGAGGGATGAACACCAGTGGAGGCTGCTGAGGGGAGGACAGCTCATTATAACGGTTGGGATGGAGTGTAATGGCTGGAATGGAGTGAATTGAATGGTATCAAACATATGATGTGTTTGAAACCATTCCATTTACTCCATTCTGGCCATTATTATGAGCAGTCCTCCCCTCAGCAGCCTGCACTAATGAACACAGAGATCAGTCAACAAGCCCCATGCATCTTCTCAACACTGCTCATAGCAAGGACTTCAAGGGTAAATTCATTTAAATTCAATAAGTATTTGACAGCACCCATTTTGATTTGAACTAAACCTTCCATACATATTTTCCCATTGTAGAAGGGCTCAGAAAGTGACTTTTTGGACCTGAATGCCAAATCATTCAAGAGATAAAGGTGCTCAAAGTTGACCCATTTTGCATACCCCACCATACCACCCTAACCCTAGTCCTGTCAATCCTCCATAGGAAACCTGGCCATTAAGTTGATATTCAATGGTGGGTTGACCGGCGGTCATCTTGTGATAGTAATTAGAAGTTTACATTTCTATTCAATTTCAAGGGTGTACCAGTAAATTGCAGTGGTCTGAAGGGATAGATCTGTTCTATGAATTATATTTCTATGGTTGAAATGACACCCACCCTGTATTCAAGAGCATGTTGTGTCTCAACCGATGGCGGGCACAACACAAAAACCTCAGATGATGTGAAATAGGGTCTAAGCTACAACATATGTGAATATGAACTAAATCTGAGTTAACACGTTTTTAGATAATTTACATTAAAGGTTTAAGACATGGATGTCTCATGGTTTGGTGGGGTATGCAAAATGGGTCAACTTTGAGCACCTTTACTTCCTGAATGTTTTGGCAATCAGGTCAAAAAAATCATTTTCTGACCACTTTTTCCATGGGCAAATATGGAATGTTTTGAGTTAATCAAAAGGGTTGCTTTGAAAAAGTGATTGAATTCAAATGGATTTACCCAATTGTAACTTTACATGCACATATAACGAGAAGAAGGAGAGAGTGCCATAGATGCAAACAATATTGTAGCAGGCTTTGGTTGGTAAAGAGATTGAATCCAAGTAGTCATTACTCTCTAACCTGATCCAGGACAAGAGCATCAGTGGGCAGAACGATGCGGTTCTGAATGAACCCAAACGTTTTTCGGGGGTCTGAGCTGCTCCGGGGACGCTTCAAACAAGTACCCCTGAAGCTCAAAGTCCCGCTCCAAAGCAGCCTCCACTGCACATGCTGGCAGATCAAACTTCCTGCAAGAAATTGTCAAATGTGCGTTAAACCGCGGAGGGCCAGAAGGTCAGCTAAACCTAATTACCTAGACAGAAGTGACTTCATTGACTCTCATCTGGCTTCACAGACCCTCAGCAACACCTATATGAATTGCTGGTAAACCCAACAAATAAGTGCATCTTTGTGTGATTGTATTAACAGTAGAGTAATTAACAAAATACTACAAGATTTTGATTGAACCATCCCTTTAATTTGGCCATGGCTGCCAGGTGGCACCAGCCTGCCAGGCAGATAGTGTGTGGATTGCTTAATGTCCATATATAATAAAGACTGACGATTGTCCCCATGAAAGGTTCAATCATAGACATTAAAACCAGGGTTCAATACTGCCCCCATTTACAGGCACTAATATGACAGGGGTTGGTTGAAAGGACAATGATTGATCAAAGTCCACTTGACTGTAAATAATTTACTCACTCTGCTGAACATCAGACTGCAAAGGAATGATTGAAGAGGAAAAATGAAGAGACAGCAACATTTTCCTATATTTTTCACTTTATAATAGCAGTGTCAAAATGTGGCTAAACCTCATTGATGAGTACAGACTGTCCAAATAGTTATAAAACACAATCTACTGTATTTTCTCTGGTAGCATATCAACCTGGCCTCATAGCATTTCGTGTTATTCTGTACATACACTACCGTTCAAAAGTTTGGGGTCACTTAGAAATGTCCTTGTTTTCGAGAAAAGCAATTTTTTTGTCCATTAAAATAACATCAAATTGATCAGAAATACAGTGTAGACATTATTAATGTTGTAAATGGCTATTGTAGCTGAAAACTGCAGATTTTTAATGGAATATCTACATCGGCGTACAGAGGCCCATTATCAGCAACCATCAGTCCTGTGTTCCAATGGCACATTGTGTTTGCTAATCCAAGTTTATCATTTTAAAAGGCTAATTGATCATTAGAAAACCATTTTGCAATTATGTTAGCACAGCTGAAAACTGTTGTGCTGATTAAAGAAGCAATAAAACTGCCCTTCTGAGACTAGTTGAGTATCTGGAGCATCAGCAATTGTGGGTTCGATTACAGGCTCAAAATGGCCAGAAACAAAGAACTTTCTTCTGAAACTCGTCAGTCTATTCTTGTTCTGATAAATGAAGGCTATTCCATGCGAGAAATTGCCAAGAAACTGAAGATCTCGTACAACGCTGTGTACTACTCCTTTCACAGAACAGCGTAAACTGGCTCTAACCAGAATAGAAAGAGGAGTGGGAGGCCCCGGTGCACAACTGAGCAACAGGACAAATACATTAGAGTGTCTAGTTTGAGAAACAGACGCCTCACAGGACCTCAACTGGCAGCTTCATTAAATAGTACCCGCAAAACACCAGTCTCAACGTCAACAGTGAAGAGGCGACTCTGGAATGCTGACCTTCTAGGCAGAATTGCAAAGAAAAAGCCATATCTCAGACTGGCCAATAAAAATAAAAGATTAAGTTGGACAAAAGAACATAGACACTGGACAGAGGAAGATTGGAAAAAAGTGTTATGGACAGACAAATCGAAGTTTGAGGTGTTTGGATCACAAAGAAGAACATTTGTGAGACGCAGACCAAATTAAAAGATGCTGGAGGAGTGCTTGATGCCATCTGTCAAGCACGGTGGAGGCAATGTGATGGTCTGGGGGTGCTTTGGTGGTGGTAAAGTGGGAGATTTGTACAGGGTAAAAGAGATCTTGAAGAAGGAAGGCTATCACTCCATTTTGCAGCGCCATGCCATACCCTGTGGACGGCACTTGATTGGAGCCAATTTCCTCCTACAACAGGACAATGACCCAACGCACAGCTCCAAACCATGCAATAACTATTTAGGCAAGAAGCAGTCAGCTGGTATTCTGTCTATAATGGAGTGGCCAGCACAGTCACCGGATCTCAACCTTATTGAGCTGTTGTGGAAGCAGCTTGACCGTATGGTACGTAAGAAGTGCCCATCAAGCCAATCTAACTTGTGGGAGGTGCTTCAGGAAGCATGGGGTGAAATCTCTTCAGATTACCTCAACAAATTGACAACTAGAATGTCAATGTCTTTAAGGCTGTAGTTGCTGCAAATTGAGGATTCTTTGATGAAAGCAAAGTTTGAAGGACACAATTATTATTTCAATTAAAAATCATTATTTCTAACCTTGTCAATGACTACATTTCCTATTAATTTTGCTATATTTACTATTCAAATTCATTTCATGTATGTTTTCATGGAAAACAAGGACATTTCTAAGTGACCCCAAACTTTTGAACGGTAGTGTATATCCGAGACACTCCATTTAATATGATATGTTATGTTTCGTATGGTATGTATTAATTTGTGATTACAATTCGTATGATATGTTACGAATTGCAAGTCGTACAATATGTTGTCACAAATTCAGCCGAGGCTGCTCCTCCTCCTTGCTCGGACAGGCTTCGGCGTTCGTCGTCACCGGAGTACTAGCTGCCACCGATCTATGTTTCTGTGTTCTACTTGTTTTGTCTATATTGCACACACCTGGTTCCAATTAAGATAATTTGTTTCCCTATTTTACCCTCTGGTTCCCTCATGGTGTTGTGCGTGATTGTTCGTTGTTTTGTTGTCATTGACATGTGAGTCTGTATTTTCTTCCCTGCGTGGAAAATATGTTTATTTACTTGTGACAAGTAAAGTACGTCGTTGACTCAGTTCTGTGTCCTGCGCCTGACTCCGTCCTACCGCTACACACTGACGCATGACAGAATCACGCACCATTATGGAGTCAGCAGGTACATCCATTCCTCCAGGATCAGTGGAGGATGCATCCAGCAGCACTCGACCATGCTACAGACTCTTGGCACAGCCATGGATCGAGTGGTACAGACTATGGAGCGATGGGAGAGGGGGGAGTGGGGGGGGGGGGTTTCTACACCTCCTTCCACTACTATTCACTTCACATCGCTATCCACCCCTTCACCACCTGGATCCAGTGGGATTCGGCTCTCGCTCCCGAGGGCATATGATGGAACTGCTGCCGGGTGCCAGGGCTTTCTGTTCCAGGTGGAGCTCTACCTGGCAACCATCCACCCGGCTCCCTCGGGATACGAGAGCGTGTCCGACCTCATCTCCTGTCTGTCGGGGAAAGCGCTCGAGTGGGCCAACGCTGAGTGGGGAGGAATAGACGCGGCATCGGTGCTCTATGAAGATTTCACCCGCCGTTTCCAGGCGGTATTTGATCATCCACCGGAGGGGAGAGTGGCGGGAGAACGGTTGTTCCACCTCAGACAGGGAAAGAGGAGCGCACAGGACTTCGCACTGGACGTCAGGACCTTGGCAGTCAGCGCGGGATGGAATGAGAGGGCCCTGATCGACCATTACTGATGCAGCCTACGGGAGGACGTTCGTCAGGAGCTGGCCTGCAGGGACACCACCCTTAACCTGGACCAGCTGGTGGATTTATCGATACGACTGGATAACCTGTTGGCCACCCGCGGACGTCCGGATCAGGGTCCGTCCAGTCCATTCCCCAGCACTTCCGACTCTACACCGATGGAGCTCGGAGGTGCTGATCTAAGGGTGACCGGAAGGGGGGCAGTTTCCTGCACCAACTGTGGCCATAGAGGACACACTGCTGGTCGGTGCTGGAAAGGGTCCTCAGGTTTGTGGGGCCATTTAAAGTCCTGAGGAGATTGAACGAGGTTTGTTATAGGTTACAGCTCCCTCCTGATTACCGTATTAACCCCTCGTTCCATGTGTCTCTCTTCAGGCCGGTGGTAGCTGGTCCGCTCCAGGAGTCTGAGGTGCGGGAGGTCCCTCCGCCCCCACTGGACATTCGAGGGGGCACTGGCGTACTCGGTCCGTTCCATCCTGGATTCAAGTCATCGGGTGGGGGGCCTGCAGTATCTCGTGGAGTGGGAGGGGTACGGTCAGGAGGAACGGTGCTGGGTTCCTAGGAGGGACATCCTCGATCCCTCCCTGCTGAGGGATTTCCACCGTCGTCATCCGACTCGCCCTGCTCCGCGTCCTCCTGGCCGCCCCCCATGCCGGTGTCGGCGCACGGCTGGAGCCGCGCGTCAAGGGGGGGGTACTGTCACGAATTCAGCCGAGGCTGCTCCTCCTCCTTGCTCGGGCATTAGCTAGGTTGCTAAGGGTTAGGGTTAAGGTTAGGAGTTAGGTTAAAGGGCTAAGGTTAGGGTTAGGGGAAGGGTTAGCCAACATGCTAAGTAGTTGCAAAGTAGCTAAAAAGTAGTAAGTAGTTGCTAATTAGCCAAAATGCTAAAGTTGTCATGATTGGATTTGAACACACAACCTTTGGGTTGCTAGACGTTCGCGTTAGGGTTAGGGGAAGGGTTAGCTAAAATGGTTAAGGTTAGGTTTAGGGTTAGGGGAAGGGTTAGCTAACATGCTAAGTAGTTGTAAAGTAGCTAAAAAGTAGTAAGTAGTTAAAAGTTGCTAATTAGCCAAAATGCCAATGTTGTCCATGATTGGATTTGAACACACAACCTTTGGGTTGCTAGACGTTCGCGTTAGGGTTAAAGGAAGGGTTAGCTAAAAGGGGTAAGGTTAGGTTTAGGGTTAGGGGAAGGGTTAGCTAGCATGCTAAGTAGTTATAAAGTAGCTAAAAAGTAGTAAGTAGTTGCAACCTTTGGGTTGCTAGATGTTCCCATTAGGTTTAGGGTTAGCTAAAAGGGTTAAGATTAGGGCTAGGGGAAGGGTTAGCTAACATGCAAAGTAGTTGCTAATTATCTAAAATGCTAAAGTTGTCCATGATGGGATTCGAACACGCAATCTTTGGGTTGCTAGATGTTCACATTAGCTTTAGGGTTATGGGAAGGGTTTGCTAAAATGGTTAGGGTTAGGGGAAGGGTTTGCTAATGTGCTAAGTAGTTGCAAAGTAGCTAAAAAGTAGTAAGTATTTGCAACCTTTGGGTTGCTAGATGTTCCCAACCACCTCCTCTTTTACGCTGCTGCCACTCTCTGTTTATTATCTATGCATAGTCACTTTA